CAAGGTACCATACCACAAAGGGAAGGCTGGGATTGAGTTTGGGGGTGATGACAAATAAGGGGGTTCAAAAAATTGGGGGGGATTTTTTTTCCCTTTTTTTCCTTTTTTTTTCTTTAAAATTTTCCATTTTAAATTGGTTATTTCTGATTTATATATAAAAGCAAATAATAATGATATGGTTTGAATAGGTAAATTAAATTTTTTTAAGTTCTTAGACCACATTCATTCTGTGTCAGAAACCTATGCTGTGTCAAATATTTAATCACAATCCAAATTCAGTGCTGTATCAAGCTTGAATGTTGTGTCCATACTTGCCCCAACTGTTCAGGGTTCGACCTCTGCGGTCGTATCAAGCTGCGCCCAGCAGAGCATTTTATTAGATCTGGAATTCATTTTTCCTTCACACAAAACAGATATATACTGTTGGAAAATTTTAGATATGCTTTATATCTTCCCTCTTTAGTGATAATAATTCTCCTTAAGGTTTTCTCTATACATTGTCACTATTACATCATTATTTTCAAAAAATGTTCACAATACATAAAATCATCCAGGATTTGGTAAAGTGTAATATTTGGAAATTTATGAAGTTTCATGAATATTATCTGTAACAAAAGATACATGGTGCTTAAAATGAGTTATTACCTGTAAAATATACAAATACTTGGTAATTGAGGACCTTAGAATTGAGAAATTGGACCTTGATGTTTATTTGTCATCAGATCATTAGTAATTACTAGTAGAAAATGTAACTAACCAGAAAATTTTATTCAAAGATGATATTGCAATTCAAAATTTTTACATTAACAGATAGTTTTGACACAGAACTTTGATTTTTATTGAAGTACATGTATATAATAATTTGATAAAGTATATCTTATTGCTGCAATTATGCAGAAACATTATTGATCTAACCATTATAATGTAATATACAGTTGAAATGAATACTTGTAATATCTTACTCAAGGAATCAAATGTTTTATTTTTCATTAACCATAAAATGAATTATTAGGCCTACATTTTATCAGATAACTTTTTAGATAAACTTTGTGGTGTTGAAAAGTATTTAAATTTTTGAAATATAGGTCTACAAATATTTAACTTTGTTGTTAAATTATTCATTAGAATTATCTATAAGTGGATACAGAGTAGGGAGATTGTTGCCATTTTATGTACTTATGTTCGTACATTTGTTGGAATAGATTTCTTTAAAAATTTATGTGACTTTTAGATAATTAATGTTTTTGGTCTAGCATGCAACCACAAAAGTGATTGTAGATGAGACTTCGCCATTGTGTACAAATTGCACCTTAATGTCTTATTTGCTTTTACCTCAATTCTTATTTTAATTGGAATCATGATTTTTGGAAATGTATAAAATATGGAAAGTAAACATAGATGGTATATTGCCTTGTAAATGTCTTTTGCTTATTTGTGTCATTGGGTTGGTGATTCATTGACATTACACTTTCCCTTTCTCCATCTATTCTTATGTAAGAACTTTCATACTGACGTTTCTGTGAATTTATATGACAGACTCATAATACCAATATCTCAAAGGGCTTTTGAAATGATTCCTATTATATGCTATACAACTATATTTCAAAAGTTCATTTTGCCCTTCTAGCAACTTTGTACTTCTGTAGGAAAGTTTCATTCTAAGGTATGAAACTTTATTTATGAGGTTTACATATTCTGTAAATTTTATGCTTTTGTTTTATGTTTTGCAGTTAAAACCAAAGCAAGAGTTCCAGTTAAAAGTCAAACATTTTTTACCTCCAAATGTAAGTATTATATACAATAAAAGGATAAATAAATCTCATCTCAAACCTCTTGGACAGTTTGACCAAACTGTGATCAGATTGTTCATGGTTTTCTTCTCCCAGCATTTTATCTTTGCCTTTTCCTTAGATAGCTGTCGTTACTGGAAAGCTTCTTTATAATTTTTTTAGCCAAATATATAAGAACAAGACAAGTAATAGTATTCTATCTGTTGCTCAGGAATGTTCAGGAAATAATTCCATTCAGCTAAGGCATGTTTATTAATGTTACTATTTATTCAGGAGAACAATACAGGCTCCTTCAAGGCTCAAATTATTGACAAAGTCTTGCAGTATACTTGTAATTATTTGCAGCAGTTTTATTTACCTGAATGTTTAAATTGCAAACAGTTATTATAGGATTAGAAAATAAATCCATTCAGCTGAGGCATGTTTATCATCAAGGGGTACTATTTATTCAGGAGAACAATACAAGCTCAGCTGAGGCATGTTTATCAAGGGGTACTATTTATTCAGAACAATACAGGCTCAACTGAGGCATGTTTATCAAGGGGTACTATTTATTCAGGAGAACAATACAGGCTCCTACAAGGCTAAAAATAATGACAAAGTGTTGCAAATAATTGCAGCTATATTATATACCTGAATGATAAAATTACAAACACTTATTACAGGATTAAGATCATCTCAGTTGCCTGGCATTATTTATCAAAGACAATAGCAGTTCAAATTGGTACTTGGCAATCGAAAAATTTTAAAATAATCAATGGCACTTCAATTTATATTGCACCTAATTATATCATAAAATATACATTCACATTACTTAGAACATTCTTACATTGAAAAGATGACTGAGTGTTCAGAGAAATGTACTGAGTAAGCTTTGCATGTGGTATTGTCGATGATTGTGTCACCAGGGTATCGTAATGTACAAGTGTACATTCTGTCGAGAAGTGGATTTAATTCAACATTTAAAATTGAAATAAAAAATGGTTGATTTTGACACCTGAGGATCTTTGTAATGACAGTTACATTCTTTTGTAGTTAGAAATAAGTGATAAAAGGTAGTAGGAGAATTTTGTAATTTGTCAAAGGTGAAAGTTTTTTATAATTTAGGTTCATTTATATTTGCACATTTTCTGGTTACCAGAAGATAAAGCTTGTGTCTCCTAAGACTGGGCTGTGATAGTGCATTTTATATCTGACTACCAGTTCTAGGATGAAATATGCATCCATTAAACTTGAGAGAATGTTTTTAATCCAGATTATTACTGTTTGTTTGTTGGCATCTAAGTTTAATGCATGATCAATAAAATAGAATTGAAAAACATGAATATTGTAAAAAATGTATTGCGATTTGTACTTTAGTCCAATCATTTATTGTGAATTCAACATTGCTTTTAAGTGGTACTAGCAGTTTATTGATTTGTAATCCCAAATGACTTGTCACAGCTCTTCAACCTTGAAAATGAATAAAGGATATCTCTGCTGTTTTAACTTAATCTTTGAGATTCTCATTTACATTTAAAAAAGTAAGATTAATGAACCATCTTTAAACAAGTAATATTTGTGTTGCTTCAGAGTTTATCATTTTTGCTGTTTTTTCCGTGTTAACAGAAGGTGGTAATGTAATCATGACATTGAGACACCGTTATTCCTGTTTGAAACTTATCCATATTTATATCTTCTGATTTATGACAGGAATATATGAATATTTCAAACCCGCAAATAACAATGTACTATAATGATGACAAAATAAATAATTTAGAGTAAATTTATAACACTGATGCCAGACAAATCCTTATTTTCTTATATTATTTGAAATTTCCATATTCTTTGGTTTGTGTTTAATTTTTGTCATTATGTTAAGGAATTTTGAAAACAGTGATTTAGTCTGAAAAAATAATTTGTCTTTTCTTTTTTCTTTTATATTATTTGATGGGTTGCCGTCTCATGGCATATTGTTATATCTTCCGTTTATGAGACAGTGATCGAATAAATAGATATGAGATGATGACAATGAGACAGCAACCCATCTATTTCATTGTCATCATCTCATATCTATTTATTCGATCACTGTCTCATAAACGGAAGATATTAGATTTACATTAATGAGATATTTTTCTGCAGAAGGTCGGTGAGTTGATCTGGGTACTTAGGCTAATTATCCACCACCAAAAGCTGGCAGCTATGATATAGCCAGATGTGCTGAAAGTGGCATTAAACTCCAACAATTTATCAATGCGACAGCTACATTAGTTTGTCAGTCACCCATTAAAAAAAAAGACGGAATAAAAAAGACATCTTATATATTTCAGACTACCAGGTAAATCCCTATATTACAGTGGGTTTACTTAAGTACAAATCCTGGACATATTGACAATAAAAGTTTACTTTGATAATTATTTGCTTATTGATTCAATGAAGTTAGTATTATAATCCAGTAAGTAAAGACCAAACATTGTTAGATACTTATATTAGTTAGATATACCTAAAGTTCAATCTTGATTCCTCGTCCACCTGTGATTTCAAATAATCTATAGTTTTTTACGGTCTCAATGCAAACATATGAAACAGAATAATAGGTTCTTTCATGTGCCCACATTGAAGAAGTCTAAGATTGCTCTGACATTTGGCATTCTGTATACGGGACTCCTGTCAATATCTGGCATTCTGTATACAGGACTGGTCATTTCTGATAGTCTGTATACGGTATTAGTCAATCTCTTCTTTAAAAACTGATATTCAAACTTTATTTATTCATGGTTGACGACAAAACTTATCATTTATTTTCAATATCTAAATAAAATGTATTATATCAGGTAACTGTTATTGTTATAGCAAGATTTTTGAACTAATCATTCTGTTCGGTTGGACATTAACTTCACTAGACTTGCTATTCTTATGGGTTTTTCCTCTGGGATTATGGCCATTTAAAAAAAAAATTATTGATGTAATAAAAAAAAGTGAATTTAAAATGAAATTTTCCTTTAAGAATGTCAAAACTCATACTGCCTGTATAAGAATCCATCCTCCAACTATTTCTTTTCTCCATATTTTTACAGTCATATGCACCAGAGTTATATTTATTAGAAGTAGAGAATCGAGATGATGAAAATGAAACAACTGGTAGTACCAGACCAACAACAAGATCGCCACAATTTACAGAGAGTAAGCCTTTGTTTTATTACTTCAGTAATACAGAGATCATTTTTAATAAGTAAAGTTTTATTTTTGTTTAATTTAATATAAATATATATAATTTGGATTTTAGTTTTATAAGATTAATATATTATTTTAGTTTAGTTTTAATTGGTAATTCAACTTTATTAATGAATTATATTCAAGTAATGTATAATAGTATTAATGTGTAAATATATTACGTGTGATAACATTTATTGTGTGACGAGCACCTGAGCACTCTATAGTATTCCTTCCTGGTTTGGTGGCAGCGGTGGGATATAGATTGGTAATGGGAGTTAGATTTCCTTCTATCATTCCATAATTTCATTTTGATTCCATTATTTGTTAAAACAAGATTATCATCTTTAATATGTCAAGCAAACAATAAAGTTCTAAAGGATTATAGATCTATCTGATCTATTGGTATATTTAAATATTCAGTATACCTTGTATGATATAGGAACAAATTAAGTTACCTTGACATAAAATGGAAATGGAAAATTTTATAACTAGTTTTATTTAAACATTTATTTTCCTGGAATAAAATGACTGAATTCATAGAAACATTTTATAGATTATAGACTTTTTTATCGTTACACTTTAAAGGTAAATGTGATGGTCAATGAGATAATAAAATTATTCATTCTGACAGTTCAAGTTTTTGGAATAACATCATTCACCAGTTCCTCTTTAAAGTATTCCCAACCAATAATTACTGCATCTCAGTCTTTGAAATTACAAAGTGGATTGAACACACCAGTTTATCAGCGCTACATGAAGAAAACATGTATATGTTGCTATAAAATAAAACAACTAGGAACTGGTTTATTTTGATGCCCAATCTTACTGAAAGCAGTATTATACTATAGTAATAAGTGTGTTAGATATTAAATAGTCCAATAACATTCTAAGCCATTGTCTGGATTTCTATGAAAATTAAAAAAAAACTACTGTTCTTAATGGAATAGTGCCCCTACTTTTATATATTGTATTCAAGTATTTTTTGGAATCCATAGCACAAACATTGACTTTACTATACCTATAGATGAGGGAAGAGATGTGAATTTATGAGCTCTGCTCTCACTTTTTTCTAGTTTTTACTGGCTTAATTGAAATTTGAATTAAATAAACTGAACAATGAATTTATTTAGACAGAATCAGTTCTTTTTACTTTAAAAGTACATTATATACAAGTGTTATTGTACAGTATTATCAGCTATCAGAAACTGCATATAATGATGCAACCCTTTATGTGAATTTTTCATTGGCTGCTATGGTGATGAGGTCTAATGACTGGAGAGGCTTAAGTCTTTAGTAAGTACCTTCATACGGGTACAGGCATTAGCACATTCTGAGTGTACACATGTGTATTTTTATTTATTTGGATATTTTCTTACCTTACACAATATAAATGTGGTATGCCGTGTATATAAGCATTATTCAGTAGGTGATGGTCAAAACACAAATCAAGGTGATGGGAAATCAGGGGTTTTCTACTTGAAAATTTGGGGTATCTTTTAATATGCTTCATGGGAAATATTTTTTTATGCATTTTTATAAAAAAAAAAATGACTACATTTATATGAGGACCTAATTCTCTACTTATTTGCACCCTTTCCTAAATCTTTTGTAGACATACAAACTGCATGTTGAAAATCAGAATGCATGTCTGATTATTCAGAGCTTGATTTTCGAAATTTCTTTTAAATAACTAGAAACGTAGATAAATTCTTTGAATAACATTAGCTTTAACAATGTTTATATACATGCATGTTGTTCCCCTGTTCAGCAACATGGATACAGTGTGCTAAATCATTATTACATCTTGATTCAAAATTATAGCAAGGTTTCATGTGTGATTTTTTGGCCCAACTTTGAAATAACTGATGCTTATTTTTATACAACTGCAAAAAAAATTTTGTGGTCGTATATTGGTATGACGCTGGCGTCGTCGTCGTCGTCGGAAGACACATTAGTTTTCGCACTCTAACTTTAGTTTAAGTGAATGGATCTCAATGAAATTTTACCATAAGGTTCAATACCACAAAAGGAAGGTGGGGATTGATTTTGGGGGTTATGGTACCCACAGTTAAGGAATTAGGGGCCAAAAATAAGCATTTTTGTAACTTCCAGACATAACTTGTGTGTAAGTGTATGGATCTCTCTGACATTGTACCACAAGGTTCCATATCACAAAGGGAATGCTGGGATTGATTTTGGGGGTAATTGCCTCTAAATTTTAGGAATTAGGGGCCAAAAAGGGGCAAAAAACAAGCATTTTTCTAGTTTCATGACAATAACTTGTGTGTAAGTGTATGGATCTCTCTGACATTGTATCACAAGGTTCCATATCACAAAGGGAATGCTGGGATTGATTTTGGGGGTAATTGCCTCCAAATTTTAGGAATTAGGGGCCAAAAAGGGGCAAAAAACAAGCATTTTTCTAGTTTCATGACAATAACTTGTGTGTAAGTGTATGGATCTTTATGAAATTGTACTACAAGGTTCCATATCACAAAGGGAAAGCTGGAATTGAGTTTGGGGGTAATTGCCCAAAACGTTTAGGAAAAAGGGGCCAAAAAGGGGCAAAAAACAAGCATTTTTCTAGTTTCCAGACAATAACTTGTGTTCAAGTGTATGGATCTCTCTGAAATTGTACTGCAAGGTACCATACCACAAATGGAAGGCTGGGATTGATTTTTGGGGTAATTCCCTCAAAATGTTAGGAATAAGGGGCCATAAAGGGGCAAAAAAACAAGCATTTTTCTAGTTTCAGGACAATAACTTGTGTGTAAGTGTATGGATCATTATGAAATTGTACTGCAAGGTTCCATACCACAAAGGGAAAGCTAGGTTTGAGTTTGAGGGGTAATTGCCCTAAACGTTTAGGAATTTGGGGCCAAAAGGGGCCAAAAAACAAGCATTTTTCTAGATTCCAGAGAATAACTTGTGTTCGAGTGTATGGATCTCTCTGAAATTGTACTGCAAGGTACCATACCACAAAGGGAAGGCTGGGATTGATTTTGGGGGTAATTCCCTCAAAATTTTAAGAATTAGGGGCCATAAAGGGGCAAAAAAACAAGCATTTTTCTAATTTCAGGATAATAACTTGTGTGTTAGTGTATGGATCTTTATGAAATTGTACTGCAAGGTTCCATATCACAAAGGGAAAGCTAGGTTTGAGTTTGGGGGTAATTGCCTTAAATATTTAGGAATTTGGGGCCATAAAGGGGCAAAAAAACAAGCATTTTTCTAGTTTCCAGACAATAACTTGTGTTCAAGTGTATGGATATCTCTGAAATTGAACTGCAAGGTACCATACCACAAAGGGAAGGCTGGGATTGAGTTTGGGGGTGATGAATCATAAGGGGGTTCAACAAATTTGGGGGGGGGGGGGATTTTTTTTCCCCTCTTTTTTCTTTAAAATTTTCCATTTCAAATTGGTTATTACTGATTTATATATAAAAGCAAATAATAATGATATGGTTTGAATAGGTAAATTAAAATTTTTTAAGTTCTTAGACCACATTCATTCTGTGTCAGAAACCTATGCTGTGTCAAATATTTAATTACAATCCAAATTCAGTGCTGTATCAAGCTTGAATGTTGTGTCCATACTTGCCCCAACTGTTCAGGGTTCGACCTCTGCGGTCGTATCAAGCTGCGCCCCAGCGGAGCATTTTATTTTTTATACGTCTGTTGACAACTTACAAATTATGGTTTACTTTAGTCCATTTGTCTGTTAATTTTTCTAAGCATGTCACAAAATAACTCCATTTCACATTCAATAACAGATCTTGACATATTTTGTTTACCCAAAGTTCTAGAACTTTAATTAACAAAATACAGGGTTCTTTTTTTTCTCTCTTTTTATATGCCTTATTTTAACAATATTATCACCCTGAATAAGTTTGAAATATTTGCCACTGAACATTAAGCAAACAGCAATTAATCAATTGTACAATATTAAGATTAAGATACATTTTTGTTAACTACTGAATTACCAAAAATTGTTTTAACCAAATCAAAATTGAAATAACTTCATGTAATTTTTATTGACATTTAGACATTTTTATTGTTTTTGTTTGAAATTTGCATTCTAGGTTAGATAGATAATCAATTTTACCTGCTGATTCAGGAAATTAATACAACTTTACATCAACCAGTGCTGTAAATTTTTAAATATCAAGAAATTTTTATTTAAGTAAATGCTATGGAAATTAATTTAAATTGACTGTAGGATTAGATAAGCTCTCAGTCATCCACAGCTCATCCATAGATTCACAACAGTTGCCATTATTTGGTAATTTTTTTTAGTATAAACCTCATATTATATATTTTATAGCCTAATTATTGATACTAGAAGTCGGTTTTACAAAAAAACTTACGACCAAGATTGATCGTAAGTCATGAACAATTCAGTATACTTACGATCAATTTTATTCATAAGTTTTTTTTGTGAAACTGACTCCAGGTGAATATTAGGAAATAACTTGTGATTAAAATTTTTTAATTTTTGGTAAGCTTAGTGCAACTGGTAATTATGAATTCAAATTCATTGTAATGATTTGAAATTTTCTAAACTATAAGTTAAAAATAAATCAATCAACTTGAAATTGGACTCTTATCATTGCAATCTTATGTGACCCATGTTTATAAACTGATATTAGATTTCTAAGTTGTATGTATTTATATTGAATCATTGTGTCTATGTTTATAGATACTAGTAATAAGTGGTAGCAAACTTTTTTTACAAAAGACTTTTTAAAATTAAACCATTTTTCATAAGAAGAGGGTCATTTTGTTGGTTAGGTACAGTGCATGGACTTAAGTATTTGTCACTATCTTTTTCAAAAAAATATTGAGGGGTCATTTCTTGTCAGACGTTAATAAACCTAGTTACGCTAGAAGCAGAATTGCCAGTGATTGTTTTGTTTATTTTGTTGTGAAGCATTTCCATTTTGTTGTGATCCAAACACAAGTATTATTTTTTGTTGAGATATTCGCTGTTTATTTCTCCAAAATTATATTGTAAATAAGTATCTACACCTGCATGGTTTGTTAAAATCCAACCTTAAACACCTTCAAATTTGTGTTATTATATGAAATATTTAGCAAACGATTGCATATGTCAAATACTTATGTCTATGCACTGTAGTCATATCATAAGCAACACATACAGAAACTTATTAAGGAATGACTAATATTTTTTCTGTCTATGAAGAAATAACATCAAAAATGTGGTGCACATTGAATAACCTGTAATTTGGTTATTTAAAAGTGTGTACCACGTTTTTTAGGTTATTTTGAATAGACAGAATAATATTACAGTCATTCCTTATAATTTAATTCTAAAAAGGAGTAAATCATGATAAAAAATGTTGATGACAAAATTATGTCTATGAGCTGATAGACAAAACACTTTCAGCCAATCAGAAGATGTGTTACATCCAAAATTAAATTATTTGGAAATATTTTTTTTTAAAGATTCATCAATTTTTTTTGTAGAACCCCATCATCATAGCATTTTTCATTTCATTTCCCATCAATTGTTAGTTATAGTTCCTTTTCCCTATATGGCATTGTGTGGCAGTAGCCAAATTTCTCATTCTCTGTGAAGCCTTAATATCTTGGGTTTTCCTAATTCCCTTCACCATGGTATTTGTTATGGTTCCAGGTTTGCACGAAAAAACACTGCCAGCCATATTGTTTTTGGTGTTTCACTCATTCTATTAAAACTTCATGAAAAATTAAATCATCTAAGTCTAAATTGAATTCATTTTACAGTGTTAAGATCTTTTACTACGCGTAAGTGACTAAATGTGTTGGTTTTTTATGTTTTGGTACCAAGATAGAAATAAAATACAGAAATATTTGTGTGAAGCAGCAAAAACAATTAACTAATGGTCGGGTATGCATGAATCACATTGCATTATATTTATGGAGTAGGTTACAGTTGTTTGTTGGGGCTTGCAATTAGATATTGATTTATGGTAGCAAACTATTTTATAGAATATATAGCAGAAGAGTCTGGATTATATAACCTATGAAATGTGTTTTTCAGCCTTTGGTAGAAAATTCACACTCATCTGAGTTTTTTAAGACTAGTTTATACTCTGCTGATTTTTAAAAAAATATTTTTTAACCAAAACTTGTAATAGAGATGTAACCAATTTAAATCAGAACAAACTTTATAAGTTTAGAAAATTACTTCATATATAAGAAATTCAGCAGATTTTGAACTACATAAAGTTTACATATATATATGTGGTAACGGTAGAAGGTATAGTTTGCACAACAGCTTTGGCACTAGGTTAATATCAGTATTACATTTAGTTTTTAACAGTCCTTATTGGATTGCTAGACTTTTTTTAAAGTTGATTTTAGGCCAAAGTATTATAGGCTAAATGGCAGAAAAAACTGTTTTGTTAAATAGGTTCTTTTATATGTCACATTCTAATTTATTATTTTATCATATGGCAAAGTTAGATATAGAAATATTAAAGATTTGGTTCATATCGATTTTCTTTCTCTTTTGTCTTTTACTAAGTTTAACATTGACTTTTAAGTCTGCTTTGGATAAGCACTACTGTAAATCTTTCTTAAAACTTTCTTCTCTCTAGAATTGGAGGTTTTAACTCATTAACCAAAATTAATGCATTTACTTGTTTATAAAAAAAATGAATTGAATGAAGTCAGAGTGTGTTTTTTTTTTCTCTCTCCTAAATCATATTACTTATGTAAAAGCAATGACGTAATTTTGATAAATGAGAAAAAAAACTGAATGAAATTTTTAATGACAATAAATATTTAATTTGACATGTAATAAATATTTCAGTTGAAAATTAATTTCATCCTATTTTTTGTAATTATCAATAATTTTCATTTCACTAAGTGAAGCAAATGATGTCTAAATTGAAGTTTTGTTTGTTTTACATGCATTTGTTAAATGTTTGTGTTTTATATTTGATGACTTTTTTATTCAATGCAGAATTTCAAATTGATTTTATGCTATATTTGATTACTTTGCTATATTAGAATTGATGATATGAATATGTCTGAAAGTAACAAACATAAATTTTGTGTTTTTTTTGTTTACAACAGCTAATTCTGCATTGGAATTGATATGAATTTTTGCCATTATAGATGAAGTAAGCTGTTATAGCTAAGTGTTTGTAGGCTGCTAGTAGTAAATTGCTATTTATTGCTTTTACTTAACAGGTGAGGATGAACGCCAGTCAAACAGATATAGACAAAAGCCTCGCAATGCCACATCACCATATCGCTATACATCTCCTCTGCCTAAAATAAAAAGTGATCGAGGTGGTTCACAAAAAACTGTTGAAAGTGTTTCCCATTTTGATCAGAATGGGGATATGGATGGTGAAAAAATAGTAACTGTATCTAATTCTTGGGGTGGAGATACAAGGAGATCCCCTCGCCGTAGCCCCCCAACTGTTAGAAGATCACCCCCACCACGTTCCCCTCCCCCTCAAAATGATTATTCTCATAAACAAAATGAATACCCATCTCAGCAAAATGATTACCCACCCCCTCAAAATGACTACCCAGATACTTCACGTTTAAATGCAAGCCCTACACATTCAGGGGTTACAGACAAACCAGTGGCCAGTACACATCAACCAGTAGCCAGCAAATATGATCCACGTTCAGCAACTTATACCAACCAAACCAATGATTCTGGGATAGCAGGTCTAACTCCAGAAGAATACAGAGACAGAGAAAACTATGATGATGCTGAAAGGTGAGAAATAGAATGACATCTCTGGACACAAATGTTCTTCTTTCAATTGCTTCTGTTATATGGAAATGGTTCTTTATATAAATAGTAGTTATTTCCAAGTTGGGCCTGTTATGTTTTTAAAACTTTGAGAATAACTGCTTACATTTCCTGTCATCATTATTTGAATAAATATCCATATGATGAAATCTTTTTTCTTCATCTCATAAGTAGAGCCATTGAGTTTCTTGGTCTAATAAGTAAAGTCATTCAGTTTCTTGGTCTCATAAGCAAAGTCATTCAGTTTCTTAATCTCATTATTAAGGTCAGTTAGTTTCTTGATCTCATAAGTAAAGTCATTCAGTTTCTTAATCTCATGAGTAAAGTCAATAGATCTCTTGAGTAAAGTCATTCAGTTAATAGATCTCTTGAGTAAAGTCATTCAGTTAATAGATCTCTTGAGTAAAGTCATTCAGTTAATAGATCTCTTGAGTAAAGTCATTCAGTTAATAGATCTCTTGAGTAAAGTCATTCAGTTTCTTGATCTCGATAAGTAAAGTCATTTAGTTTCTTTATCGAATTAGTAAAGTCATTCAGTTTCTTTATGGCATAAGTAAAGTCATTTAGTTTCTTTATCTCATTAGTCAAGTTATTCAGGTTCTTGATGGCATAAGTAGAGTCATTTAGTTTCTTGATTTCCTGAGTTAGTAATGGTCTGTTTAGTGGATACTCTATGATGCAATTTACTTTACAAAAGTGACAACAAAATTAGATGCAAGAAATTTTTTTTACATTGTGCTGAACAGTTGTGTCCAGATAATTATTAATTTGTGTTATAGTATAAACTAACAAACCAGTTCATTGATCACATAGTTAATTATCACACAAACATTACTAATGGTGCATCACTTCAGTAAATAAGTAACTGCATCACTGATATGCATTAATTGAATGTTGAAATATTTATAAAAGTGTTTGATGTTGAGCTAATCAACTAATTGGAATTACAGTGTTAGATGTTGCAGTGGCTAGATTAACAGATTGCGTAACATACCAAGGTGCTTTTTGATAGACACATTGCACTACAAAAAGAAATATAAGCTTTTCACTGCTTGCGGCATTAAAGTAAATTTCACAATACCCATTCATATAAACAAAAAATTGAATCATCACACATATAAACATAGTTAGAAAATAGGGATTCTTCTGTTGCTTCACAAAAACTAAGATAAAGATAGATTAATATAAGATTTTATCTTACCTCCTATACATTTCTAGGAATGTGATTGGTTAAAAGCGCCCTCGTGGAGACCGTGTATATTTCATATTAGGTTAGTAGGGAGGCGGGGCTTATCTCATACACGGTTAGTAGTGGTGTTACGTCCCTTTATATTCCTTATAAGGTAGTAGGGAAATGGGGCTTATTTCATACACGGTCAGTAGTGGTGTTACGTCCCTTTATAAAAACAAAACGGTACTGAGAAAAAATGGTAAAGGTTTCAACAGACGAAGAAAGTGATGATTAAGATTGAAATTAATTCATAAAACACATTTAAACCTAACAAGTTGTTATTGTTGGTATCTGTTTTTGTAGGATCAATGGAAGTAGTTTCTTAATGCTAACAGTATTGAAGAATTGCTCATTTGATAGGTCACTAGTCTAAATTTCACACGTTAAGATAGTCGGTAAGATAAATTCGTTACATAGTGTGCTAGTGACCTAATACGGTATATATGGGGTCAGTAAATTCCATATGGGGATTCGAGCTTCGCTCTCACCCCATATGGAATTTACTGACCCCATATATACCGTATTAGGTCACTAGCACACTATCACCCCATATGGAATTTACTGACCCCATATATACCGTATTAGGTCACTAGCACACTATGTAACTAATAATATCAAATTATGAGGGGGGTCAGAATTTTATATCCTCACTCTAAGCATGGGGGCTATATTTGAATTGCATTGTCCATCCATTCATTCGTATGTCTTTAGGTTACAAATATTTTTGTCACACTTTTCTCTGTAACTCCTGAACAGATTGACGGCATATTTGGTCAGCTGCTTGATGGTGGTGTGTTGTAATGAGTGAACATTACAGGTATTTAGATCTATCAGACACCTGCTTCCTGAATGCCAATACTTTGAAATTTTCAATATGTTTAATATAAACAAAGATTTTCTTCACGCTTTTCTCAGAAAACCCAGAACAGAATGACTTCATATTTGGTCAACAGCTTGACAGTGATGAGCTTTTAACATATGAGGGCTTTATGGCAATGTAATACATCTACTTCCTGTTTTCCGATACTGAATCGTGAGTGGGGTATCCATAACACAACAATGTATGCAACTTCTTAATATGCATAAATTGTTATTTGTTATTTTAGATTATATTAACTAAAACATTGTTAATAATAGACCAGTGAACACAGAAGAATCTATATTTACACAGTATATATTTCCTGCTGAACACTTTATATGTTTCATTATTTGAATTGTTACATCATGTTGAATGAATTGAAGTCAATACATAGATCTAATTGTATGTCACCCATTTCTCCTATAATTAAATTTCTAGAGTGTTGTAGTAACATGTTTCACTAAATAGTGGAAAAATAACATTCAATAACATAGTAGTGACTAGCTTGATTATTAACTGTCCATTTTAGATTGCTGATCTTATGCAGTATATTAGGATAGTCCTATTAAAAAATTATTTGACATTTTTCACAAGGAGTACATATGGGGTTAAAAACTTATGTGTTTTTATACTTGAAGATACAGTCAGTTTTGGCTTCAAATTGATCCCATGTTTGAGACATTTAGTATTTCTGAATACATCTTTTTTCCCTATATCAGAGATTCAAATGAAATTAAAATTAAATTTCTGAAAGTTAAATGGTTCCTATCATCAATATACTGTATTTTAGTTAGCAACAGTATAGTGATAATACAGTCTGTTGAATTTCACTGTTTCTGACATTTTGGTACAGCATTGGGAATTATGATGCCAGTTGATGGAACTTGTAGTATTAACTTTTTATCTTCTCTGGCCATGGGCCATGTAAGCAATCGCCGTTGTATTGGCCGCCATCCTCAGCCAGCATACTGTTGACAGAAGTACATTGTATGATATTTGAAACCTCATTTAAAAAAAATAAATCCTTTTTTCTTATCAATTCTAGAAATATGAATAACTAATTACCGTACATAAATTTACTAGAGGAAACAGTAATATTTAAGAGACTGTAATAACACTCAGGCATAGGGCAGATTATCACTATTATGTTAGTTAATGCACAAAATAATACAAAGACTCATAATCTTCATGCCAGGATGTATCTATATAGGAGGAAGAATGAGTACAACGAAAGTCGCCAGAAGGAATTAGAAAATCGGTTAAATGGTGATCGAATGAATGGTGATCTGGATGACAGCGATCGTCAACGCAGACTAAAGGAAGATCAAGAGAGAGAAGAATGGGAAAGGAAAAATAGAGATGAAGATGAGCGTAGACGTAGGGAAGAGGAAGAAAGAAGGAGGAGGGAAGAAGAGGAACGTCAAAGAGAGGAAGATGAGAGAAGACGCAGAGAAGAAGAAAGGGAGAAGATGGCTAGGGAAAAATTATCAGGTTCAGACGAAGTAAGTATCTATAATTATGATATCTCACCAAAGCATGGTTGAAAATAGAGAAAGTCTGAGGTCCTGACATGTCACTATATAATGGATAACCTATGCCAGACAGACCTTAAAACTGCCTTGGACTTTGTTTCTGTACAAAATTTTTGAGTGAAGACATATATCATTGATAAGAATTATTCAAATATAAATTCAGACAATACAATGGCTTCTTTTTTCTTAGATATTAGACACTATCCTCTATTTAGCATTTTAAAAGTTAGTGTGGCTTTTTTCCTACTTTATCAATATCAAAATCTTTTAGAATGGACATCAGCTAGCATCAGTTATGTACAAAAAAGGCAAATAGTAACATTCCTCAGACCTGGATAAATATATAACCACAATTATCAGCTATAATTGGATCTCAATCTTTCCCTCCTGTAGACTTTTCAGAGTTTTAAAAAGGATATGTAAATGACATGTAATTTCTTTTAACTGAATGAATTGAATAACCGAGATGAAAAGTCGGCTAATCTGAAATGGTGTAGATATTAATATGAAGACATATATAATTATAGACCATCAGACATACACAAAAAAGACATATACATCTTATTCAAAAATATTTCAATGTTTACAAGTAAACTAGTGCATTTAAATTGTTTATTATTGGTGCCTTGTTGGATGTTTTTAATTTTGAATGGGTTTATATTTAAGGGTTTTTATCAATAGATAGAATAGATATGTAAACTTCACTTATTATTTTTTCTTTAGTTCTGTTGTACTTTCACTTTCTATTATTTTGTTGTGTTGATTTCAAAAAAGAACAGAATTTGTTTATAATGAATTCTATGTGTATTGAATAATGTACTTTTAACCTGCATTGAGATATATGTCTTTGAATTTAAATCTTGTACACTGATATTTTACTTTACTCCAACAATTCAAAAAGGTTTTCACATGTTGTAATAATTAAAATAATATTGGTATTCATCATAAATGATATCAGAATGAGACATCATTCAAGATCAAGTCAAAGTAATTTAAGATATGCTTCAAATTTTAATTATTTGGTATTTCCTACATTCTACAGCCATATTACTTGGCCTTCAGAAAATTAAAGAAAAATATTCACTGCATGTTTTGTTTGTTAAGTTGGAAAATTAACCAAATTTCCCTTGTCCTTATACACTGCAATATAGAATAACCATACATTGTCTAGAAATATAAGTTTTATTTGTACAAGGCTTATAAACAGGTAGAAAGCAAGGCTGTGCCAAGCATTTCTATTCTGTTTTGAGCCAAGTACAAATAAAATTTATATTTCGAGACAATGTATGGTTATTCTTTATATACTGCAACTCCTACAACTGTTCAAAATGAAATATTTAGGGTAAAAACCATCATTGTTTAATTTGAAGCCAACGACATAAAATTCCGCAAACCTGTACCTTTTAATGACGTCATAAGTAAAACTCTAAGGAAACGCATTGTCAAGGCCATAAACAAAGCAATATACGGTCAGTGACTGTATATCACACATGATTATACGGTCAATGCAATTTGACTGCTCAAATAGCACAGCTGCAGTATATAGCTTTTTATTATGACACCATAAAAATCACCAAACATTAAACAAAGAAATTAGGCCTTTCAGTCATAAAACTTTTCTCAGTACTCAAGAGTACCAAATTTGAGGTTTAAAACACCAAATCCAGTATTTTGATTGGTTGATTTCTGAATCTGAGTAGCATAATCACACTCGAAAATTTTATGACTGTAAGCCCATATCAAAGATTGATCAGATAAAAAAATTATTACTGTAAGGCAGCAAATTATTCTAAAATAACCTTATGTTTTTTCAACAAAGAAAATATCATTGCTATACTTTTAGAGACAATTACAGGGAAGAGGGAGAAAGGTAATGGGAGATAACTCTTCCCATGCAGTGTGTGCTGATTTTAATACAAAAATAGATATCTTAAACAAATTTGCTTATTTAGCAACCCTTTTGCATGCTTCATAGCAGTTTGATTTCATTTTCAATATATAATAGAATACGATATTTGTTGATTTTGTATAATTTTCTTTGCTAGGATGTATCGAGTGTGAATTAATTTTGTATGACTATTGTACTTTACATGCTTTTAAGCAATTAGCTGATAGCGAAAACCACGATTTCCTGCTTAATTCCATCAAAGTATTGTATTACAGATAGTGTTTAATTTTTATTTTCAACGAATTTCTGCATGTTTAATAGCAATTATATCAGCAAAAACAGTAGATAAACATTAAATTCCATCAAACTTTAAATGAATGTGTCCATTAGCAACTTGTAATATTTGTTCATGTTGCACATAATGATCTGAAAAATACTTGATTGTATGCTCATCGAATTAGAACAGTACTGAAAAAAAGACGAGATTAAACATTCGAAGCCTTTCATAATTTAATTGATTTCTAGGTGTCAGGAAGCTTTTGGATCTGTTAGATATTTTACATACAAGCAATGACATTGTTACTGAGATACATTCAAACCTTTCATACATGAAATGAATATATCAAAAGTAATAAGATATTGATCACAAGAGAAAATTGGTCAATTAAACATTAGCCAAGAAGTTTGATATTGGTTTACTTTGATCTGTATCGCTAGTGGGAAGTGCATCCTGTAAATACCTTGTAAATACCTGTAGTACGACATAATGGCGGGCCATTATAACATGTTTGCTGCATTTCCCTCCTTTAATATTTCCTTTCATTGATTAGATAATATTGGTGATTTGTCACCAGTTTAAATAATTAATCAGTCCTTTCCAATAAAGACTTAAATAATTTTATTTCAGCGAAGCTGAACATTTGATTTAACTGATAGCAAATTTTATATTGTTTTTTTAAAGAAGGTGAATTATATTATCAGTTTTCTGCTTCATAAGCTATTCAGCAATTAAAATGTGGAAAATAGTAAAAAAAATCCATGCCTGTTTATGTAGACAACATTTTCATTAAAATTAAATTTAGGGATGTTTTCTACCATTGACCAAGCCATCTCATATTAAAAGTTAAAACCCCTGTCCAGCCAACACAGCCTTATTAAATTGATTTAAAAAAATACCCTTATTCTACATAAAAATCCTAGTGACCACATGGTGACCTTTTCATTCATGACTATTATCAGGGACTAAACTTGGGAATTTCAAGCTGGGAGCCCAGACCAGATATTTCATAAGTAGTTTCTATATGTTCAACTGAAATTTACCTGAAAGTTTAGGGCCCAGCTCAAAATCTAGGAGCCATGGGCGACTGGGCTCCCTTTAAGTTTTGTCCCTGTATTATGTTCTTGTAAAGTTTAATTAAGTTAAATAAAGACTGCACTCTGTTTTAACTGCAGATGCTAATGACACACTACTGCAGTGTAGTTTTCTTATTCTGATAGAAATACAATTGTAATTTGAACATCATGGTAAATGTTCTGTTTTCACTCAGAAAAGATAGACTAATTCAATGTGTCAGTACACTCATGCACACAGGAAAAAGATAGACCAATACATTCTGTCAATACACTCTTGCACAATAGGAAAAGAAAGACCAATACAATGCATCAGTACACTTGCACATTAGGAAAATATAGACCAATACAATGTGTCAGCACACTCATGCACACTAGGAAAAGATATACCAGTACAATGAGTCAGCTAGTACACTCATGCACACTACAGAAAGATAAACCAATAAAATTGTGTCAGTTCACTTATGCACAGTAGGCAATGATAGAACAATACAATGTGTCAGTTCACTTATGCACAGTAGGCAATGATAGAACAATACAATGTGTCAGTTCACTTCTGCACATTAGGAAATGATAGACCAATACAATGTGTCAGTTCACTTATGCACAGTAAGCAATGATAGACCAATACAATGTGTCAGTTCACTTATGCACAGTAAGCAATGATAGACCAATACAATGTGTCAGTACACTCTTCCAAACTAGGAAAATCAATTATGATGAATTGAAGTCAAATATGTGGACCTGTTATGTGTATTACGAAGAGCAGTGTCTAAAATTTATGTTAAATTCTTCATTTACAGTTTGTCTGGTATCAAAGACAGAATCTGAGTGAAAATTATCTCACAAATACATATGGCATAGTTCTTATTTGTACCATTCAGAATAAAATATGTACAGAATGGCTATCCCCTCTCCTAAACAACAATTTTTTTGTCTGCCATATTGTTTCATTGTACCATAGGTGTTTTGGTGTTTTGATATATGCATGAGAAGTATTTGTTTTATTTCCAATGATTTTATATTTATTAGCTTTGACTAATATTTGTAAATGCTATTAATGAAAATAATAATTCATCACCGCCTGCCATGCTGAGTTTATAACAAATGCACAAACTCATAAAATAGTATAGAAAATAATTTTTGAATAATCTCACTTCTAAAAGTAAGATTTTTAGACAATTGTTACATACAGCATTACTTATTCAATCTAAGTTATTTTTTTCACAAGTAAAAACTTGGTAAGTGTCAAATTAAAAATGATAATTCTAATTTGTCTTAAATCAATGGAAATGTCAATTAAATACAACCAAGTCCATCCAAAAAAACTTGATTATGATTAAAAGACATTGAATTGTACAAATTCTTAAAATTGCATTAAAACAAGTGAATCTCTATTGCTAGTGCTAGGAAATAAAACAATAATTTTGTATGACTGTAGGGTGCTAGAAGCACACATTTGACTCCAATGGATCCCGATTGGACAAAACGTGGGGTACATGGAGATTATGACCAGGTTAATGTTAATCAGAATGATCAGAAATTAGATGGTCCAGAAGGACAAAGGGATGATCAGGCAGGGACATATCAACAAACTGATAAAGACACAAGGGCATATGAACAAAGAGATGATCAAACAAGGGCATATGGACAAACAGATAAAGACACAAGGGCATATCGACAAAGTGATGATCAAACAAGGTCATATGAAAGAACTGATGATAAGACAAGGGAATATGGACAAACTAATGATCATAAGACAAGACAAGCTAATGATCAGACAAGGGATTATAGACGAAGTAATGATCAGACAAGGGATTATGGACAAAGTAATGATCAGACAAGGGATTATGGACAAAGTAATGATCAGACAAGGGATTATGGACAAAGTAATGATCAGACAAGGGATTATGGACAAAATGATGACCAGACAAGGGCATACAGTAACAGGGATAAGACCTTAAATAGATATGACCAAAGACAGTCAAAGGGCAGTGTAGCCATTCCATCAGATAAATTTGTACAAGTTGCACTAAGACCTGACCCAACCCTGAATGAGCCAGTTTCTGACAGTGAGTTATACAGCAAGGAAGACATTTCAAATTCTCCAAGGAATACCAATCCACCTGTCATTAATTTCCCTCAAAATAATGATCCTTCTTACAGAGAGGGGAGCCAAAAGAAAATATATGAAGGTAGGGAAAATCCAACATCACATAGACAGAATGAAGGAGTATACAGCGAACAGAGATATGAACCGATGCAAAATAATGAAAGAAACAATGATGATATTGAAGAAACACATAGTTACACAACAGGAAAAGTATCTAAAACATTTGTTAAAGATGGTGTGGAGTATAGACAGTCTGAAGATACAAATAGGCAGTATCAGCCCTCAGGCACTAGTAGAAGTGTTCAGCAGACTAGATCTAGTACTAGATCATATCCTAGACAAGAGACAGAGGACAGTGTAATGCCTTCTACACCCAGTTCCGATTCTGATCAGAAACAGTATCTCTTAAGGAAACAACAACAAACTCAGGACAAGACTTATTCAAGAGTTGCTGATACTAAAAACGTAAAAGGAAAAAATATACACAGGAGTAGCTTCCCTTTGCAAAATCAAGGAGGAAAACCAGTGATACATCACCGAAAGTCAAATCAGCGGAAGCAGTCTGTAAGACGTGTGAATACTGACAAACTCTTAATGATACACATAAAATATGTAACTTAACTGACAAATAAAGGTGTGAACTTACTGACACACAAGTTTACTAAAATAAAAATTACAATTACATAATATTCACAGCATGTTTTTACTAAAATAGGTGTCATATGCTTCATAAGTTCTGTTCAATCATTAAAACATCATACAAGACAAAATGTATTTTCCTTGATTATACTGGTTGTACAACAACAGAAAATGTGTTTACAAGTGCCTTTCACCCTAGACATCTATTTAAGGAAGTTGGTTTATGTTTTATCTTGCCAGATAATTTCTTATACCAAACATATGGCTGATTCTTTGTATTTATTGAAATTCGAATAATAAGAATTTATGAATATTTCACATCAAACTATTTTTTATGCCCCCGCCGTAGCGGAGGGGCATTAAGTTTTACCCTTGTCCGTCCGTATGTCCCAAAATCGGTTTCCGTTCTCTAACTTTAGTTTGCCTCAACTAAATGTTATGAAACTTATACACAGTGCTTATTACCACAAAACACAGATCAAGGTTGATTTTGGGTAGCGTCACTTTTGCCTTTCTAGAGTTATACCCCTTTACAAATTAAAAAATTGCTGAATTTTTCGCTTCCGTTCTCTAACTTAAGTTTTCCTCAACCAAATATTATGAAAATTATACACAACGCATATTACCACAAAATATAGATCAAGTTTGAATTCGGGTGGCATCTCTTTTACCTTTCTATAGTTATGCCCTTTAAAAAATGGAAAAATTGCTGAATTTTTCGTTTCCGTTCTCTAACCTAAGTTTGCCTCCACCAAATGTTATGAATTTTATACACAATGCTTATTACCACAATACACAGATCAAATTTGAATTTTGGTGATGTCACTTTTACCGTTCTAGAGTTATGCCCTTTTCAAATGGAAAAATGGCTGAATTTTCCTTTCCGTTCTCCAACTGAAGTTTGCCCTAACCAAATGTTATGAAACTTATACACAATGCTTATAACTTAAAAACTCAGATCAAGTATGAATTTGGGAAGCGTCACTTTTACGGTTCTTGAGTTATGTTCCTATATAAAGTTATATGCATGCGGGGGCATCATCTGTGTCCCATGGACACATTCCCCCTTTATTTTTTTTAATTTGAATAATGAAAGTAGGGAAAGAAATTTTTTTAAGCATACAAAAGATTGTCTGAAATCCATTTATTACCTTTTTGAAAATGTGCAGATTTTATAATTGGGATGATCATTTAACTTGTCCTTCAAACTGTAAAAAAAAATAAAATAATATGAATATATAAAATATTGGATATAGGCGTATTGTAATGTATAGTGTTAGCTCAAATGTAAATTCCTGTCCAAATAGTAAGCTTCCGCAGAAATAACCTCATAAAAGAATGTTATTTTTGTCTATTCTATCTAACCAATCAAACCTCATTCCAGTGTGAGAATTTACATGTGTATTAGAATTACAGTAAACAATGGTAGTAATGATTTAAATGCATGTATTAATTGTTTGTAGACAAATGTAGATATCACAGTAACATTCCCCCCTCTGTGTTATTTACATCAAATATATAACTATGTTAACAAACTTTACATGTTTTAACCTACCACAATGGACATTATGTATGTACTATAACACAATGACAATAGACGTGTACTGAAAGAAATAAGTACTATTGCATTCAGATTTGTTTGTTGAAAATATTGTTTTGCTCATTACAAAAAATATGTTCTTTCTTTATATCATAATGAGTTTGTTGAAAAATAGTTATAGAATAAAAATCATTGTGTAAAATTATCTTTTGTCTTCCATGTAGTCCAGAGTCAATAACTTTTCTGGTATTCAGTTACTTGAATCATTTTCCAAGAGTTAAATAGTAGGAAACTATAAATGAGAATTTATGAATTAGTATCTGATAGTTATAAGTATGTCATGATAGATATATCATTTGTACTTATTGGATTGTTTCAGGATCTGAACAGATTCCCGTCCCCTCCTCCAATGAATGTAGCCTCAACTGATCAGGATATGGATTCCAGATCACAAAATTTAACTAAGGAACAGAAGCAAGCGGAAAGTAAGTATATTTGAACTTTGGTGGATAGTTGTCTCATTGGCAATCATACCACATCTCCTTATTTTTATATAGTCAGTGTAGTGCCAGCTTTTTGTTATTATACACAGATGCAGTCTGCTTGTTGTCTCTTTACTTTGGGGTTGTTTAACAGAGCAAATTGCTCATTGGGCAGTCCTATTGATTACTGTCTTCAACAATAGTCAAGTGTCTTTACGTACTAGTATGGCCCGAGAACACAGTTATTTCGTAGTGCATTTCTTTTAGACAAAAAACGCAAATTAAAAAAATCACACCTGCTCTATCCAAAAAAGATTTTTATAGTGTAGTGTACTACTTTTGGGATAATTATATCAAAATTATAGAAAAGTCTATCAGCTCTAACTCAAAATATGGACAATTTTATGTTAAGGGGGTCTGCAATTCAGTTTGACAGCATCAGACATTCTAATTTTTGACCTTTTCAAACCAGACCAAATCACTACGTTACCTAAAAATTCATGTCCCAAATTTTTTTTACATGTATAATTTCATCCCCCTACTTACTATTTTATGCATAGAATATAAAGAAATAAATTTGGAAGGTGTATGAAAATAATTTGCAAGTTATACACTGTCCACACTAGGGACTCTATTTGTAAAGAATGAAAATCAAAGGACGATAACTGTGTTCCCAGACCTTTTGAATTGCCCATAGTCAATAAAAATTGTTATACTTTTTGACAAAAAGACTAACCAAAATGTAGTCCAGTTGTTTTATTCAGTCTGCAGCTCTACAGTGGGTACTTTAACACCAGTATGCCATGTCAATGAAAAATCATCAATCAATCATTGAGTACTTACTCTTTTTTTCGTATTTGATGCAATCAAACACCATGATTCGTTTTTGCTGTATATAAAGATCAGGTCCTCGAGATTAGGAGAGATAAATTTTGGGGAGGCTTGAATTATTTAGGTAACAAAAAAAGACAAAATCACACAGATTCAAGAGGATATACATGGCAGAATGATCCTAAACAACAGTGCATGTATTTTCTAGAGCCAGAGCAAGCAGAGGAACCCACACCTGTAACAGAAAAAGAAAAAACTGTGATTAAGAAAAAACCTAGCTTTAAGAAAAAACAAAGTTTTAGGAAGAAAAATCCAGAGGAGGGTGAGACCTCACTGGTGATTTGGTGGTCACAGTTTTTTTAGATAGTTTTCTGGAAATGGTTGCATTATTTTTCTGTTATTATTCTGTTAAATATATGAATTGAGCAATAATAGTACTTTGTTTGAAGAGGTGCCACCATGATTTAACTGTCACAAATGCACAGGCTATATGGTGTAAAAACGGATATTTGCAACCATCAAATATCAAATTGACTTTGGCAACTCTTTAAACTCAATACTATTTTTACTTTACCATGTTTACTAATGCAAAACTAGTAAAATTTTCAAAAATAAAAAATTGAAATAATCTAGAAAAATGGACTGGGATTGTTCCACTTAATTGCCAATTACTCTGACCGTCAATCGAGGAATTGACAGCTGCAGATGTCAGGCAGTCAAAAGTGGCATAACAATATAGATTTAGCTAACTCAAATAATTCTTGATCATTTCTTTTCCTCCTACAATAGCATTAGGGACAGAAAACAGCCTGTGGAAAAAGGATTCTAACCTTTATTGAATAATTGGAATAAAATAGATCATACTCTAGTATTCACTTTTCCGGTCTCATCATTATATGAAAGTTTGTACAGCAAAGGCCTTTTCAATAATGTTTTATCCACTGATATTTTAAATTTGTTATTTAAAAAAATTAACTGCATTATTGTCTTAGATATAATTGTACTTTTGGCTCACCTTGTGCAATCGGTTCAGGAAAAACTACAACACTTTAGATTTTGTAACTTACAGCATTGGAAAACTTTTGCAGTTTGTTTTTTCTGAGTTAATAACTTTATTTATTTTATTTTATTGTTTATTTTATTGTACATTTATCCTTTAAAAGATCCTTTTTTATGAAGTAAGTATTGTAGTGGTGTTTTGAATTAGTCTTCTGTGCTGTGGATTCATTATACTATAGCTACAAATCAACTCTTTTAAATATGTGTTCCTGCTTTTATGGACAGCAAAATAATACACATTACTGCAAAATAATTGGGGGGGGGGGGGGGGGGAGACAATCAGTTGCAATAAGAACATAACAATATTTTGGAAATGTGAAGTATTCTGATGTTAGAAAGTGCAGGAATACAAATGACATGAAAGAGTTGTGTGCATTTTGCAAAATAGTTTTGTCGTTGTCCAGCAATTTTTTTTTTTTTTCCCTAATTGTACAAAATGTTTTGTGATAAAAGGCTTATTAAATCTGTAAAAATCTAAAAGATTCATCCTATACATTAAGAAAGTAGAATTTTTTACTTTTTTCTGGAGCCATATATTTGGTTCAAATTTATAATGAATGCACAGTGTGGTTTGAATGATGTTATATCCTGTATGGAGTTTGGGACTTGTTAGTAACTCACAGCACCAATGCAAGGGCAGAAAATGGTAAAGGACATCTTTGTATTTGAAATGATATTGTTATACATTCAGATATCATTTTCTTTGTATTTGTCAGAAAAAAGATTATTACAAGAGTTGGAAGCTGCCAGGGAAGCCAGAAGAGCTGTAGAAAGACAGCGAGAGGAATTAGTGAAAAAAGCTAAATTAATGCAGAATAAAACACAAAATAGACGCAACCATGGTGAGTACAGTACCTAATATGCCTAACTATTTATGTTGAATATCAATGGTTTACAAACATGGTTTCAGTCTTTGATTTTTTACAAGAACAATATGAATTTATTCAGAAGAACATCCTTAAACAATTCTTTACAGTTGATCAATTCAAGACCAAATTAACAAGATTTATTTAATACAGGACCAAAAAAACAAAGGGGCCAAGAAAATTAACCAGATCAATCTGACTTATCAAAGGAAGTTTGAACCTTTGTATGTATTAAAAATTCAACAAATTTATCAAGGGAGACAATTAATAAAAATATAGCTTGTAGGTATCTGGATGAATGATAATGTTTGTGTCTTCAGGTGTTTTATGTGCCTTTGCAATGTGGCCACTGAGCTGATCCTGTCATAAGCTTTCTCAGTGAAATCATGGATTGCAGAAATTTTTCAGAAACGATGGTTTTTTAAAATTTTGTACCCGACTTAACTGTTTGTTATAGACCAAAACTGAGTGTTTACAAACTATAATCATGCTATTCTATCTATTATAAATATTTTGAATACTTCCAGCATTTGGTTAATGAGCAATTCGGATTCGTTTACACATTACTGTTAATTGCATATAAATAGTTAAAATAAAGTAATTATTTATGTGTATATTACTCAACAGTTAAGTGAAAATGTATCATTAAAAATGTATACATAACTTTATAAATATATTTAACAATGTGTTATCAGCGACATATATAACATATGTCTCTGGTGTAATTAACTGCGATATATTTCAAGTTTTTCATCAACCATTAATGTTAACTATGGAACAGGATAGAGATTAAAAAAATCAGTGTCTTTCATTCGCGAAAAATTCAATAACTGCATTCATTTATTTTATGCAAGATTCATTAGACTTAAAATCATCAGTGTATGGGTATATCTATGTACACAATAGAAAAAAACACTTAGTCCCTCAATATTAATGTATTTATTCTGTTATTTAGATAAAAGTATTCAAACAGATTTAATTGGTAAATGTATGATTCTATTTTCGAACCATAAATCCATCTTCAAGTTAACAAATCCTTTGAAAATATATAAAAGCATGCTTTAACCTTTAAAGATCTAATTTTAAGTGACTTCTCAAGGGATATGTAAAGGAATAGAATCACAGGGACACAACTGACACAAGTTATAAATTCTATGTCTCTGGTTGAAGAGCTCTTGTATGAACATGAATTAAAAACGAGTCACTTTGTGTAAAAAGTTTGCACTTGTCTTTTTATTGTTTGGCATGTCGTATAAATCTCTTAAAAGGATTTAAAGTAAAATTTATCTGTACTAATTTTTTAACATGGAGGTGATTTAGATTTCATTAAAAGGCTAAAATTCAGACTGAAATGTTTTGATTTAGTCCAATATCATTGATGTACGACTTCAGGTATCTAGGATTATTTGTTAATGACCATCTATATATTGAGGAATCCGTTTTAAGGGATTAAAGATAATATTATCCTGTATGATATGAATCAATAATGCATTAGATAGCTATCCTTTCCTTTCTGATGTATTGGTCTTCTTGTGTATATATGTCTCCATGCATGTTCAATTGAATTTAAAAATTTTCTTCTATTTAATTTGGCAGACCGCCATCAGAAACGGGATGACATTTAATGAAGAGTTCTTTTTACCCCTGTGAAAAAAAGACGAAACGATATTTCACATAAGTATTGACATTTGTTAAGTATGATCTATGGACGATCATGAATTGTCAATATTGATTGTTAAGCTAAAATAAACATTCAAGTAATCGGCAGGCTTGAAATTCTTCAGTATATATATCCTGAATTGGCAAAATCTTAAATAAAACATTAATTTTCTTTCTAATTTATTTTTTGCTTGTTGTTGCAAAACATGTACTTTGGGTATAACATTAACACTGTATGAGTATAATGCATTGTCTGTACTGTTCTTTATAACAGGCTTATAACCAACATAAATAAAAACGTTTTATCAACATTGATTTATAGAAATACTTATTAACATCAGAGTGATTGTTAATTAACCTGATTTTTGTCATGAGCATGATGTAAAATGAACTTTATTTATTTAAATATTTTTATTGATCAAACTTTCTACAATTATTGAAATTCTATGGCATACAGATAATCAAATATGATCAATTTCATTGGATTTTTTAAAAACTTGATATTTCTCTATTGAATAAATTGTACATTAAGCTGTCTAGCTAAGACATGCTTTTATAAAATGCTAGATATCATTTGATATGTGCATTAGTATTTCTAAATGTATATCTTGTGAAAAAAAAACTTCAAATGGTTTGTCCTCAAGTGTTTTAAAGAGTTTCTTTTTGAAGCTAGAAAGGACATGATTTAGAAACCCCCTCAGAGTATATTAGACTCTGTCTTTCAAAATAAATGAGAGCAGTCTACTGATCTACTAAGAAATATATTGCATTTATAAGTAAGATTTATATCATCGAAGCTTCGTATAGTTTCCATTAACAAAAGAAATTGTCAGGTATACATTAATTGTCTCAAATGTACCATACTTAAAATGTTTGGAAATGATATCCTGTCAAATGCTTTAATCAAAAATATAATTTGAATATATTTAAGTCAGTTTTTTTTAAAGTATTTAAACTCATTGAAATCTATTTGTAGCTTTATGAAAAATTTCTTCTTCGATCTTTATAGAAAAGTTTGTTCTGAAATTCATTTGTCAGATCTTAACCTGATATTCTTGCCTATATGATTGTTCTTAGTATCAAGTTGTTTGAATGGAAATAAAATTAATATTAGAAAATCTATACATCAAGTATTAAGAATGGAACGTACTGGTATTATCAAAGTTGACATCTAGTATAAGGTTCAAGTATTAGAACTTTTTCTTTAACAAATGTGTAAGTCATTATTTTATCATTGCATAATGGAAAAAATTGTTTGGGTAGAATTAAAAAAAGAATGAAGAAGACCGTTTATAAATGCATCATGATCAAAAACAAAATGTTGAAAATGTAAATTAAATTTTCAGAACGTATTTTCTTAATGTATGCATGAAAAAGAACTTGCATGAAAAAGCAAATGTGTTCAAAGTCTTGGGTTTTTGAAGATCATCATGGTTGGTCAAATTAAGACATTAGTCAATAGTCCAATTAGTTTAAGTAAATAAAATGTATTGATTGAAATCTCAAGTTTAATTGCCAATTAATACTTAATGAATTATTAATTTTCTAATTGGTAATGAAAGTTATTTGCGTTGCTATCCATCACTGGGTAATTCAATAAGAAAATCATTGTATGTTTTTTGAATAAAAAGGATATGTCCGGTACACATCAATGATACAGCAACCCAAAAGATTGTTTTAAATAATATCCTTGTGTGTTTTAAAACAGTGTTTGTATTATAATTAATACAGATTTAAAAACACATTTGATATGCCTAGTGAAGTGGAAACACCTTTAAATTTTAGTTCTTGAAAGTTCAGAAAAAAACTGTATATGTGTGAAATATTACACTTCAATACAGTATATTTATACCTGTGACAATACATTTGATCAGATTGTATACAATGAAGAAACTACTTTGAAAAAAATCAAAGTCAGACATTCAAGATTAACAAGTACTATAGTATTATAAAATACCCATGTCATGTCCGAATTGTCAACTAATTCAGACAGTACTTTTATTTTGCTATGTGAGATCTAGGTCTTACTTGAAGTCTAGTTCTTCTAGAGAACCATTTATTAAATCAAACTTTGTATATTTGTCCCTTAAAGTGTCTTGTCTGGGTTTTTGCCTTGCTTTGTAAAGGCCACATGAGATTTTATTTAAATTTTGGTGGTATTATTTGTATGCAGTATTTACTGAAATCACTATAAGTAATCTCGTATTTTGTCTATTATTCAAAATTCACAATAATAAATAGACACAAAAATTTCTGAATTTACAGGGGATGGAAATTGTCTCTATAGAAATGGTCAATAGGCAGAAAACTGAATTGATTAGTAAATCTATCTCAGATACTGACCAAGTGATACTGGTGTGGTAGCAAACACATAACAAAATGGAACAAATGAAATTCTCAAGAAAAAGTAAAGCTTTTTAAAAAGAATGCAAGATATTTGATCAAATGTCAAATCTTTGAACTAATTTCCAATACGAAATATTGTAAATTAATAGATGTCAAATTTTTGTGCTTACAGCTAGAGATTTATGGAAAAAGCGTTATTTTGAAGAAAAGAAGAGAACACCCCCATTAGAAGAACAGTGTAATAAATTACGACATGAATTGGACGTTATTCATAGAAAATTAATGAATGCTCTAGAAGGAAGTTCGAAGGACAAAAATACAAGAATGGAAAATTTAAAACCTTCAAAACAGGTTGGTTTAGGAGATCCAGGACAGAACTCAAGTGTACCATTTGGTTTTTTAAGCTATGATGGTTTACTTGTTCAAAAACAATTCCGACGGGCTGCCCTGTCCAGTAATGAGGACAAAATAAGTATTCCACCCAGTAGAGGTGGTATCAGTTCAGATTATGGTCGTTATGATATGGCAAATGCTCAAGCTAAAATAGAAAAACAAATTAAACAATCTAATCCGAGAGAAAAAATACAGTCTGATTATGGTCATTATAATGTAACTAAATCAAAGGACTCTGTCCAGAAGGAGCCAAGTGTTGTAGAAATTCTTAAGACTGCTAATATACCTAGTGATCAAATTTCATCACAATCAGATTTATCAACTATTGGTAAAGATGATTTGTCTAGTTTGCTGTCAGACCAGGTCTCAGATAGTACCAAAAGTATTCAGTCAGACCCAACTCATGGTCCAAAACTCCATACAGTTCATGGTCCGAAACTTGCCTTTTCTTTTAGTCCTATTGGTTCATGGATGAACCCTAATAAAAAGAAAAGAGCACATGTCCATTCTAAATCTGCAAAGATACCTTCTCCTATACTATCTCCTAAGTCTAAGAAGCGACCAGCTACTAAGGATAGTGGATCCACTTCATTTAAAAGTGTCCATTTTGACAAGGCTTATTATTACTAAATTGTAAATACCTAGGTTGTATCAGGAGGATGACACACTTTTGGGATGTGGAATATAGGGGGTAAAAAAAGATGGGATGTGGGGTATAGGGGGTTAAAAAAGTGGGGATGTCAGATATAGGGGGTAAAAAAATGTGGGATCTAGGAAAAAAGTGGAAAGTTGGAAAAATAAGCTGGATTTGGGAAACAAGCACCCTTATGTCACCCCCTCTTGTGTAATTTTGGTAAGATTGGTATTGCTCAAAATTTATCGTTTTAGTCATTTATATGTAGTGCATGGTTTAGAGCTCAAATTTTATTTTGGCTTACTCCTTTTTTATTTAGAGAAATTTTAGAAATCTTATGATAATATTGAAAGTGGGACGGTTTATTTGTTATTTATTAAACTATACTTTATTGAATCAGTTGTGTTTCATTTATATAGGTTTCCCTACTCATTTAAAATTTAATAGAAATAACTTAATATATGCACTGTCATAAGTCCCATATTTTTATACTGAAGGTTATAAGTAGAATATTACCACATTTTTTTATAATCATTGATTAAGACTTATTTCTAAATGTTAAAAAAGTTCTGATATTGATTTTAATGCAATTGTTGGCCATTAATTATACATGGTTTGACAAGAAGTAAGTTTGCTCGTGTCTTAAACCATTTTGTGCATTATCGTTGCATGTCAGATTTTGACATTTCTTGCCTCTAAAGAGAATCGTAGATAAAGGTTAAAAATGTGAGAATGTATAAATTATTGTAATGTCTTGTTTTTAGAGCTTTTGTTTCATACTGTTTGCAGTCTATGAGTAGAATTGCTCCAACCTTATACACATTTATGTCAGATGTTTTCTGAGTTTGATAAAAGCTAAACTTAATTCAGCAAAAAGAAAATGTTTAAATTCGCTTCGACTTGGTGCCATGATTTGAACATAGAGCACAAGCATTGCCCAGAAAAAATAATTTTGCAAGAGAGAAGAAAATTAAAAAGTAAACTTTTTGATAATATAATTTTGGATTGTACTCTATGAATTCTCTGCAAGTGTTTGTCAATGGTTAAAACTTTGTGTAATTTACCATTTTACTGAATTTCCTGCCACTATATGGCTGTATGACCTATATATGAATAATTAATATCCTTATAACTAAAAAAGACAAAATCTTATTGAAGTATGCGTACTCAACATTAAAATTTGCAAACTGGAGAAATTTTTAAATACATTTGAATTCAGGGCTGAATACTTTATGTATTTATGTAAGTTTTATTTTGATTTCTTATTTTGTCAGCTGTCAGTTATAATGCCCTGCTTTGTTAGTAGGCATTTGGATTCTGTCAGGTAAAAGTTTTGGTGTAAGATAGAATACCAAGCAGTTGTGGTCACATCAACTTGAAAACATGGTACACATGTTCATTATGAAGTGAACTTGAACTTGAACTTGAACTTGAAAACATGGTACACATGTTCATTATGAAGTGAACTTGAACTTGAACTTGAACTTGAAAACATGGTACATATGTTCATTATGAAGTGAACTTGAACTTGAACTTGAACTTGAAAACATGGTACACATGTTCATTATGAAGTGAACTTGAACTTGAACTTGAAAAAATATATGCCAAAGTTATGTTTGGATTCAGATTTCATGTTTCACTGAATATGAAAATATGATAGTGAGATTGTTTTGGATAGCCCCTTTTAAAAATTAAAACCTATTGCAATAAAATGTGTATACGTTTGGAGTTGTCCTCTGTAGTAGTATATAGAGAAATATTGAATATCTCCTTTATGTAGTGCTGTGATATTTTTTTCCAAGTGTTTTTATTTATTTGTTGATATCTGTGTGAAGCATTTATAATTATGCATTAAATATTTATTGTTTTATCAAGGAATGTGATATGAGATATGCTTAATTTATTGTTATTAATTTTCAAAATAAAATAAAACATAATTGTAATCGTTTTTTATTTTATTTTTCAGAATAATTATAAAATTCAAGCTACTCGACTAACACATGAGATAGATGACTTACGTCGCAGATTAGAAAATGCTAAAATGAAATTAACAGCAGAAATGAAGGTATGTCGCCTGACTGATCACACCTACAAACAAAACACTTAGATGTAAACACTAATTCTTTACACCATTCTGTACTATACTGTACAAATAATCTGGTTTATGGGTTTTGTTTTCTTTTTCTCCTTGAAGTAACATTTTTCATTGATCTACATGAAATTTTGAATTATACTTGTTTTACAATTATGAAATGGTGATACTTCAAATCCTTGTTTTTTATAAGATTGAAACTGCTAATCCAAAGTGTATTATCTCCATAAAACTGTCTCATTTATACTAACAGTGGAAAAAAGTGTTAAAGATATTTAAAGGAAAACATAAAGTCAATCATGAACATAATGTATCCATCTGCTACAGGAGATTAGATTTTTTTCATCATATAGACAATTGAATAGTGATATCATTGCTTTATTTTAATTCTGAGAGTTGCTAGGAGGTCTTCGGTGGTAGATAAAAACCTTACCCCAAGCCAGCTTAAGTGTAAACAGGAATCTTGTACATATTCTTTTTAACCACTACAAAACTTAAAAAAGTAAATTTTAAATTTTCTGTTTTGTAGTCTAGTACAAAATTTCATCTGTCCTTTAAATGACCAACCTTCATCAAACTTAGCTGGAGAATGACACTTAAAAAGAAGAACCTTATTGATATTTTAGTCAGTAGGTCAAAGGTCAAGCTCACAGTTCATATAAATACACTGAAATCTATTGGAAAAGTTTTGTTTCAGGACAATATCTTTGAGCCACAAATCAGATCTTAACCTATGTTTGGTGTCTAACATGCCTTGGGGTAAAAAAAGACACCTATCGATTTTAAGGTCAAGGGTCAAGGTTATATCAGCATTAAATTTTGACATATTTTTTGTTTCCCACCCTTTTATGTAAATTGTCAGCCGACTTCAGTCTTTATTGTACTTGACACAAAAAATGTTTCATCAACTACAAATCCTTATAGATTGCAACCCAGCTTATGCACCTATGGTTCTTCTGTAATTTTTTTAGCATGAGATAATTGTTGAAAATGTATGCATGAAATGATTGGTTCTTTGCTCATTATATAAACTAACCCATTGAGATTGTGACCTTCTGTTGTATTCATGAAGAGGTCATACATCTGGCAGAATTGAAAAAATCTTCAGGTCGTTCAGCAGTGAAGGAACTAAACAAGTATCATTTTAAAAATTTTAGTTATATGGGGAATTTTTGTTAAAAACTGGCAACTTGAATTTTGAAGAACCCTCTGATATTTATCAATCTTTCCTAAATCCAAGAAATTCACCTCATTTTAAAACAGGTCCATTTATCTTTTTTTAATATTTTTATTGGAAATGCTAGATGCGGATATTCAAAAGATATTCGAAAAATACAACATCAAATACTTTTCATCCACAGGAAACTTCAAATCACTTTCAACCTCCTGGTCAAAATGCTTGGCATGAAAGTCAAAGGAATCCTCTACAACCAAGACCACAATGGTCTAGAGGTGAAACTACAGCCTCATTCTTTAATGTTACACATTTACAATCAAAAATTTTTCTTTAATTTTACACATTTACAATCAAAATTTTATGCATGTACACAGTTTATTTAATTGCACAATTTTTTCACAGATAAAATATTTTGATAAAGTAATAAAATAACTTTCAGTGTGTGGTATTTAAATGCATGACCTAATTAAAGGAAATTCTGTGTGAACTTGATGCATGTTACTTTCTGCTAAGAAGACATGATTAACACAAATACAATTATCTTAAGTTAGTTTTGTTCACATTTTATTTTTAGAAATCCCTCACAAGAGCAAATTTGGCATGAGGCACATATTATGTACAAAAATTTTCTTGATTACATAAAAGAGTTCAAAAAATCTTCAATAATTTAGTAAGGGTGAAAGATTTGGCCTGTTCTGTTTTGCTCTTGAGAATACCGTAGATGTTGTCTTGTGTTTAAGAAACTACCCAAATTTATAAAACTGAATTAGAATTGAAATGCCTGTTGTACAGATATTTTTTGGTTAAGTAATGTAGATATTTCTGCACTATTATGTAATGTTTAAGAGAATAATAAAATTAGCCCCCTAGCTAGCTTTTTGATTTATGTTATCAGGAAGCAAGGTTTAGGTAAGAAATACCTATAGAGGTAATAGTTTACTATGTAGCTGTTTAAAACAACAATATAAACTTTTGTAGAATAGATTATCTCTTATGTAACTGAATACAAATATAAGAATCTATAAAAGATCAGTCAGGTGTTCATACCATTGGATTGGCAGTAACTAACTAACAAGTGTGGATTGGGAAGCTAACAGGATAATAACATAGTGGAAGGAGGAATTATCACCATTTTATAATAGACTCGTGTAAAACATTTCCCTTACTAATGCGGATGCAGAGGTTGTAATTTTTTCCAGTTTCAAGACTACTATGGAGCTATGTCTTCTCCTTGAGTTAATTTTACCTATACTGATAAAATGTTTCTAAAAATTGGAAAACTTAGAAAGTAGCTTTTAGTTTTAAAAGGAAAATGTTTTAAGGGAGTAGTGATGAAGTTCAACTCAGCTAACGATATGATGAATGATGTACAGAGGTTCTGCTTTCTGGGTGTCAACATGACTGTTTCCTGACAAATTTTCTGAGCCATAAACAATATCTTTCTGATAAAGTCCCATGAGGTAAGGAAAACCTCTATTTGCTTTGTGTCTAAAGGTCAAAGGTCAAGGTGACAGTAGCTAGATTTGGACGTATTGCCAACTTTTACTGACCTTTATTTTACAATGCCCAATAGGAGAAGGAGCACTCTTGATGTTGGGGTCAATAGTTCAAAGGTCAACGTCACATAGGCTATTGATAGACTGAAATTTGTTTACAGATGTAGTCTTTTTAATGGATGAAGAGGACTTTTTTTTTATTTGAAGTCACTAATTCAAAAGTTGAGGTCTCAGGAGTAATTGATAAAACTGAAATTGCTAAGACACCCATTGTTTTTCTGGAATTTTTGTACTCTTCAAAACTATTTCTTTTTTGATTAATCTTTCTTTTATGGTAATTGTGAGCTTGTATCACTTGGCAACTACTGAGCCTGTAGTCATTCTTCTGTCGTAAACTTTTGTTTGTTAATCTGGATTATAATACCACAGAAACAATGTTTAAGGTAGCTGGGGTGTCTAAATGTTCAACGATAGATTTTTTTTTAACTGCTGTATAAGACTTCTGCGTCAGTAAACTTTCAAATTTCAATATAAAAACTGGGGTCACAGACCTTCTTTTTTCGTTAAAATACATTGAAATTAACGATATCCCAGATATTTTGTATGGGTTATTTAGGGGAAACTTAAAGTTTTCCTTATGGAGGAAACATTAAACGATAGAATTGATTAAAATTCAATGAGAGAATTGCTTTTCATGAATACTTCCGAAATATCAAATGAAAATAGGGGGTCACCAGCCTTTTTTTCTTGAAAAATCAAAATAACACAAATTGTCCTATCAAATTCAAAGTAATTATCTGCCCTTGATTTTAAAAGTATTTTTGTGAAAATTTACACTTAACGACACTGAATATTTTGATAGTTTAATCTTTAAATTTCAAGTTTTAGATGTTTCTGTTGTATATTGAATGATGTTTGGTAAAATATTCTAAACTGAAAAAGTATTTTTGGAACATTCAAAAGGGATGCTCAGAAAAAGACACCTGATCTACTTTAAACCAAATGTGTATTGTCTTTAGAGTATTGTCCTTAAGAAACTTATGCTCAATAACTTTGCCAACCAATTGATTCCTGCTAAAAATACAATGTTTTGGAACTGTTAGGTGAATGTTCATGAATAAGATGATTCTTTTCGGACACTGAGTAAGAAGATCAATATCAGCACCTAAGGTAACCATTGTTACTACAGAGAAAAATTATTTGAATTCTTTCTTTAATTTCTGATTAAATGATTAGTTTTTCCAATAAGTTTTGAGCTAATCTCATACTTGGCATCCATTGTTGTCACAATAACACAATGTCATAAACTTAAAAAAAACAAATCTTTCAAACAAAAACCACTGAGGAAGTTAAAACCAACCTTGGCAATGACTATCCTTATAGGGACTAATTAGAAAAAAAAATGGTGCTGATTACCAATCTACCATCACAGCTGCCATTAACATGAACTTAACATAAAAATTGGGTTTTTGAAACTTCCAATAAGATTTTATAACTGTATTTAGTTTTAGGCCTCAAGTAGAATCAAATTAGGATTTCCATGTCACATGTTTGTTTTGGGTAGTTTTTAATTGGGCAATTGCCAGGCAGCAGACTGGGGAATCCCTGACCAATTTTTCTGAATATGTTTTTAAAAATTACAGCAAAGGCGTTTTCCCTCATTTTTGGACCCCTCAAATAGCAAAGCAATATGCTCCTTTTGAAATCTGGGGTGAGCATTAATCAATACTATACATACATGTTAGGTGATAGATACAGGCAAAATGGGGCCTCTTGCTTTTATATAGGTTCTTTTGGTTGTGAAATTCAGATACGGGCTATGCAAGCAGTAGAAACTGATAATATGTTACTGAATTTGAAAAAAAAAAGATGGATATTTCCTCTATGGAATGCAATTCACTAATTTATTCAGTATGATGCAAAAAATTATCAGATATTTAAAACTTTTGATGCAAATCTAATATCTAAGGTGGCCGCTTTATTTGACAACCAGGCTCAAGGTAGTTTATAGTTGATTGACATTACTTTAAATAGTTTAACCATATTATAAAGCATGTACAGTCTGATCAATCCATAAAAATACATTTTACAACTAGAGTTGTTATAGTGTGTGAATAGAAGGCTTTCACATTAGTTACACATCTTTCATCTTTCATTTGTCAGGATATTGCTATGATTTTAATTTCTAATTGAAGAATTGAAAGAGTTCTTTGTGTTTTTATTCTAATGAATGTGAAGTGGCTTCAATATTAAAAATAAGGAGATGTGGTATGATTGCCAATGAGACAACTATCCACGAGAGTTCAGATGAAGTAGATGTAAGCAATAATAAACCACAATACAGTCTTTAATGTCCTTTAATGTCTTGTTTTCAATTAATACTCAAAATTGCTACATAATAAACTCTTAAGAACACCAAACAGGACTACCATGGTTCATGTCTGTGTTTCATAAGAACTTCAGTTCTAAATTGAGTCTTGTAATACTTGTCTCTGGATTTAACATGGACTTAGAAAAAAAAACAGTAAGATAGTTGTTATCAACATTTTTAAAACAACAATCATGGAACTGATAAACATGCATAATAAACTTATGATGAAATCTTTGGATAAAAGGAAGATATCAAGGAGACGGTAAAACATATCACAAGTCAAAGAAAGATGTTCAACACGGTGGCCATAACAATAAAAGGATTTATTCATTGGTGATTATTTATTATTTTAGCTACGCAACCAGGCTGAGACAGAATTAAGAGCCTTAAGAGCAGAGTTAACCCAGAAGAAGATCCATTTGACTTTATCAAGGAATCAACAAATGGCAATGACCCCTGGTGGTGACAGTAGATATTATAGAACACCTGCATTGTCAAATAAAGCGTGATGTTAACATGTTGTAAATGTTATAAAATATCTGTGATATCATTGTGGGACGTAGAATTCTTAACAGTGTGAATGTTTATTTCAAATGGTTAATTTTATGTTATATATGACAACCAATATTCAGAAAATGAAAATGAAAGATTTAGATATCAATAGGGTTCTGTAAAAATAAAATAAATATAATATAAATTTGATATTGAAAAGTTGCATAGTTAGGTTCAAAATTATATATTACAATTTTTGTCCCCTATATATTCGACATTAAAATCATTTTTCAAAATTGTGTAGAAATATTTTATTTTGATTTCAAGAAATTTTTTACTGTTTGAAGCACATTTATGTCAAGCTTATCATTTTAAATTTGGTGTATTCTTCACTAATAAATTTTTTTTTCAATTTTTAAAATCTTCAATGAAAAAATATGACATCAAAATTTAAGAAATAATATTTAAGGTGAGATATAAATTCTTTAAAACTGGAAATCTTTGAAGAGCTAAAGAAGATACATGTATAAGGGAATTTGGAAATGTTTCTGCTTTATTTTTTGAAAATTTCATAAAAATTAGTTCAGAAATAGGTTATAATATGTTTGATGAGAAAATTTCATAGAAAATTTTAAGACTTTTGTAAAAAAAATATTGACAAGAAAAGGCTTTATTGCATTAGTAAATGGATAAATATATATCATAAATAAAACATTCCTTCAATTAATTATCATGAAACACTGAATGCAAATAGGTATTTTCTTTACAATTTAGTATTAGATTTTATAAAAAAGTCAATTATTTATTACTGTGTCCATTATGCTCATTACAATTAGCGGCCAAATCTGTCTATAGTGTTTAATGTTAGTGTTCTGTCTATATTTTTTCCCCATATTTTGCAATGCTCAGGATATATATGTTTTAGTGCTTGAATGTTCGTTCTTTTCTTCTTTTTTAACTGTTTGAAAATTACAAACATATAACTTCTTTCAAAAAGCAATTGCATATTATTGCAAATTTATTTATTATATTTTGATAATTCAAATAAAGCAATTCAAATAAAATTTAAATTAATTGTTGTAAAAGGCAAATAATTGTATAGAATGTTTTGGCCATAGGCTCTGATTCTTTAACTTCTTCAGATATTATCATCAATTATCATAAAATTAAACATTCACATTTTTTTAATTATTGTTTAAAAAACCTAAAAAAATACAAACATTTCATTTATACTAGAATGTGATTGTTTTGCAAGAATGGAGTTCCCTGATTCATAATTACAAATCCTACCATGTCATCTTTAATTTAATCAGGAATTACTTTTTTTGTTATAATTTCAAGATTCATAAGGCTTTTGATAAAAAAAAATTATTAAATCTAACCCAGAAGTCTGCTTAGTATAACAAAATAGATAAAGCAAACTCATTCATTATTAGAGGACTTCCAAGTTAGTACCTTACTCAAATATATAGTCTTGATAGTTATGTATTTTAAAGTTTTATTTCTACAATTTGTGCTGGTGTTAATGTTTTGTTTTGTCACTTAATCCGTCCATACTATTTTGTTTACCATTTTTAAGAAGTTTATATATTTTTCCAAATGCCATTTTATATATTTAATCAGTTATAACTGGTGTAAATTATTGTACAGGAGATAGTTTGATAAAACTTCTTTCTATAGTAGTCATTATTGTTTTTTTTATTCCCCTGTGACAAAATTTGGAGGATATTGTTTAACCACTGTCATCATACCTTTCTGTCCATATATAAGGTACATGATTTGCCAGTCAGACTTGGAACAACTTTCAATCATTATGGACACGAAATATGGTTATCCTATTACTTATAGTATCTGAGATGTTGACCAATGAACCAAGAAAATGAGGTCAAGGTCAGATTAACCTAGTCCAACATGGAATATAGTTGGCCTTATACTATTAGTATCTGAGAAATTGACCTAATCAGGAAAACTTAAAATTGATAACTAACCATGAAATGAGGTTAAGGTGAGTTGAACCATCTTAAAACATGTACCAGTATACCTTAAACAGTTCTTTCCTGATGATCAAATTTTGCTCTTAGAATTCTGTTAATCTATTTTAGTTATCAAGATTACTGGTATAGGCAAAAACTTTACAATTGGTTAAGATTATCATCATTAAAATTTACTTTATTAAGGGTTAAATTGATGGTTTCATTTATTTTACATTTTGAAGATTTTATATTGCTGATCAACGAATGTACCCCACATGAAGAGTTAGTCAAAATGTTGTTGAAATATCATTATGATAAACATTTTGCTCTGTTTGATAGTAATGGTAGTTAAAATAAAATTGTGATGAATGACATTAAACTTAGCCCAAAGAGGTTGTTTGACCCTTGTTGATTAGGTCATTCATACCTTCATTTAAGGGCAATAGCTCCAAATATGGAGTTGTTTGATAATTTTAAATATAACAAACAACTTATTCACCCAATGTTTTAAATAGTAAATCCCTACTTGTATTATATATTGTAGAAAATTCTATGCTCAGTGGGTATTATAAAAATTCAAAGTATTGTCAAAAGGAACTAAAGTGCCCTGCAGATCAGAAAATGGCTTATATGGTACAATTGAACATAAGAAAGTTAAACCCAAATATTGAATCATTTCTTTATACAATGAATACTATAGAATTTTAAAATATCATTAAACATAAAGTGACTGCATGACAATAAAAAAATATGCTTAAATGTTTTAAAGTTTGAACCAAATGTCAAGTCATTCCTTAGTACAATAACTGAGTACATTTGTAATATATAACAATTTATGGAATGATAAATGAACAGACTAACAGACAAAGTATACCATCCACTTTAAATTTTAAACTCATTTCCCCTGGGTTCTTTATAAAACTGATAATCAATGAAATGTGTTTAAATTGTGTTTTTCTATCAAATTAGATTTTTTTACGCCTTAAATTTATCAAAGAAAGCTTGCAGTTAAAATTACGATTAAATAAAACTGAGAGTTCTTCACATAAATAAAGGATTTCAGTTTCAAAAGTATTTTTTAATAATGTTTTAAACTTATTTCCTCTGAGTCCTATAGGAAACTATTTCAATGCTGTATTTATCATAGTTCATGCTGACAACATTTTAGTTCATTGATCACTGAAAATCTATTGGAAATACATCTAACACCAATAAATTGAAGTATTTGTTTCCTCTTTTTAGTTCACCTAGTCTACATGGCCAGTGTGAGCAATTCTCATCACCTGGCGTTCATCCTTAAACTTAACAAAAATCTTCTCCTCTGAAACTACTGGACCTATTGGAACCAAACCAGGCCACAATTATACTTTGGCTATCTAGTTTTTGTCGAGCCTGCGACTTTTGTCGCAGAAAGCTCGACATAGGGATAGCGATCCGGCGGCGGCGGCGGCGTTAGCTAACTTCTTAAAAGCTTTATATTTTAGAAGATGGAAGACCTGGATGCTTCATACTTTGTATATGGATGCCTCATGTTACGAAGTTTCCGTCAGTCACATGTCCAATGTCCTTGACCTCATTTTCATGGTTGAGTGACTACTTGAAAAAAAAGTTAAGATTTTTTGTAATGTTAAATTCTCTCTTATTATAAGTAATAGGATAACTATATTTGGTATGTGCGTACCTTGCAAGGTCCTCATGCCCGTCAGACAGTTTTCACTTGACCTCGACCTCATTTCATGGATCAGTGAACAAGGTTAAGTTTTCGTGGTCAAGTCCATATCTCAGATACTATAAGCAATAGGTCTAGTATATTTGGTGTATGGAAGGACTGTAAGGTGTACATGTCCAACTGGCAGGTGTCATCTGACCTTGACCTCATTTTCATGGTTCAGTGGTTATAGTTAAGTTTTTGTGTTTTGGTCTGTTTTTCTTATACTGTATGCAATAGGTCTACTATATTTGGTGTATGGAATGATTGTAAGGTGTACATGTCTAGCTGGCAGGTGTCATCTGACCTTGACCTCATTTTCATGGTTCAGTGGTCAAAGTTAAGTTTTTGAGTTTTGGTCTTTCTTTCTAATACTGCATGCAATAGGTCAGCTATATTTGGTGTATGGAATGATTGTAAGGTGTACATGTCTAGCTGGCAGGTGTCATCTTACCTTGACCTCATTTTCATGGTTCAGTGGTCAAAGTTAAGTTTTTGAGTTTTGGTCTTTTTTTCTAATACTATATGCAATAGTTCAACTATATTTGGTGTATGGAAATATTTTATGATCTATATGTCAGTCAAGCAGGTTTTATTTGACCTTGACCTCATTTTCAAGGTTCATTGCTCAGTGTTAAGTTTTTGTGTTTTCGTCTGTTTTTCTTAAACTATAAGCAATAGGTCAACTATATTTGTTGTATGGAAGAATTGTTAGCTGTACATGCCTGCCTAGCATGGTTCATCTGACCTTGACCTCATTTTCATGGTTCATTGGTCAATGTTTAGTTTACTTGGTTAATGTTAAGTTTATGTGACAGTTGTAATAAAGCTTTATATTTAGGACTATCAACATAATATCAATGATTAGTAAAGAAGGCGAGACATTTCAGCGTGTGCACTCTTGTATTAATATGCTGAGGATTCTGATTGCAAACAAACATGGCCACCAACATAGAACATAGGGGTAAAATACGAGTAATTGCTAATATCTTGAAAACAGTTGTAAAATAAATAAAGCAAAGCTGGCAGGTCAAAATTTTCTGAATGTCAAGTTTTACCCTTTGTTCATCTAGAGCAAAATTGTCAAATGAGTCCTTATAGGAGTTATTGTCCTTAAATGACAATTTGTACACATTTTTAGGGTTTTGGCTATCATGTTAAAAAGTATAATGGATAGAGAGAAGCAGCAAAATTGATCAGGAAGACAAATATAATCTTGAAAACTTTAAATAGCAAAAATGATCAACAAGACAAGATCTGCAAATAAGATAACATGGCTGAAATCATAAGTCAACACATTATAAAAGTTGTTGCCCTTTAATGTTTTTTTTGGTGGAAAATATAGTAGGTCAAGAGAAACTGTAAACAGCAAAATGATATCTACAAGTTAATTAAATGACAGAAATCATCAGTCGACTACTTATAGGAGTTATTACACTTCAATGACGACTTTTACCCTTTTTGTTTTTTTGCCTATAATCTTATAAACTTAATACAGCAAAAAGGATCAGCTAGACAAGATCTACAAATATGTCAAATTAGATGAAATCATCAGTCAACTTCTGATAGGAGTTATTGCCCTTTAATGACCTTTTTTGTCCCGTTTTGCTATAATTATACCCCACACAATTTTTTGTGTCGGGTATAATGTTTTTGACCCATCCCTTTGTCCGTCTGTCCGTCAGTCCTGTTCTTGTCATCACAACTCCTCTGAAACCACACAACAGAAGTTCATGAAACTTTGTAGACAATAAGGACATACTATGTAGATGTGCATGTCGACAGGAAATTATGATTAAATTTTTTTTCTAGGAGTTATGCCCCTTTGAACTTATTGGCCTCAATATACTACTGCACAGTTTGTCATCGCAACTCCTCTGAAACCACACAACAGAATTTCATGAAACTTTGTAGATAATAAGGACATACTATGTAGATTTTCATATCGACAGGAAATTATGATTAAATTCTTTTTCTAGGAGTTATGCCCCTTTGAACTTATTGGCCTCAATATACTACTGCAACAGTTTGTCATCCTAACTCCTCTGAAACCACACAACAGAATTTGATGAAACTTTGTAGATAAAAAGGACATACTATGTAGATGTGCATATCGACAGGAAATTATGATTCAATTTTTTTTCTAGGAGTTATGCCCCTTTGAACTTATTGGCCTCAATATACTACAGTCTGTCAGTCCTGTTCTTGTCATCGTAACTCCCCTGAAACCACACAACAGAATTTCATGAAACTTTGTAGGTAATGAGGACATAATATGTTAATGTGCATATCCACAAGAAAATTTTTATCAGTTGACTTTTGTAGAGTTATGAGTCTTTGAACTTAGGAATCTGGTGAGATTTTGTTTGTCCAGTGACAATGTGGGGGCATGGGGTATGTGAGTGTGCTCACAAAGGTTCTTTAATTTTAACTATAATAGATAGAACAAACGAAATTAAAACAACAAAACTGATCAGCTAGACAAGATTCACCAAAATGTCAACATAGTAGTTATTGCCCCTAAATGGGATATTTTCACCAATTTTTTTTTGTTTTTGATGATAACTATAGCAGATTGGGGAAACAGTAGAAAGCAAAAATGATTAGCAAGGCAAATAATTTTAGTGGACTGCTTATAGGAGTGGTAGCCCATTAATCGGGGTCTCATTGGAGGAGTTGGATCCCAGATCCAAGACGAGATTGTTTGCCTACACATTCCATTCAACAGACATATTCTTGTTACAATGTATAAATAAAGTTTATGCAGAAATATCAGGTGCGCAATACATCCTTCTTAGAGCCTCTGGTTTTCTATTTTCCTTTTTGTTGCTGTCATGTCTTTAGACATTTGAACCTGTACTTAAGTGGCTATTGAATTTTTTGGATACAACCATTTTACAAAAAGTACTATGTCACCCATTTGTCGTACAAAGTGAGTTGAACTAAAAGAAGTTTTTAATTCCAAAGAATTTTATGGAAACATCTAGCAAACGTAGGTTCTACATATGAAGTCATCACATGATATAGTAGTCCTATACAATTAATGTTTAAAGAAAAACAGGAATCACAAAAAGTACCGAACAGTAACAACAGACATAACCAACCACTGACAACCGACTCCTCCAAGGAAAAATATGAATATCCAAATAAAGAAAAACAACAATAAACAACATTTGGTTCACATAGCCGAACTTGGAACAGGCATAAAATGTGCAAGGTTCAACAAGATTTATGTGCACACAAACCTCCCCCTTTGCCTATCTAACCCATATGTCATAAATATCAAACAAACAATGAAACACTTGCACAGTCTAGCTACAAACAGGATGCACTCTACTTTGAAAAACAAAATAAAAGACGGCACATAATTTAAAAGCAGGGTCAAAATGTGCCAGCTACTGCAGGAAGCTAGCCACACCTGTTGGTTGAAAACTGCCACTTAAGAAAACCAAAAATAGAAAACCACACTACTTACATGTTTTAAGAAGTTTTTTCATTGAAATTGACAGTACTTGTGAGAGGCCACTTGGTATTTAGAATCATCAAAGCTTCAGAGAAAAGAGCAATTTTAACTGCATTAGTTAGTATTTGGTGGCTGTGGTCTAAAATAAATTAATCAATAACAGTCAAGTGTTGAGGCATAACAATTTTTTTATTAAGATTTTGCTCTGACAAAGGACTTAATTAGCTGACCTTAAAAAAGTAAACAAAACTGGTTTGTAGATAGTGGTGTTTTGACTGCATCAAATAACTAAAACATCTTGCATGAGTATTTTAAAAAAACGGTACACATGCAGAATTGTCTCGCCTGCTTTACTGATCACAAATGATTTTATGTTGAAAGTCTTATAGACTTATGGTTTTACTACAAATATCACAAACTTATTATTATCAATGATCCATGTAAATCAGTTCAGGCTCAGATGAACCCTACCTGCAGACTAACAAGTGCACCTTACAATAAATAAATACATACACTAAAAATAGAGAACCAATTGCTTATAGAAACATACCTAACCACAACAAGAGTGCACACGCTGAAATGTCTCGCCTTCTTTACTAATCATTCATATTATGTTGATAGTCCTAAATATAAAGCTTTATTACAACTGTCACATAAACTTGACATTAACCAAGTAAACTAAACATTGACCAATGAACCATGAAAATGAGGTCAAGGTCAGATGAACCATGCTAGGCAGGCATGTACAGCTAACAATTCTTCCATACAACAAATATAGTTGACCTATTGCTTATAGTTTAAGAAAAACAGACCAAAACACAAAAACTTAACACTGAGCAATGAACCTTGAAAATGAGGTCAAGGTCAAATAAAACCTGCGTGACTGACATATAGATCATATAATATTTCCATACACCAAATATAGTTGAACTATTGCATAAAGTATAAGAAAAAAAGACCAAAACTCAAAAACTTAACTTTGACCACTGAACCATGAAAATGAGGTCAAGGTCAGATGACACCTGCCAGCTAGACATATACACCTTACAATCATTCCATACACCAAATATAGTAGACCTATTGCATACAGTATAAGAAAAACAGACCAAAACACAAAAACTTTACTATAACCACTGAACCATGAAAATGAGGTCAAGGTCAGATGACACCTGCCAGTTGGACATGTACACCTTACAGTCCTTCCATACACCGAATATACTAGACCTATTGCTTATAGTATCTGAGATATGGACTTGACCACCAAAACTTAACCTGGTTCACTGATCCATGAAATGAGGTCGAGGTCAAGTGAAAACTGTCTGACGGGCATGAGGACCTTGCAAGGTACGCAAATACCAAATATAGTTATCCTATTACTTATAATAAGAGAGAATTTAACATTACAAAAAATCTTAACTTTTTTTTCAAGTAGTCACTGAACCATGAAAATGAGGTCAAGGACATTGGACATGTGACTGACGGAAACTTCGTAACATGAGGCATCCATATACAAAGTATGAAGCATCCAGGTCTTCCACCTTCTAAAATATAAAGCTTTTAAGAAGTTAGCTAACGCCACCACCGCCACCGCCGCCGCCAGATCACTATCCCTATGTCGAGCTTTCTGCGACAAAAGTCGCAGTCTCGACAAAAACTTGACAGTGACCAATGAACCATGAAAATGAGCTCAAGGTCATATGATACCTGCCAGCTAGACATGCATGTATACAACTTACAATCATTCTTTACACCAAATATAGTTGGCCTACTGATTATAGTATCTGAGAAACAGACATAACCAGGAAAACTTCAAATTTGACCAATAAACTATGAAAATGAGATAATGGTAAGATCAATCATACAATACACAAAATATATAGTTGCATATAGTATTGAAGATAAGGACCAAACTAAGGAAACTTTGACTTTTATCAATGAAACATGGAAATGAGGTCAAGGTTAGGTGATACCTAGCAAACAGACATGTACACCTTATAATCATTCCATTCACTTAATATAGTTAAGCTATTACTTATAGTGTCCGAGAAACGCACCAAAACACAAAAAGTTAACATTAACCAATAAATCATGAAAATGAGGTCAAGGTCATACAAAACCTGCCAGTCTGACATGTTCACCTTACAATCATTCCATGCACCAAATACAGTTGACCTACTGCTTATAGTATCTGAGAAATGGAAATCACGTAATTTGAACTTTGATCACTAATCCATGAAATGAGGTAGAGTTCAGGTGAACCCTGTCTGATAGACAGGTAGATCTTGCAAGGATTTAAGAGACCAAATTTTATTATTATACTATTTCTCATAAGTGGGAACTTCAACTTGGCAAAAAAACTAAGCAGTCGCTGAACCATGAAAATGAGGTAGGTCAATGGTCATATGACAGACGGAAACTATGTAACATAAGGCATCAATATACAAGGTATGAAGCATCCAGGTCTTCTACCCTCTAAAATAAAAGATGGATTGTAATCCCTATGTCTCACTTACTGTATCTCTCATTGCAGGCAAAACAAAAATCATCTTTGTTATCTCTATTTTCTGGTGTTGTCAAATTGAAAAGTTTTGCCTAACCAGTTACTCGGATAATCTATCAACTGATTAATGGGTCAACCAGTAGTTAAGTTGATGTTTAAAGGCCTTATCTTGTAGGTTTTTATGATACAATAGATTGAAGTTATACATTTTAAAAAGGCTTGGCTTTGTTCATTCCTGGTGAAGTCTTGTTTTTAATAATCCAATACTACTGTATCTACTATGAAGTTTGTAATAACTTCAGATTGAGAAGATGAAAATCTTCTTGATCTCGTCGTATTGACAATGTCTAAAACCATTGATTGTTTCATTTTCTCTGGTGTCTCAGAAAATAATGTAGAGTCTTTCAAATTGAGATGATTAAGCATGTTACTCTTACCACCAAGTATACATTAATTCCATTCTGGCGGGGGACATTTTAGCGAAAAAATCGTACGTTTTAGCGCCAAAGTATAACCCATTTGAGCGCAAGATTTTGAACCCATTTTAGCAGAAATTAAAATGATCAATGCCCATTTAAGCGCAATATTTTTAATCCATTTAATAATAAATAATAAATATTTTTTTAATAGAATCAAGAAAGCACACTATAAAAAATATCACCATGATCGTGTCCATTAAGATAAGCACTCAAAGTCTAAAAGGTTAAATAAAATGTTAAAAGTCACTTCTAGCTCGGAATTTATATCCTAGAGAACGTACATGATGGGCTCTGGATATACCCCCTGTACAACACTGTTCATAAAATTGCAGTAGGAACTGTTCTTTCTCTTTATCTTGTCTAGATTGTGGTGTTCATTTGTCTTTAATACTTCGTATTTTTATATATGTTGTTGTTTGCAATTTGATGATAGTGCCAAGAAAAATGTAAATAGCTGATGACAACTATAAAATTGCTCATTATAATAGGCATGGAATGACTCTGGGCCATTATTTGTTTGCTATGAATTACATGGAACTATTCGTGGTTTTAGTAAGGTGAAAATTATTCAACCAGGTAAGTTTTCGCTGAAATGGGCTATTGAAAATACAGGTGAATGGATTAATCCTGCGCTAAAATGGGCTCTAATGTCTGCGCTAAAATGTCCCCTAGTAGTTTAAAATTTTTCTCTAAATGTCCTGCGCCCTTCCATTCACATGATTCGCATTTCACCATTTTTTAGTTGGCATTTCTTTTAAAGTATAACAAAACCCTTGACGATGGAGGTGGTTTATTTACATTTATGTCTACGCAATATTAAACCAAAATATAGAATTTAAAATTTAATCAGCTTACAACTGTTCAAAATACATGTAAGCTAATTATGTTTACTTTAGATCTTGCCCTGAGCTGATCGACAACTTCTCATTATGCTAATTAATTTTGTAAAATTGGAATGTTTTCAAGGTTAACAATAGCAATCAATATACTGGACAATTGATCTGTCAAATTAATTACCACGACGATCATTTTAAAATTCAACAAAATTTATTAATGATTTCATTACACATTTATATCAAATCTATTAAAATTGAAAAAAGGTCCAGTTAACTGGTTAGCATTTTTGGTATTCTATATTGGTCCTATGGACAGTTAACAACATTACTATTTTCTAATATCTCAAGGCCTCGTCATATGTTGGAAGCCATTGGGTTTTCTGATTTTCTAATCTCTCATAAAGACGAGAATCAAATAATGGATATCAACTTGATTTGTGTAACTAAAATATGACCCTGACCAATCCCATCTGATCTCCTCTTGCTTCGATTACATACCAAATATATGAAGTGTTATTTTTATTGTCTAGCACTGGTTAGATACCACTGCTGGTAGAATATTTGTCCCCAAGGGTATCAACAGCTCAGTAGTTAGTGTTTTGGTAATTATATGATTTATAACATACTTTTGTTAAGATTCTATATATAATTATAAAGAAACTAAGGATCAAACTCCCTTAGGCAAAGTTGACCTTGGATGATTTTGGCTAGTCTTTTTAGGTCCCTTTTGGTCATAATGCTCCTCGTGTATTCAAGTATAAATACATACTTGGCTTAAAAAATTTGAGGTGTGAGCGTTCCTGACGAAGGTTAATCTAGAAGAGTGCACCAAATTTATAAAGAGTCATTTTCATTCTGTAGTCAATTTTTTTTATAAATAAATGCAAACACTTTTGTTCAGAGTTGTTCAATTAAAACATAAATGGTACCCAGAAGATGCACTTTGAAAATAGGGTTACCATCTATAGAGACAAGTTTTAATATCACTTACATTTTTACTATTTAAAAAGTATTTGACATCCATCCATATTTGAGATTTCTATGTGTCTTTCCTCGGTCTCATGTATGTTTTTTATAGAAAAACCCTCAGTATATAATGGTCATGTGTTTAATTTAAAAACTAACAAATAATCTCACACTTTATTTACAACATAGCTACCATATTTTCTTAGATGAATGATGAAAAAGTGACATGATGCTAAATTGCTGAAACATGATTTTATGAACAAATGATAAAAATCTGATAAATATTAAAGATATAGAACATTATTACAATATAAAATCTATATGAGATGAATTTCTTTTTGATGTATAAATGTATTATTTTTCCAAAGAAAAATGCTTGGCCAAAATGACATTTCACAGGTATAAAAGTAATTTTAACTAAGGCTGTCCAAAATTGTTAACATTTTCACAATGGTAAGAATGTTTCAAAGGGAGTTACATGTATATGGTAAACAGTTTAATAAGGATAAATAGCCTTCAAATAAATGTAAATGAGAGTTCTATTTAGAATTTGACTTATTTTTGTTAGTTGTTAGACTAGGCTGTTAATAATGACAGTTTCTTTTGAGAAAATATTACTGAATTAAATGATGATAAACATTAAAGGAAAACGACTTTCAAAAAAGAATAATTCAGTGCATTTGTAAAAAAAAAAAAGAAATTGATTAGATAATTATGGATGACCTCAATAAAACCATCTTTCAACGATGAATGAAAATGAACATGGCAATCAGATTTGTATCAGATCTAATGTTACAATCCAGGATAAGTATTAACAATATATGTGTGAGTTAACATATTATGTTAATCAGAATATATTTGAATGGTGCTTTATTTCATAACCATTCCTTAAACAATAAGTGTGATTTATTTTCCTTAAATGTGTCCGATTTTCCATAATATCAGATATTCTGCAGGTGATTTATTTTCCATAAATGTGTCTGATTTTCCATAATATAAGGTATTCTGCAAAATTAGATATAGCCAAAAAATATCAAAACCCTTTTCAAAAGTATAAATTACAAGAAACAAATACTCTTATTCTACAACACAACAATCAATCAAAACATTAATTTTACAATACTATAATTAATCAGTTAACCAACAAAATAAACACTCCATTCTATATTACGCAGAGCACATTCTATGTCCATAGATCATTTCATTCAAATCTTCAGAAACTTCAAATTATCAAAAAAAGAAAATAATAAAAACAAACCTTGTAATTACGAATGAGTTTTTTCTGCCAAGACAAACAGAATAACAACCTTTAAGAACACAATATTCATTTTAGTTGATTCTATAAAAGCAATACTTATTGAAACTAACTTCAAATTTGTTCATTCGAATAAAATATTTCCTAAAAATATATATATGAGAAAAAGAAGTTTAAATGGCCACTTTCCACTGTTTGTTTAAACATTCAAGTTAAAATATGCATGTTTTTAACATAATAGTACATGATTTCAATGTTTACATTGCACATACTAAACATAATCAACCTCTCAATATTCCTTCTTTTTCTACCAAAAAAGAAGGGGATGATATTATAAGAGTCTGGATGGGGGGGTCCTCTGTTTCTGTATTCTTAAATATTTTAGGTTATATTTCTCTATTTATTTTTTGCCCATTTTTTTCTATTCTTTATATTTTATCGCGACATTATTCTATATTCTTTACTTTTCTTGGGCCTATTTTTCTCTATCCTTTACTTTTCTTGGGCCTATTTTTCTCTATCATTTACTATTTTGGCCCATTATTCACTGTTCTGTAAACCCCATCCAGACCCTCATATCATAATCGCTATTTATTAGAGAACCCATGAGGGCATTACTCCAATAAGATGTATTTAATATACACCAAGATATCATGGTTAATGCAAAATGATAGATTTAGTATGTTAAGGATAAATATGATAAATACAGAATATACAATTATTTTTTAATGACATCTTGGTGTAGGTATACTTATGATAGCTAGTCCTGTCCTAAAATTATAAAGAAAGTTAACTGCTGTAGACTTTTTGACCTTAATGATGGGTGCTTCTCTTCCTTTTAATATTCACATAGTCTTTGTATTTGACGTATTGATAGGTATGATTCCTCCTTTCAAGGCATGCCTAAATGTGACATTGTTGAGGATGAAAACTTGTACTCTATTCTAATTGGTTGAAATGCCATGTTTTAACCATTTCTATAACATAGGAATATTTTCATGGCAAGATTCGACATATATGTTTAAACATTCATGTTGAAAACATGCAGTAGAAAGCAGCATTGAAACATATAATATATGACATTTAAATCATAACAAATATTTATGTCAATGTCAAAACAATCTAAAGATATTATGAATGAGTTATGGAAAAGGCTACCACAGAGTACTTTTAAAAGGCCATCAAATTTTTTAATACAACAAAAGTTGTAAAAATATCTAAAACTATGTATTTTGTCAACGGTGAGTAATAACTACTCCAAACTTTGCTTATATGCTCACAATATTTGTCCATGCCTTCTTTATCCTGCTGGACTCTATATACATTTCGGTATTTTGGACTTAGGTGGTCCACCAGATAATGCAAGACCTGATTACAGGTTACCACCATGAACAGATGACTCTCAGTTTAATCTGTATAACTACTTTTTCAAAAACTTTTAAAACACTGAGAAACTGCCTTTTTCATTTGAAATATATGTAAGGACCATTAATAACTGAATTGTCAAAGTAGCTGGTCAACATCTACATGCAAATTTAATGTTACACAAATGACAGAACCAGCTGTCATGATATCAATTATTTATACAGTTCTTCAGTCATACATCTACAAAACCATCTGTATCTTTATCATTGTCTTTTTCTCCATCATAAAATTCATTGTTAGCTTCAACTCTGAAATTTCATAAAGAAATAAATTTATACATTTCAAACAAGTGATCTATTAAGTAGCTTTGGTATAAAAATCACCAATGAAAATGACCAAGATGACATTTCAATATACTAAATTAAATGTTAAAGCATGGAAACCCAATTTTGATAATTGAAGAGGTTGTTATTGCTTTATAAACACAGTCTCTTTTATTCATAAATATAACCCATCTTTTTGTTGAAACACTTTTTGATCAAATATGATTGATTGATTGATTGATCGTTGGTGTTAAAAGTGATTTTTAGCACTATTGACCTTTGGATGGCGGCACAAGTCTGAGTGCCTGGAGAGAACCACTAAATTTGGAGAAGTGGCAGGAAAACTGGCAATCCTAGTCAATTAAGATGGATTGAATTCTCTTTTTTTCAAAGTGTAAAGTTGTGATTATGCAAAAGATGAACACAATGCATGTGGCATTGAACATAGTGATGCAAATATAAATGAACGAGCCAAGAGAATGGTTCGTACTCCAAACCTCAGTGTTTACAGTTTTAGTAATCACTGTAGACAAACTGCTCCGTCAATGAGGCCCTGGTTAAATATAATAACAAGATAAAAATTTACTGTTGATTCCTATGATTTAACTAACCTTTTATCGTTTTCATCTTGATGATTTCTGATATCTGGATCAAGTTCCTCTGTGTTCTCCAGACTTAACAGATCTGATGGCACATCTTGCATTTGTACACTAGGGGAGCTAACTAGGTTCTTCAGAATCTCATGTACAGTTCCCCTTATGTTATCTAAATACTGAAAAGAATTGTTGAATACATTAAGCTGTAATCAAGTTATATCCTTAATTGTCATTTGGTAAACATTATCTAAAAAATTAAAACTAGAGACTCACTTTGGCCTGTATTATTGACCTAATTTTTACATTAAAACACAGAATAGATAAAATATAAAAACATGTAAATACACATACACATGTATTTGCATCTTCAATCAAAACGGATTTAGTATAGAGATATCACATATTAATTATCAGGAACAAGATTTTTTACCTTTTACAGAATACATGGACTGTAATTGCAATCTATTTGTATGTTTTATGTACAGAGAAGAGAACTAGAAACAGAATAAACCATAAGAACCATACAGCATACTTATCAAAATGGACTTGAAACATATGGATATTGTACCAAAACCTCAATTTTAACTGATTTACCACTATTCCCACAATTCCCAACATGTGCGACAACCATACATCCAACAATATTCCTGACTCAATTAGTAGCAGTACCTCCTTCAGAGTGAAACCAGTTGAAATTGTACAGAATGCCTAATGAGGTGTTGTCCAGTTTGAAAATGAAAATGACAATTTATCATTACATTTTACTATCACTTTCCTTTTAAAGTTGTCATACCAAAATATATGACTTCCTGTTAACCTTTCTTTTACCCCACATGGATCTCATTTTATTATTTCAGAGTATGTTTCCTATCTTTATATTGTCCAGAAGACGCCACTCCTAAGTGGCGAAACAGGTTAACCACAATAAAATAATTTCCTTGTCGTAACCAGGATGTTGTTGTCTTTTTATAGTTTGGATTTATGAGGTTTAAAGACAACTGCAGCATACCATCCTGATTATTCTACCAGCTTGTACTGCCAGAAGGTGTTGGTTCAGTTGACATATTTATTTGGAATAAAAAGTTAGACGATAACAATAGACAATCAAAAACTGAAGTTGAAGGAAGACAGATAACACCATGGATATATTGCCTACAATATAGATAACATACCTGTTTGTTGCCTACAATATAGATAACATACCTGTTTGTTGCCTACAATACAGATAACATACCTGTTTGTTGCCTACAATATAGATAAATTACCTGTTTGTTGCCTACACTATAGATAACATACCTGTTTGTTGCCTACAATACAGATAACATACCTGTTTGTTGCCTACAATACAGATAACATACCTGTTTGTTGCCTACACTATAGATAACATACCTGTTTGGTGTTTAAGTTTTCTTGCTTTGTTGATACATCTGGATGTAAAGTGAAGTCTGGAGAAAAATATTCTAAATATTCTGAAAGAATGAAAATCCATAATTGTATAATGATTTTGTCTATATGAATAAGTAGAGATGTGGCATTAATATCAATAAGAAAATAAACTGTTGACACAGAGATATGTCTCTCCTGTATTTAATTGATAGAAAAATGCAAATGTTGAAATTAAAAAAGCAATACTTTGAAATGCAAAATATGCAAAATATTCAAAGTAAATAAACCATGACTGAAGGTATAGGGCCAAATGATTTCTGTGGAAATAATATATGCCAATGCCAATGCTTATACAACTTCATACCAAAAACCTTGACTATCATAAATGGTTTGCCTTTCAAAATGAACTCCTCCCAAACCATCTTCGCTAGCCAAGGATTACGATTCAGTCCCCTCCTCTCCACCCTTGGCAGATCAAGCCAACATTTGTGATTACAATTCTGCGCCATCTACAGGTAGACAAAAATCATGCCCATTCAGACTACATCATTCTTGACCAATGGTAGCACTTGAAAACTCTTCAGTAGAGAGGTGTAAAAACGGTTGTGTCTAGTGTTTACAAATTTCGTGAAGTAGGAACCGAAAATACACATTGGCATTCCAACACTTGTGCGTGAAACATATCCAGAAACTTCAATTAGTTGATAATGAACTTTAAGATTGTCACTAAAGATCGTCCTATGCTTTTGTGGTAAAGACTTGTTGCACAATCTACACATGGCAATTGTTTATTTACATTTTCTTCATTTACATGTGATCATCTTAAAGGCTCTTTTTGATTGGATGCAGCCAGTTACAACTGCGACCAAATATCATCATAAGTGGTTCCCCTTAATCTGACTTAATCACAAATTTTAACAATTGTTAACGCCTGCCACCGCTGCCACCCCCAAAAACAGCATACCATCAAGGCAAGGCAAAAACTTAATGAAAAAAAAAAAAAAGACATAAAGACATCTGTGGTTTTCTTTGAAATTACCACACACTACATATTTTGAGTAATGGCAGCCATTCTTGCTGGTCGACTGGATCAAACTGGGTATCATGCATTTAAATGCCTTACCATTATAAGGTATATCATTGCTAATATCTTCATCCAATAAAACGGCTGTCTCGTACGTCCAGCATCGTGCTACATTCCTTTTTGTGTATCCTCCTCCTCCTAGTACCAGTGTTGGTAATCCATAATTCTTCACTATCTTTACACATTCACTGAAATAACGTTTACAGTCAATAATCTTGCTTTAATGAATTTCAAACCAAAAAAGTAATATTAAAAAAAACAAGAAATGATTGTAACAGGATGCTGTTACGAATTCTCCCAAACGAAGCTCCCATAATTCGTAATTCCCAGGGTCGCCTGACATTGGGCAACGTCCAGTGAAAATTGGTTTGGTCCAGTAAAGTTATATGCATTAGTGATGCCTGGGGACTAACCTTGTATATCATTCTAATCATCTTGGCATGACAAACCAGAATATATATGGTTTAGGGGTGGGGATCTCGACCATTTACAAGATACTAGAATATTGGGGGTGGGGAGGAACCCCTGGGGACTGGCCCTATACGTCATTCAAATGTTCATTACATGACGAACAGGAATATATATGGTTTAGGGGTGGGGATCTCAACCATTTACAAGATATTAGAACATTGGGGGTGGGGGGAACCCCTGGGGACTGACCGTATACGTCATTCAAATGTTCGAGACATGAAAAATAGGAATATATATGGTTTAGGGGTGGGGATCTCAACCATTTACAAGATATTAGAACTTTCTGGCAGGGGGTCGGGATGACCCCTGGGGACTAACCCTGTATATCATTCAAACCATCTTCGCATGACAAACCAGAATATATATGGTTTAGGGGTGGGGATCTTGACCACTTAGAAGATATTAGAACTTTCTTAAATGGCAGGGGGTGGGGGTGACCCCTGGGGACTAACTCTGTATTTCATTTGATGTGCTTTATCATGACAAACCAGAATATATATGGTTTAGGGGTGGGGATCTCGACCATTTACAAGATATTAGAACTTTCTCAAATGGCAGGGGGTCGGGATGACCCCTGGGGACTAACCCTGTATATCATTCAAACCATCTTAGCATGACAAACCAGAATATATATGGTTTAGGGTGGGGATCTTGACCACTTACAAGGTATTAGAACTTTCTTAAATGGCAGGGGGTGGGGGTGACCCCTGGGGACTAACCCTGTATAACATTTGATGTGCTTTATCATGACAAACCAGAATATATATGGTTTAGGGGTGGGGATCTCGACCATTTACAAGATATAAGAACTTTCTCAAATGGCAGGGGGTCGGGATGACCCCTGGGGACTAACCCTGTATATCATTTAAACCATCTTAGCATGACAAACCAGAATATATATGGTTTAGGGGTGGGGATCTTGACCACTTTCAAGATATTAGAACTTTCTTAAATGGCAGGGGGTGGGGGTGACCCCTGGGGACTAACCCTGTATTTCATTTAATGGGCTTTATCATTTAGAACATTTTCAATTAAAAAGATTGTACGGTTTTCAATTTATAATCATTTGAAAATTTTTAAAAATTGAATCCCATAGGGTTCTATAGTAAAACCCTCTTTTCTTTTTGCCCCTCAAAGTACCCCTTTATAAACCCCATCGCACAAACAAAACCCTGATTGCACCACTAGACATGTTAGTCTAACATATTGTGAAACCCTAAGTTAATCTGACAAGCGGTTTTGGAGAACGGGTGCGGACAAGTTCAAATTTAAAAGCGGCGGAAGAAGAAGAAGAAGAAGAATAATAATAATAATGAGAACTGAGCAAAAACAATAAGTCTTCCCAAACTTCGTTTGGGAGACTTAACTACAAGACTGAAAAATACTTTTAATAGCTATAAAACCTTCTGTAGCAGTAACAAAGTGACCAATCTTTTACAACACCTACAAAAGGTGTCTTTAACTATTCACAATGTGACATTCAGGTCAGTATAAATTTCTTATAAAAGATAACCAACCAAAAAACAAGCACCAGGGTCCAGGGAACATGCACTGATGTTAAAGTGGCTTATTTTTTGATGGAAATCATATAGAATCTCCTCCATGTATTGACATACCATGTTGGTTTCAAGTATTCACGAAATCATTTAAATTTGAAAAAGAATTTACACAGTGACATTGTTCTCTGCTCATATTGCTTAGTGCAAAATAGAAATCCAAAACATCTATCAGACAGAACTTTTTTTAGACACACATAGCAATTGTTGCAAATAGTAGTCAATTCTAGGTGTCACGAAAAACATTCAATATCACAATTGTTTGATAATAATGATGTATAACAGTGAGATCAGAAGATGGATATAAAGAAAAGTACAAAAAAACAGTGTAAAACTTCTTATGGATTAAACTAAAAAAAGAAAGGCAGAAGAAAAATATTTCTATTTGTTTGAGCTGCTACCTACATTTTATTGCAGGTAGAATTTAGCAAGAAATTTTTATGAATATTGTGATCTTCATGCAAAATATGAGGCAACAAATAGGGAACTGAATCTTAAAGAATATTTTTACTGTCTCATTCAAAATAAACAGTCTAAAATATTCTTTTCATATACTTATTATCATTTTCGACGTATAATTCAAAACTATGGATTGATATGATAGTGCTGGCATATAATATGATTTCCCCCTTATTTGCATTATAAATGCATTTAGACTAATTTGACTAGTTTATTGCATAAAACTTAAACTTACCCATGACCTTTGATACTTAAATTAAAACAACCCAATCTATCACTGCCTAATGAGTCTGCTCCACACTACAATTATAAATATATAGCGGTTTCATTTGTTATATTAGTATAGTATACATAACATCATATATTCTGATCATAACTTTAACAAATTTTATAGATACTTAACAAAAATCAATACAAACTTTTATTATTTTCTCTTACTGATATTGCAAAATACTGTGTTTTAATCACTGCGTAAAGTATTTTTAGATACTACCGGTATCTGCCACCAAAAGTGCTAAAAAGTTGTGCAACTGACTTGTAGAAACAAAACCTGACAATTTTTTTTTTATAAAATTCATTTGACTCTATTTTTGAAAAGATGATTACCAGGCAATTGATTTATATTATTGGCAACACTAACTTCACTTTTGACACAAGTTCAGTTTATTTTTCACTTTACGATGGAAATAAAATGACTTAGGGTCAGCGCTCAAAAGTAGGGTAGGTCGGGTAACCGTAAACAGACATATATTTTTTTTTGGCCTTAGATTCAGCATATTAAAAAAAAAACCATGAACTCAAACAAAGTTTAATTTTGGACCCTTTGGACCTTTATATGGACTCATTTGAAAACAGGGCCCAAAATTAAAAATCTGAATGCACAGTTAGATTCAGCATATCATAGAACCACAAGAATTCAGTTTTTGATGAAATCAAACAAAGTCTAATTTTGGACCCTTTGGACCTCAATGTAGACCTATTTAAAAATGTCCAAATATCCAATTTAGTAATACATGGTAAAAACCTCAAACAATTCAAGATTTTAAATTAATTCTCATTGAAATTGGTTAAAAGATTTGTATTTATTTTCAATTGAAGATTTCTTGCTGTTGTGCAATAAATACTTATCTGTTGCGCAATACTTAGTAAATCTGTTTACAAACTAAATATAATAATTTACGCACCCTGTTTAGGTTGTATCTCCTACCATATCAGTATTTGTTGTTTCTTTATATAGATCAGAAATAATTTATGTTAGAACCAGCTTAACCAGTATTAGAAAAGTCTTGTTTTTGGCCCCTATTTGGCCTCTAGTTTCTTAACGATTAAAGCCACAACCCCCAACCTTCTGTGTGTGGTATAGAACCTTGTGGTACAATTTCATAGAGATCCATTGACTAATACTTAAGCATTTGTTCGGAAACCAGAAAAACTGTGTTCCTCCTCCCCCTTTTTGCCTCTTATTCCTGAAAGGTTATGGCCATAACCCCCAAAGTCAATCCCAACCTTCCCTATGTGGTATGGAACCTTGTGGTACAATTTCATAGAGATCCATACACTTATACACAAGTTATTGTCCAGAAACTAGAAAAATGCCTTTTTATGCCCCTTTTTGACCCCTTATTCCTAAACAGTTGGGACTTTGTAATTTGAACCTTGTGGTTATATTTCAAAGAGATCCATTCACTTATACACAAGTTATTGTCCAGAAACTAGAAAAATGCCTTTTTATGCCCCTTTTTGACCCCTTATTCCTAAACAGTTGGGACTTTGTAATTTGAACCTTGTGGTTATATTTCAAAGAGATCCATTCACTTATACTAAAGTTATTGTCCGGAAACCAAATGTCTTCGCACGAGGACAACAACGACAAGATAGCTATACACGAACGCAAATGTTTTGCGGTCCTATAAAAGTGTACATGGATATCATGTAGTCTGTTTTTGTTCAGAGCTTTTTTACTGTCAAGTCAACATCAGTTATTAAAAAACGGGTGCTTTAAAACTAAAGTAAGATTTCTTATTAGTGTTAACGCTTAAATAAGAAACTGTTGACACAGAAATATGTCTCGCCTGTCTGCATAAAATTCAGTAAAACCCAATCTGATGGACAGCAACTTTATTAATTCAAATTCGCTGGACCATGATCTTGTGGGTAGGGCCTAGAAATGGTCGACAAACTGAGATGTACTGATATTAATGCAACTTTACACAAAATATCATTGATCTGTCACAAGCAGTTCTTATCAAACTGACTTTAGCAGAAAAATTAACATTGAAAATTGCTAATTAATTCAAAATAACTGGACCATGACCTTGGGGGCAAGGCCTCAAAATAGTCATCAAACAGATATGTACTGATAGTAATGCAACTTCATACAAAATATCATTGATCTATCACAAGTAGATCCTATCAAACTAACTCAAGCAGAAAACTTAACATTGAAAATTGCTTATTGATTCAAAGTCACTGGACCATGACTTAGGGGGCTGGGCCTCAAAATAGTTGTCAAACTGATATGTACTGATAGTAATGCAACTTCATATTAAATATCAATGACCTACCATAAGTAGTTCCTATCAAACTAACTTAAGCAGAAAACTTAAAATTGAAAATTGCTAGTTATTTCAAAGTTGCTAAATAGTAGTCAAACTGATATGTACTGATGATAATGCAACTTTATATTAAATATCAATGACCTATCACAAGTAGTTCCTATCAAACTAACTTAAGTAGAAAACTTAACAATTGCTGACGCCACCGCCGCAACCATCCCAGAAAAGCAATCCCTGTCTCGCTTACCGCGACTTTCGTCACAGGCGAGACAAAAATTACAGCGCAAACATAAGTCCACTAATATTCCATACTTCAAACAATGAACTGTTAGTTAACAGAACTCCTATCGATGTATGAGCTACTATCATTTCACAAAATCCATATCAAAAGTACATAGTGATCAATTTTCATGTCAAATGTATTGCCCTTGATTCCCAAAGGTTACCTTCATTGGCTTGAATGCCATTAGTTTTAAAAGTCTAAAGAAATTAAAAACAGGATAAAAAAATTTCTGACTTGCTTAATTATTTTTTGGTAACCCTGAAGTAAATGTGATATCTTAATCTACATGATTCCATTTTAATGTGTCTGAGCCCATCAAAGATTATCAAGTTATCCAGTGAATACAATCATATCATGATTAAACTAAAATTCATATTTCCAAGTCAGACAAATCAGGAATATGACTAAGGATCTGTGTCTTTTATTATTAGCATAAAGTTCTTTGTGCCAAGATAGTGTAAATATTTGTCAGTAAACTTGAGTGGTTGTGCTTGTGGTTAATGACGTAACATCTCCATTCATGCACAAAACTTTAATCAATGTTTATGTTTACAACTTGTTAAACAAACTGGTTCCTACCTGTAGCACTATACATGAAGGTTGATAGAAATCCATGACTGATTTGATTACTTGCTGGAACATTGATATGTAAGCTGTAAAACAATAGGTTATGACTTTGTTTATCAAGCGAAACATTGTTTATATAAAAAAATGTTAAAATTTAACATCTCACGCATTATTTAGATAATAAAATATTACAATTTAGCATGTCATACAAACATTGTTTGTATGAAACATTAACTTAACTATGAAAGTGTTTTTCTGTGATTTCTAAATCTTTATTATGCAACATCAAATACATTCTATAACTCTAAAACATCATACATGTTCCTGCAACGAATTTACACACATGCTGTTAACCCATCATGTATAATTTCTGAAATGCAGACCTTATCAATATACTATTAAAACCAATGGAGCACGAAAATGAGGTCATAGCCATATAATATATGTCAGATACAACAAATCCTTGTTCCAATTTCCAAATATTTAAGACCAATATGGTTAAGGTGATGAAAATCCGGGTACAAATAGAATTGCTGGCAAAAGTGTTAATCATAGAAGTCAAAAGGGTGTTCATCTTTATCATTTAATCTTATATGAAGTCTCAGAAAGTGTAATTCTACTGAGGGGTGTTCCATACAAACATACATGGGACCCAGGAAAGGCATTTTAAATTTAAACTATGGAGAGGGGTGGGGGAGGGGTGTCAAGTAATGTGAAAATGTAAGTGAAATTCCTAATATACCTCTATAGGTGGTTACCCCATTTTAAAAGTGCCCTGCCTGGGGACCATGTCTAGTTAAATGGAATAGCCCTAACAGAATGTTAAATAGTATACAATATATTAAAACCTACTCTGATCATCGATGCCTTCCTTCAATGGAACATTAATTGAGTAATATCTGCCACTTTCTGAACCAAATTCATACATATCACCTGTTTTACAAAAAGATGCAATTAGTTTTTGTAAACAAGTAGTTTAAAATATAAACAAGTGATATTCCATTATTTCAAATGTCTACAGGTAGAATCTACCTAAACTATGCCAAAATATAGATTTTACCATGCTTTTTTTAAAAATATAATGAAAAATATGGGTCACTGTGCTATTTTTCAAGCTATAAGTTGTGCAAAATTGCTCAATTTTGCATATCATGAAAAAACATTTTTTTGTGAATAAAAAGAAAATTATGAGATAGAAATTTGAAATATAATATGAGAAGATAGGTCTTATAATATGCTTTAAAAAAAGAAAGAAAAAATGGTGTAACAGACTTGTTTTCTTGCTACAAGTAAAAAATGAAAATTTCATTAACATTCCTTTATAAACAAATTTACTATTACTATTAGAGTTGTCTCACTTTAAATGGCTAAGTTTACTTACAAGAAACAAGCACAGAAGATGGCTAAAATAACCATTATTGTAGAATTATGTATCTTTAACAAACCTGTCCCTGGGAAGAAATAATTGCCATATTTATGGAAGGAAACAGTCATAACTCGATCTGTAAGGTAGAAAGCTTCTTGTACACCATCGCCATGATGTATATCAATGTCAATATATAACACTCTCGGATGATATCTGGAAATAAGGAACACAGCTTATGAAAGTTAACGTACTTAATTGATTGATTTTCAGTTCCTACCAATTCACCATTCCAGAATTTAATGTATTATCATAATACCGACAATATTTTCAAAAGCATACAATAAAACGTTGTGATGGGTGAACCACATCGAAACAATGGACATTAAACCTGAGACTAATTGTTACTTTCAATTTGGTGAAACACACATAGTCTTTTAGATTCACAAAACAAAAAATTAAATATACTGATATTAGTCTTCATGACAAAGTGATAACAGAACAGGTTTAAATATTGTACAACTCTACAGAATATGTGTCTCATACAATTGCTGATTGGAAGCCAACTCTCATGCAAACTTTAAATGCAATCAAGTCATGTAGGGTCAGATGATAAGCTAGTTTAAAAAAGGTAGTGCTTCAATAAGAAAATATCTGATTTTCCATTTTGTTATAAAATTCTTGATCAAGCTCTGCCAGCTGGACAAACAATTTTTTATTTTTTATCATTTTATGTTCCCTTTTTTATTAATTTATGTAAATCACTTGTCAAGAGGACCTTCAAAGACTATATAATAGAGGTTTACTATACAGAAATGAAATATTAAATGATATATGCCCAATGTGCTTAATATCATCTGTACCAATTACAACTAGAGGCTCTTGAGAGCCTGTGTCGCTCACCTACATTTACTGATGCTTTGGAAATCATGTAAAATAAGGTTAAAATCATAATTAATAGTATTAGATATTAGATATTATAATGATATCTAAGATAATAACAAAAAACTGCAAAATTTTTGTAAAATTACTAACTCAGGGGCAGCAACCCAACAACAGGTTGTCGGATTCGTCTGAAAATTTCAGGGCAGATAAATCTAAATCTGATGAACATTTTTGCCACCTGTCAGATTTGCTCTAAATGCTTTAGTTTCAGAGATATACCAAAAACTGCATTTTACCCCTATGTTCTATTTTTAACCAAGTCGGCCATGATGGTTGGAAGGCGGGGTCATCGGACATATTTTTTAAACTAGATACCCTAATAATGATTATGGCCAAGTATGGTTAAATTTGTCTCAGTAGTTTCAGAGAAGAAGATTTTTGTAAAAGATTACAAAAATTTACAAAAAAATTGTTAAAAATTGACTATTAAGGGCAATAACTCCTAAAGGGGTCAAATGACAATTTTGGTCATGGCAACTTATTTGTAGATCTTACTTTGCTGAAAATTATTGCTGTTTACAGTTTATCTCTATCTATAATAATATTCAAGATAATAACCAAAAACTGCAAAATTTCCTTAAAATTACCAATTCAGGGGCAGCAACCCAACAACAGGTTGTCAGATTTGTCTGAAAATTTCAGGGCAGATAGATCTTGATCTGATAATCAGTTTTACCCTCGTCAGATTTACTCTAAATACTTTGGTTTCAGAGATATAAGCCAAAATCTACATTTTACCCCTATGTTCTATTTTTAGCCATAGCGGCCATCTTAGTTGGTTGGCAGGGTCATCAGACACATTTTTTAAGATAGACACCCTAATGATGATTGTGGCCAAGTTTGGTTAAATTTGGCCCAGTGGTTTCAGAGGAGAAGATTTTTGTAATAAAATGCTTCGCTGGGGTGCAGCTTGATACGACCGCAGAGGTCGAACCCTGAACAGTTGGGGCAAGTATGGACACAACATTCAAGCTTGATACAGCTCTGAATTTGGATTGTTATTAAATATTTGACACAGCATAGGTTTCTGACACAGAAAGAATGTGGTCTAAGAACTTGAATTTTTTTAATTTACCTATTATGGTCCAATGTCCAAAATCAAAATACATGGTTAGATTCAGCATATCAAAGAACCCCATATATTCAATTTTTGTTAAAATCAAACAAAGTTTAATTTTGGACCCCAACTTGGACAAACTTGAAAACTGGGCCCATAATCAAAAATCTAAACACATGTTTAGATTCAGCATATCAAAGAACCCCAAGAATTCAATTTTTGTTAAAATCAAACTAAGTTTAATTTTGGACCCTTTGGACCTTAATGTAGATCAATTTAAAAAACAGGACTTAAAATTAAAAATCTAAATACACGGTTAGATTTGGAATATCAAAGAACCCCAATAATTCAATTTTTGATGAAATCAAACAAAGTTTAATTTTGGACCCTTTTGACCTCAATATGAACCAATTTGATAGCGGGGCCCACAAATAAAAATTCTAAATTCATGGTTAGATTCAGCATATCAAAGAACCCCATATATTCAATTTTTGTTGAAATCAAAAAAAGTTTAATTTTGGACCCCAACTTGGACCAACTTGAAAACTGGGCCCATAATCAAAAATCTAAACACATGTTTAGATTCAGCATATCAAAGAACACCAAGATTTCAATTTTTGTTAAAATCAAACTAAGTTTAATTTTGGACCCTTTGGACCTCAATGAAGACCAATTTAAAAAACGGGACCCAAATTAAAAATCTATAAACACGGTTAGATTTGGCATATCAAAGAACCCCAATAATTCAATTTTCGATGAAATCAAACAAAGTTTAATTTTGGACCCTTTTGACCTCAATATGAACCAATTTGATAGCGGGGCCTACAAATAAAAAATCTAAATACATGGTTAGATTCAGCATATCAAAGAACCTCATATATTCAATTTTTGTTGAAATCAAACAAAGTTTAATTTTGGACCCCAATTTGGACCAACTTGAAAACTGGGCCCATAATCAAAAATCTAAATACATGTTTAGATTCAGCATATCAAAGAACCCCATATATTCAATTTTTGTTGAAATCAAACAAAGTTTAAATACTGGACCCTATCTTGGACCAACTTGAAAACTGGGCCCATAATCAAAAATCTAAACACATGTTTAGATTCAGCAAATCAAAGAACCCCAAGAATTCAATTTTTGTTAAAATCAAACTAAGTTTAATTTTGGACCCTTTGGACCTCAATGTAGACCAATTTAAAAACAGGACCCAAAATTAAAAACCTAAATACACGGTTAGATTTGGAATATCAAAGAACCCCAATAATTCAATTTTAGATGAAATCAAACAAAGTTTAATTTTGGACCCCAATTTGGACCAACTTGAAAACTGGGCCAAAAATCAAAAATCTAAATACATGTTTAGATTCAGCATATCAAAGAACCTCATATATTCAATTTTTGCTAAAATCAAACAAAGTTTAATTTTGGACCCTTTGGATATTAATGTAGACCAATTTGAAAACTGGACCCAAAATTAAAAATCTAAATACACTGTTAGATTCGGCATAACAAAGAAATAAATGTGATCAAAGATTTTACAAATCTAATGCGCCATACTGTGCAATTAAAGATTACTTCTTGAAATTTTTCAATATTTGAAATTTGAAAAAAAAAAAATATTTGAAGAATAATTCTTTTTAATTTCTGAAATCTGAAATGAGAAAAAATTGGCCCCCCACAATTTCTTTTTATCCCCCCCCCCCCCCCCTTTTTCCCCCAAAAAAATTCTTTCCCTCAAGATATGGTCATAATCTCAATTCAAATTTCCAATGGAGTTGGCAACCATAATTACCCATTTAAATTTACCATAGTGCTAACTTAATCTATTTTATAATAGAATTAATAAAAATATAGTGTCAAATCTTTCATATGGATTTTTTTGTAAAAAAAAAAGATGAAAACATTTGCAGATATTTTTACTGGTCTTCCTTAATAAATATGCATTTCTTTAAACATAATTTAAAAGCAGTGTAAGGGAAGGAACCAAAACGTTGTATTTGGATTACCTCCCTTACACTGTTTTAGATTATCTTTATTGTTCATTAACCATTACTTTATACATAATTTAAAAGCAGTGTAAGGGAGATAATTTCAGTGATGTATTTGATTTATCTCCCTTACACTGCTTTAAATTATGTTTTGTACTAAAGTATTTGTCCATTAACCAGGACAACCTTGTTTTTCCCCCTTTTTTGCCCCTAATTCCTAAACGGTTTGAGCCATAACCCCCCAAAGCAAATCCTAACCATCCCTTTGTGGTATGGAAACTTGTAGTATAATTTCAGAGAGATCCATACACCGTTCCACAGTTATTGTCTGGAAACTAGAAAATGCTCATTTTTGGCCCCTTTTTGGCCCCTAATTCCTTAACTGTTGGTACCATAACCCCCAAAATCAATCCCAACCTTCCTTTTGTGGTATTTAACCTTATGGTCAAATTTCAAAAAGATCCATTCACTTAAACTAAAGTTAGAGTGCGAAAACCAATATGTATTCGGACGACGACGCCGGACGACGACGACGACGACGACGACGACGACGACGACGACGCCAACGTCATACCAATATACGACCACAAAATTTTTTTGCGGTCGTATAAAAAGCTAACGAGGACAACGACGAAGAACGACGGACGCCAAGTGATGAGAAAAGCTCACTTGGCCCTTCGGGCCAGGTGAGCTAATAAAAAATCAATTTCATAATGATACTTACTTCAGTAATTCTAATATTCCAATCACAATATCATTCACATAACAAAATCCTGAGGCCTAACAATAGAAAAATTAAAATAAAGTGCAACAGTACAGACTTCACATATTTCATAGTCTCTCCTTTTTTATATTTATCAGAGTACTAGTGTAAGAAGGCATGATTTGTAAATGACCAGATCATATACTTAGAACTACATTTTAAGTTGAAGTTTTACTTAATAAATGCAGGCATTCTTTGATAAAGAATTATTCAGTATTCCTACTTAGTGTTTCATTATAGGTTAAGGACTTTGGCAAATAATGCTGATCTTTGGTTCCTTCTACTAATTTAATTCGCAACTTCAGAAATCTCTTTGATTTATTGTGTTGTAAGGTAGCTGTCTCATTGACAAAGACCCCACATCTCCTTTCATTCATTTGTAATTGATTGAAGAAAGGTTTTCTCTAATTTTTTCACTATTTTCATATTTCCCAACAGATTGTGAAAACATTGTTCTCCTCACTAGTGAAATAACTGTTCTCGGCAAATGATTGATCGAAATTTAATTATGACGTCAAATTTTCTTGGTTTTCTGAATTTCCTATTGTGACATCATGAAAAAAGGTGACCATGTCTGATGATGTCACATATAAAAAAACACAACTTTCTGCAAATCTTTGAAAAGGAAGGATAAAAATTATAAGAGAAACATATTCCACCATTATAACTTGTTTATTACGATATTTCTCCCCTCTCAACAGTAAAAATTTAATTTTTTAAAAAGCTGGGCAAGCCTCACGCTTTAAATATTAAAATTTAACTGTCTTGAGCAGAGAAATATCGCAACACACTTGTTGCAGTGGTGAAATCTATATTTATAGTTCAGGAATTTGGCGGTAGAATGTGATCAATTTACACGTCACAAACCCCCATTGATCAAACCAACAATTAAAATCATCTTTGTTGAAATAATATTTCCAATGAAATCCAGGAAGTAGCAATGTATGACTGAATTCACATGTGAGAGAATTCATAATTCATAATGGTAAATATGTATGTATGATGCCTACATATTTAGTAATCAATATTGTTACAATATAAACATTATCTCTTACCTCATATTTCTTAGCATGATGAAGACCTCCTGACCAATTCACAGCTATATCACAATGCTAGAAAATAAATAATCAGGCTGCTTGAATTATTATGTTTTAAAAACATGTTATTATAAAGTTGGCATTTGTTTGATTTTTTTTGTGTCGTTGGTTTGCTTTCGCATTGATGTATACCCCAGCCAATATCACTTCTTATCATAAGAAAATGTACAAATCAATTATGTTAAACAAAGCTGGTAAAAATGTGAAATCTGGTTTCAGTGGTATAAAATCAAACATGTACCTGCTATACAAGTTACCAAACAGAATTGTTAACATCCTCTTCCTTTGGTCTAAAGTTGTCTCATTGGCAATCATATCTCCTGATTTTGATAGAGTCAGGATTCAGAAAGACATTATCATTTCTTTTATTATAAAACAAAGGCATATATTATAGAAAAACAAAGGATATGGGGTATTCATCCATGACACAAAATCAGTACATGCACATTAAAAAACACACACAAATAAAACACAAAAAAGCAAAGGATCAGCGCTTTTATTGCAGTTCTTCATCTCAAAGTCATACTGTTCCTTTACCTTATCATAGAACTTACATTATTATTCAATTTGATTGCTCCTTCTAATGATGCTCCAGTATACATAGAACAGAAATCAAACATCCCATCAAATACAGGACTGAAAAAAATGTCATATATAGAACACTAATTTATCATACCATCAAATACAGGACTGAAAAAATGTGATATACATAAGACAAAAATTAATCATGCAATCATAAAATAGACTAAAAGAATTTTATTTCATATCGGTTAAGAATTAGCTTCTCTTATTGGATAACAAGGGGCAACATGACATTCTTTATTCTTTAGTAAAAAATTCCATTGGTCTTTAACAGAAAAAAACAGACCAGAAAACCGGTCTTTAACGGAATTTTACATGATAATAACCAGTGGGGCGTGGTTTCTCTGGTTAGAGTTATGTCCCTTTAATAAACTGCAATCGCGATTCAGACGTTTGGAACATGGCTGAAGTAGAGGGTATGTCCGCTACAGACAACTCAAATGATTGTTTTGCCGTACTTTCCGATGCTGATAGAGACAAACTACTCAGCAACAAGAATTATAAAATTATAGAAAACTTTATTTTGTATTCATATACTGAAAAATTGCACTTAAATGAATGGCAGTGACTTATAGTTATCACTATGACTATTCTTCACTCTTTCCTATAGAAATCGTACAAAAACTCAAGTTTGCTTTGAACAATTTGAATTTATGAGAATTTTTAAAAACATGGTTCCTCAATGAAATAAACATAAAAGTTATTGAAGAACTAATCATTATCGTGATACATGGACTGCCCGTAGGACAGTGGTATTGACTGCGACAGCGATAATGACCTCGCCTACAGCTCAGTCATTACCGCTGTCTTAGTCAATACCACTGTCCTGTGGGCAGTCCATATATCATGATAATGACCAGTTCTTCAATAACTATTATATAAATAACTACGGCAACAGGGGTGTTTAACAACCTTGACTACCCATAAGGGTCTCACAAGTTCAGTACGAAAATGAATTACAAAAAGTAATGATATGAGAAAAAACCGGGTAAACAAGTACATGACAAAAAAAAAACATGGAACAAAGCACCTGAATACTCTTTTAACACTATTTTTTACCTTCAGTTGGCAATATGGTTTATTCAAAATATAAGTTAATGTTTATTCCTTTCATCACAATCAAGTCAAGAAGGTAATATATATATTTTTTTTATGAGTAACTGATTAATACAACATATACTGAAACAAGAGGATAGAGAGACAAATCTAGGGAAACAAAATTATTTTGGTGAACTTGTGTTGTTCTTTGATGTCTCAGTGATTACTATTTCAGTTTTCCTTTCATATATATGTATAAAAAAGCTTACCAGTCATCTCCAACATTAAACATACTAAGTTGCTTTGTAAACTGTTGTACATTTTGTGGTGTAACTCTCTGTAGAAAATCTATGTATTCATCAGAATGAAATCTACACATGTCATGAGCTGAAGCCCTATATGGCCTGTAAAGCTGTAGAAAAAAGAATTAAATTTACACATGTCATGAGCTGAAGCCCTATATGGCCTGTAAAGCTGTAGAAAAAAGAATTAAATTTACACATGTCATGAGCTGAAGCCCTATCTGGTCTGTAAAGCTGTGTAAAAAGATTGAAATCTACACATCATGAGCTGCAGCCCTATATGGTATGTACTGCTGTGGAAAAAAGAATGAAATCTACACATGTATGTCATGAGGCTGAGCTGAAGCCCTATATTGTATGCTGTGGAAAAAAAGTATGTATTGAAGTTTACTCTGTTATCATTCATTATTTATTGACTTCAGAACACATAAGATGGATGGATGAAATTCAGTTAGCTGTTTTATTTGCAGTGGAAAATAATGTCTATTCTGGACAAGAAATGTTGATGATATATGAACCCTGCTTTGTACAAAACTGAAATGCTGAGCCAGATTTTAAACTGGCTAGTTCCCAATGTAACAGTCTGCAGGAATCCAACCTAACCACTAACCAGTCTTTGCTCTTACATTTGAATGATGAGTGCTTGATAGTGGATATACAGCAAATACCAATTTCAAGTCTTGGTTTGACCATAAAGGGGATCAAACCAAAGACCAACCGCACTCAAGACAAGCATGCAACCACGAGACCATTGAGGTGGTTTTTCATGTAAGATACTTGAGATATGTTTTCATGTTCTAAAAGTATATGTATATCATATTTAAAATTAATTCAAAGTAATGAAAATGATACTGCAATGAGAATCCATGACAAATCGCCCCACTGGCAAATCGCCCCACACCTAATCGCCCCACTTTTTCACCAACTCGCCCCACTTCCTAAAAAATCGCCCCACTCTTGTTTACCAACTCGCCCCACTTATGAAAAGGGTAAAATCCCATTGAAATTAGGTTGGATAACTTGCCCCACTTATGCAAAGGGTTAAAATCCCGCTGAAACAATGTCTGCCAACTCGCCCCACTCATGACAAATAGATAAACCAGGATGAATTTAGTAATGCCAACTCGCCACACTTATGGAAAAAGATGCTATCCCGTTGTATATGTTCCTGCCACTTATAAATAAAATCAACACCTATGAAAACCTTAGATAAGCATATTTTGTAATTCTTCTCTTTTTGTTTAAATAAAGCAGTAAGAAGTGAGTATCAGTATTTCGGTGACGTGAATGTTAACTCGCCCCACTTGTGAAAAATAGAAAAATCCTGATGAATTGAGTTATGCCAACTCGCCCCACTTATGAAAAATAGGAAAATCCTAATATTGAGTCATGCCAGCAAATGAGTGTAGGCCTTCCAATTCGCCCCACTTATGAAAACGTTAGAAATGCATCTTTTTTTTTGTTCTTTTCTTTTGGTTGAAATAAAACAGAAAGAAAGTAGCATCAGCATTTATTTGACGTTTTTTTCCTGGTATATATTCAATGTTTTATTAGATAAGTCAAGAATCATGTGTGTTTACAATAACATAATTTTATTCTCAGATGATAGGTTTGCACATCTACGTAAGAATGCATTACAATAACATTTTAAACAAACATACATTAAATAAATTATGACAAGCACTGGCATGATAACATACTAGATGAAATGTCAGCACTAGAAACAAGAACATGAATACATGAATACATTGTCATTAGAAAGTTCAGTAGCTGTCTGCTTCCACGACTCGACCGTTGACACGACCACACTGGCGTAAGAGTCTGGTTGTAGATATGCTGCCTGCAACTTGATATACTGCTCCCACATGTTGAATAGGATGGCTTGGTTAGTGCGGGCTTGCTTGTGCTGGTATTCTGTGTAGATTAGTTTTCATTAAGTGGGGCGAGTTGGCAGACATGAAAATTATATATTCATCTAGATATTACCGTTTTTCATAAAGTGGGGCGAGTTGGCAGACATGAAAATTATATATTCATCTAGATATTACCGTTTTTCATAAAGTGGGGCGAGTTGGCAGACATAAAAATTATATATTCATCTAGATATAACCGTTTTTCATTAAGTGGGGCGAGTTGGCAGGAGTAATATTAACGGGATTTAACCCTTTTCACAAGTGGGGCGATTTTTTAAAAAGTGGGGCGAGTTGGTAAACCAGTTTGGGGCGATTTTTTTAAAAGTGGGGCGAGTTGGTGAAAAAGTGGGGCGATTTGCCAGAGGGGCGATTTGTCCTGCTTCCCTGCAATGATAATGAATTCAATATCTAAATTTTAATTGTGATTTACCAAAACAGACAACTGCATGTGATTTTGAATAATTGTCCACTTTCCAACATAATAAACCAGGTGCATATGATTTATATTATTTATTTTTTGACAAACCTTCATCTTTTCATGCAGTCCATAATGTAATACCAAACAGTGTGTCAGGGCTATACGATGTGGCTTCATTGGATGTCCTGGACCTGCAATGATATTCATATATAAAAATTTTTTCAATGAATCTTTTTTTCTGAAGAACAGAAAATTAATCTATTTCTAATAAAAAAAAATAAGTAACACAGTCACTAATTGACTCTTCTTTTTTGATATTGTAACTTTACTTAGGAAGCATAAGAACTATTCCCTCTTAACTTTGCATCAAATAACTCAAAAGACCTCCTTAGCCTATAAGTCGTAAGGTCTGAAGTATGAAGACATATCTTGAGTAGATACATGTATTTCAATACTAGGAAAATTTATAATTGAGTTATCTTTCTTGTATTTGGATGTGCTCCTTCTCCAGAGGAAAATACACAGTCAGAGTGAATACAATCGAAGGTGGCCGTTATGTTACTTCATTATCAAAAGTGGTCATGAGGGCTGGCAAAGACAAAATATGTCTAAATTTAACATTTTTAACCAAATTCATGTAAGACTTTGTTTTTTAGAAGTTCCTTACCGTTTTCGTCTTTCTGTCAATTTGGTTTTCATCGTGAAACTATGATAAACTTTGCAAATAGTGAGGTCATATGTTGAAGACAAATGCTGACTGACCGATGCTATGTGTATGAATTAATTAAGATGATCAATAATGACCTATCGAAAGAGCAGATTACCTGTAACAACAAATTATGACAACTGTTGTGACTGTTGATTAGCTTGGGGTTGTAAACTTATTATAAACTTTTTTTATTGCGTTAGAGGTATCCTGTATTTAAGTACAATCTATTTTTGAAGCTTGCGGACAACAAATTAAACGTGAAAATCAAAGATGGTGGAGGGAAATTCAAGCGTGGAGCACCGGTCATGCTACAATAGGTCATGGTGATCCCTGTACATGATAAACTAATTATAAATTATTACATTTTTAATTAATAATGGCCTTTGTCATTTTACTGTAGTTCCAATTTTGCAAAAAAAGTTTTTCAATATTTATTTATATACTGATTTCATCCTCTCCCATAGGTAAAACCTGCCACACATTATACCATGCAACAAGACAACAAAATGAAATAAGAATCAGGGCAAGCAGACCCAGGACTAGTGTTTTCTACAGGAGGTTTTGAAGGGTGTGGCACTGCAGTGTTTTCTTGACCCCATGCCCTATTATGTAAAATTTGGTTACCGATTCCCCTTTTATATCATATTTTATAAGGCCTTGCCATAATTTAAGCTTGGTTCTGCAATAAATCTTGTAATAATTTCATAATTTTTTTCTTTTTACTTTGGCAAACACTGTTTCAATCAAAAAGAAAAACAAGAGTGCACACGCTGAAATGTCTCGCCTTCTTTACTAATCATTGATATTATGTTGATAGTCCTAAATATAAAGCTTTATTACAACTGTCACATAAACTTAACATTAACCAAGTAAACTAAACATTGACCAATGAACCATGAAAATGAGGTCAAGGTCAGATGAACCATGCTAGGCAGGCATGTACAGCTAACAATTCTTCCATACAACAAATACAGTTGACCTATTGCTTATAGTTTAAGAAAAACAGACGAAAACACAAAAACTTAACACTGAGCAATGAACCTTGAAAATGAGGTCAAGGTCAAATAAAACCTGCGTAACTGACATATAGATCATAAAATATTTCCATACACCAAATATAGTTGAACTATTGCATATAGTATTAGAAAAAAAGACCAAAACTCAAAAACTTAACTTTGACCACTGAACCATGAAAATGAGGTCAAGGTAAGATGACTCCTGCCAGCTAGACATGTACACCTTACAATCATTCCATACACCAAATATAGCTGACCTATTGCATGCAGTATTAGAAAGAAAGACCAAAACTCAAAAACTTAACTTTGACCACTGAACCATGAAAATGAGGTCAAGGTCAGATGACACCTGCCAGCTAGACATGTACACCTTACAATCATTCCATACACCAAATATAGTAGACCTATTGCATACAGTATAAGAAAAACAGACCAAAACACAAAAACTTAACTATAACCACTGAACCATGAAAATGAGGTCAAGGTCAGATGACACCTGCCAGTTGGACATGTACACCTTACAGTCCTTCCATACACCGAATAAACTAGACCTATTGCTTATAGTATCTGAGATATGGACTTGACCACGAAAACTTAACCTTGTTCACTGATCCATGAAATGAGGTCGAGGTCAAGTGAAAACTGTCTGACGGGCATGAGGACCTTGCAAGGTACGCACATACCAAATATAGTTATCCTATTACTTATAATAAGAGAGAATTTAACATTACAAAAAATCTGAACTTTTTTTTCAAGTAGTCACTGAACCATGAAAATGAGGTCAAGGACATTGGACATGTGACTGACGGAAACTTCGTAACATGAGGCATCCATATACAAAATATGAAGCATCCAGGTCTTCCATCTTCTAAAATATAAAGCTTTTAAGAAGTTAGCTAACGCCGCCGCCGCCGCCGCCGGATCGCTATCCCTATGTCGAGCTTTCTGCGACAAAAGTCGCAGGCTCGACAAAAACCACAGAATTAACTGAAAAGATAAATGACCTAAATAGGTATTTGACAATGCTTCTTTTGTGCAGCTCAAATGCAATTGCATATGCTCTTGTTCATACAAGTATTGACACTTTCACAACACATCCTTAGACAATCAGGGATCCAGTATTAAAGTTTGTAACTAAAGTTATTGATTAAAATGAGGCAGTTGCATTATTAAGATTCTATTATCCGAGTCTAGAAGTGATAATTTTATTACAAAAAGTTATTAAATTAGTAACCTACGAAGACCAATAGGAAAGCTTTATTTTGATTCGGTTCACATATAACAATACAAACCTAAGAGAGCTTTTGAGAGCTTTTTACCGATTATATATACATATCTTTATTTCTTAACAGTAAATATAAAACAATGGTATATTTCGATTAAATGTTAATCTCTATCCATAACAGTGCTTCGGTATCTATGTAAAGGGTGCCCTAAAAGTGTAGGTATCCATGCATAGAGTGCCCTTAAAGGGTAGCCAATTGATCAAGAGTGTCCTCTGTACCCTGCCCTTTTTAAAAACTGGAGGAAACACTAAGACAAACAGGTATTTGGGTTAATGGTCCTAGGATAGATGTAAATCAATTGGAACATGCCACGATTCCAAGACCCTAGCCTATTTCCATGCCATCCTCAATGCAAAACTAAGAAACGTCCCTGTCGTAATAATTTCCTTTTAGTTCTAAGCCAAGACAACTGGCAAGAAATTAGTACAGTGGCAAACATAATGTTTGCCACTGTACTACTGTATGAAACATGGGGAAATAACCATAATTTTGCATTAAAAAATGCATTTTTGCAGAAAAACTGTTACTACAATTTTGCACCAATCGTACCATAGTGAAAATTGCCGACATCTGGGTCGTAAAAATATGCAATATTTGGGTTTGACATTTTGAATTCTTCTTTTTCTACATATCATTTATCTATCTTCTTTACCAAAGAGTTCAGCATTCAATTTGACTAATGACCAAAGAGTTATGCCGCAATATAGATAACCACGTACACATAAATATTTGACATGATGCTAATTTTACCAATGAAGTAGATTAAAACATTAGATATAATTCTTTTTTAAAAGACAGATATTTCAGAGACATAATATAGGATTAAACGCCTTTTTAAAGGAATTTATTGGTGTATAAACTCGACCAATTCACTCACAAACAAATAAATAAAAGTCCGAAGGACTTTTATGATATGTTTGTGAGTGACTTGGTACAGTTTATACACCAATAAATTCCTTTAAAAGGCGTTTAATCCTTATAATTCTTTAAAATTGGAGATAAGGAATATATTTTTCCACACTCGTAACCTCTATCACACGTAAATTGTATATTTGCGTCATTGAATAGGCCTGGCGTATGAATATATTTGTTGGTTAACGCAAAAATATGTACTCCATGAAATTTGCAATCTGATACAAAATAAACTACAAAAACTCTTATTATCATTCAAACGAATGTTTTGTGTTTATTGTTTGATTTAACTATAAAGACCTATTAACGCGAATTGAAAATAAATTTTGTTAACGTCGATCCGGATTGTGTCATTATCGCCGCCATCTTGTTTACATTGGTTACGAAAAGAAGTTCGGTCAACGTCGTCTATTGAAAAATAAACAACGTCAAGAACAACTACCTGAAGTCCTCTCAACCAATCATATCAACGTATTCTCTAATATGCAAATCATATAAGAATTATTATACAATATTATATGTCTCTTGGTTATTTATAAGTTTTGGATTTCAACTCTTACTCTTTTAGATACCAAAATACAGCAGACTTAACACTTGTAGGAACAAATGCAGCATATGTCCTACAATCTTTAAAGTATGCAGGTGGTAAATTTTTGAATGCGCTGCCAGATGAGTTGCGTAATCAATCATTTTTAAAATCAATTCAAGAACTTGATAAATTCTTAGCCTGGCAGCTCATGCTAATATTTCGCCTGCAAAACCAGTTAATTATGTTCATTGTTTCAGTTAGTTTATTGCTTTGTTTTCAGCATGGCAAATTTTGTTTTTTGTTTACTTATATTGCTTCTGCTGTTTTGTGATTATTTTAGAAACTTAACTAATCTCTCTGAGCTTTTTTATGTTGTAAATCATTTTACTTTTGCTTTTGTGTTTTTATTCCATAAGTGCTTTCTTCAGCCGGTGCGTGTGTTTAAGCTGCTTGATAGAACTTTTGTACTGAATGTATGCATCATACGAGCTCTTGCTTCCTATGTTTCATTGTATGTGGGCATGACTTGATATGTATGTTTTGCTTGATGTGCTTTTGTTTTGTCGGTTATAAAAGCTTTTCAGAGATTATGTTTGTAATTCTATTACATGTACCGACTTTAATAAAGTTTTATGTCTTATGTCTTCAAATGCCAATGAACCTAATTTATTTATAACTGCGGATGCGGATCCACGATTTTGAAAAAAAGGGGGGTCCGGGGCCCCAAAACTTAGCAACATTTCAGTGGCGGATCCACGGGGGGGGGGGGGGGGGTTCCGGGGGTCGGAACCCCCTTTTTTGACAATCAATGCTTTTGAATGGGGACATATGGTTTGAATCCCCTTTATCATGGGTTGAAACCCCTTAAAAATGGCTGGATCCGCCCCTGCATTTTGAGTAGAACATATAAAAAGTATATGCATTAATCATAAATGTTGTTCCTTAAGCCCTAAATCCGCCTCTGAACTGATGAATTATTAATTCAGGGATTTCGTTACCACAAATTAATTAAACAATTTACCAAATTCTTTCATAGATACAAATATTTGGTTAGGAAGTTTGGTTTTACCTGTAGATCATATCAGTTCTTATTCCAAACGGGATATCCCATCCTAATGTTTATGGTGATGTTGTTTATACAGCCCGTAAATTCAGATGCGATCAATGTTAACTAATGAACCCTTTGAATAAACTTTATCTTAATGGTTACCAATTTAACACAGTATTAACATCCTTGAATATTATTTTTTTTTGGTACTAACATTTTTTTTTAATTTAAACATAATTAAATACATATTGCTACAGTTAGACCGACACCAGTATCCTACATCTTGTCGATACTATTTACTTACATTTTGGCATTGCACAAGATCATGGGTTTCTTGTACTGTATATGATGTCACGGCTTTACACTATAGATCCGTTGGATGTGTACTAATTGATACTTAAGTCTGGGAGAACATGATTTATTTCTGAGTTGTAACTGGCTTTGAACGAATTTTCAGTAACTGTGAGTACTCTGATTTCGGTGCTTTGTGTCTATTGTTTTCATGTTCGTTGTTTTTGTGCCTCGTACCGATCCCATGAGTTAAGCCAATTGGAACTGCTTTTTACAGTTTGTTTTTATGTTGTGCTGTTACACCACTGTCCAAGGTTAGGGGGAGGATTAAACGCTCACAAACATGTTTACCCCCGCCACAATCCGTATGTGCCGGTCCCAAGTCAGGAGCCTATAGTTCAGTGGTTGTCGTTGATTCAAGTCTGTCCGTATTTGTTTTTCGTAAATTCGTTTTGTTTTAAATTAGGCCGCTATTTTTCATGTTTGAATTGTTTTACATTTTCATGTCGGTCCTTTTATAGCCAACTATATGGTATGGGTTTTACTCACCTTTGAAGGCCGTACTATTGCCTTCATCCACTTCTTTTGAACTTTGGTGGATAGTTGTCTCATTTGCAATCATACCACATATTCTTTTTTTTTTTATATATATATACCGGTGGACACTCGTGGTCAACGTTTTGTTTAATTTCAATAGTTGTGAATATTGTAATCTAAAAAGCTTTACCCTGATTATTGTTAACCAAACAAAACTTTGGTCCATTTAGAAGTCAAGTTTCTACAGCAATACAAGAGATCGGGTCAGGTTTAGTAGAATAATTGTCAAAGCATGCTTCATTTTACTTATGATATTGTCAATTGTCTACTTTCTGGACAAAATACTATATTGTAAAAATAAAACATTTGAAGAAAAGAAAACTGTTGATCTAATATATAAATATTTGATCTAAAAACAAATATGTCTCTTTTTTTACATTTTTACATTAGTTCAATATAAAGCCCTAATGAAAACTCTTAAAGACTAAAAATAGTACAGATTTTAAAAGTTAATTTACAAATCAGACATATAATATTTCTGAACAAATTCACTATTTGGTTTTATTTATTATTGTAACTTTATTTACAGTGGCCATTTTTTCTGTTACTTTTTCCGTGATTTTTTTCTGTGACTTTTCATAAATGGAATTTATTTTAGATACGATCATTTGCCTTGCTATTACGAGGGACCTCAACATCGTCCAAGACCGATGAATTCAAAACTTTCTGAAAAAGGACCAAAATATCGGAAATAGATTGGAAACAGTGTTGGCACGTCATTAAAGACACTTTTTCAAATTGGTCTAAACGGGGAAAATCTAATAAATAAGCTCTTGATATTTGAATAATGTGAATATTTGATTATCACATGTGAAAATATTTTTAAAATTAATAAAAGGGTATATAATATGCCCATTTCTAAAATAAGAAACAAACTTCAAGTACTCACAAAGCATATTTCCCCTGGACATTATCTATGTACTTTTCGTGGATAAAGTTTATCGACATGTTGCAGGTATTCCTATGGGTACCAATGCCCTCCTCCTTTAGTAAAAGACTTGTTCCTGTATTGTTTATGGCCATACTCAGTAAAGACCCGTCTAAATTCCATTTAATTGATAAATTCAACAATACTTAACGTTATCTTGATGATATTTTTTGTTAAGTAATCAAGAATTCTACAATTACACTGTCGAAATTTACCCAAACGAATTTACTTTAGATAAAACAATAACTGCATGTCCTCTCCTATATTCGGATATTTCATTTTCACACTGGAAATTATATACAAAAATCTACGGCAAAAGGGACGATATCTTTAAATTCCCTTTTTTGAACGGCGATGTTCCTCTGGTCCCATCTTAGGGTATTTATACTATCTCAACTCTTTCGCTATGTCCGTTTCTGTAGATTTCAACGAACGTTATCTATATGAATCACTGGTAAATTATTAAGTCAGGAAATTCATTACCATAAATTACTTAAAACCTTTACTTAAATCTTTCATAAATACGAAAAGATTTGGCTTGGAAGTTTGGCTGTACCTGTAGAAAACTTATTACAAACGGGATATCACATCCTAATTCTTCAGGTGATGTTATTATAGAGCTCGTTAAATTAGATACGATCCATGTAAACTTCTCGATCTTTTGAATAATCTTACTAGTATTCTTAAAGTTTATCATTTGAACACCGTAATACGATCTTTGAATATTGTTTTTCTCGGTTCAGGCGTTGATTTTGTTATCAATAGATTCAATTAAGAACGGAAACGGCGAAACACAACTAAATATCATTGCTATACAGCTATGAACATTCTCGGTCCTATATTCTGTTGATATATCCAAGTCTATAGGTGGGCTGTTGACTACCTAGTTTGGTGAAGAATATAACACCAATATTGCTGTAGGAAAAAGGAAAATGAATAGTAGTTTGTGGGAGAGAATGGTTGTACAAATTTATATTCTCCTGAAGGTACTAGATAATGCGTGTTTTAGATGGAAACTAGTTGAACTTAAATTTTGTGGAACATTGTGTGACTGATGCACGATTTCTTTGTTGTAGAATTGGCCAGCTTAAGTGTTCAATCATGGCACTAAGTCTACTTTGGTAGCTGTATTGAAAAATATACATCCGACAGCGCATTTCTGGTCAATTTTGATGTTATTTTTTTTTGCCAGAGGTCCCAGATAATATAATTTTGTCCCCCCCTTTTCCATATTCACGCACGCAAGTGACTTTTTCTATCAATTCTTATATTTGTTTATGTAGTATACATTAAAAAATTCTCTTGTTATGTGGATGATTTCACGTTTGTCTGTGCGATGATATTGTTGAACACACAATGGTGTCATTTGCAGAGAGGCGAACATGACTCTTGAGGTTTTCGATTCATTCGTGGGAGATTTATTCAGACACTTTTACTCTGTATTCAGGATTTTCTTTTTATACTTCTCAAAATGGTAATGCAGACTGACAGCGCTGCAAATAAATTAGCTTCCTTTAGACCATTAAGCTATCTCTTTTCGAAATTTCAAAGGAGTAGGTTCAGTAAGACCCCTTTTTGGCCCCAAAATATAGCAGTTTTACAAAATTGTTAAAATGTAAACTTTTAGCTATTCATTGGAAAGTAGAATACTTCTGTTACATACATATGGGCTGTTTTTGATAATACAATGCATATTTATCGGGTACTAGCATCATTAAGTCATGCTAAATTACTGAAATCTTCATAATTTTAGCATTTGAGTTAATTTTTAGACGGTTTCCGTCTTAAATGGACGTGGCCGCATTTGTGTTCATTCTTAATATTTAAATATAAGTTGTATTTGATGATAATACATAACATATATAAAGGTTGAGGATGAACACGGATGCGGCCACTTTCATTTTTGACAAAAACCATCTGAAAAGTGACATATTATGGCATATTTGATAGATTTATAACATTTAAGCTTGAATATGAGCGTCTTTAATGACTAAATCAGTTCAAATCTTTCACATAAATAAATTGATTCTACTAAAGTAGACACTTAAGTGTTTAAAAAGTGTCCAAAATCTTTCATCAGATGAACCTGAAATTTGGGGCCAAAATCGGCCCTTACCGGACCTACTCCTTTGATCTATAAGAACATATCTTCTTGGTGATCATTTAAAATTATACAAGTTAGCCGTTAAATGACTATATTCAAAAAATAAAGGTTGCACTGTATACCTGTTATATCTTGTAGTTAATGTTACAACATTAATGTTTTATAATATATTCATTTTACAAATTCTCAGATATTAGAAGTAGGGCAAATTTCACCTGTATGTATTTGTTTCACTTTAGGGTAAAATTTCTGAAAAAGAGTTTACTAGTACATCATTTGCATAAAACTGTTTTTTAACGTTTTTACATATTGCCGGTAAAGACAATTTGTATATGCAATTGAAAATTTTGAATGTTCACTATTTTGTTAACTTTTGCATTCATGGACATCTGTAACCAAGGCAAATTAGTTTGTACCCGAAAGAAAAAATATAGCTTCAATGATGCCTTACACAAAAAATCCATTGGAAGTTGGATGTGTATTGATTGATATTTTAGTCTTAGATTCATGATTTTTTTTTTATTAATTGTTATCTTGATATACAAGATAAAACACAAAAGAACACATGAAAACATAGTACGTTTTACACAGATTTACAAGCACTGTGTCGATACCACTTCTAGTGCACTAAAATTTCCAGTCAAGGTTTCGGCATCGGTCATGCTATTTTATCATTTTTGTTCACCCTTGTTTATATTTACTTAATTTGTACTCTATCAGGAAACTGTATACTAGTACGGCATTAACGTTTTAATATATCGACTGCAAAACTTTTTTTGTTGGCGTCTTTATCAGATTTACTATCAACTATACTATCATTTTTGTTGGCGTCTCTGTCAGTTTTATTTGTATGTTTGTTTGATTTTTTAAGTCAGTTGTGTTGTATGTCTGTGATGTGTGTTTACACAAATTTGGCTGCTGGATCCTAATTAATGTCATGTTAACCAGTTATGTCTGTGATTTGTTCAATATAACGGAACTACATGTATAAACAATTGACATAGAAGTGGTAGGTTTAGCTAGCTATAAAACCAGGTTTAACCCACCGTTTTATTCGGAAAATGCCTGTACCAAATCTGAAATGTGACAGCAGTTTTCCATTCGTTCCGATAGTTGATGAAGTCAAACGTTTGATTTTTGTCAGGTTTTATGGACTTTCCCCTTTTTGAATTAACCTTGGAGTTCGGTATTTTTGTGAAAACTTTTTTACATACATTTTATAAATTCGCAGCTGTACAAAATTGTTAATTACATAAACTATGGTTACAACTCCCTGATGCGAAACTGACCTCAGATGCTACTTGTTTCTTTTTTTCTTTTCAGCGTCTATATTTATATAATCAGAAATTGTTTCAATGATCTGTATTTAAACATTCAAAAGTATCATTAACCAAACTTTAAAATCTTTGATAATTTTATACATAGTATTAAGCTAACCTCATCAAATTGTCTGTATGAGGCCTGACTACCAGTCCAATTTGAAGGACAACCGGTCGAGACATTCAAATTAGGTAAGAAATTCACGTCGATTGGAGCAGAAAAGTTTATGTCATACTTTAAAAAAGTCAGTTATTGTTGTAAAGATCGGGAAAATTAAAATAACAAACCTAGAATATCCATATAACATAATGACTATGCCTACAATATACCTATATTGACTATGGTAAGTCTACAATATACCTATAATGACTATTGCAAGCCTATAATATACCTATTTTGACTATTGTTGCACATTCAAACAATCATATGTATCTTTATAACATCATGTAACAGAGAGTTCCATAACCTGACTTCTAGTCTATCATGACTTTTAATATAATTGTGCATGACATGATATTCATTATGCTTAGTTTCAGTTTCTTGAATAATCGTCATCATGTCGTTTAAAACTTAGGAGAAAAGAGGAATTGTCCTATCCCGCTATGTGCGCTCAATGGTAGGATACTTTATTTTTTTAAAGTAAACAAATTAAAAGTTTCCGACACACCAACATTTTTTCACTCTTTCAATTCAGTGACATCATTCGTACTTCAAGACCTCTTGCTAGATAAGTATCCAAACTTTATTATGACGGTAGAAAGTATGCCTGGTACCACTTCAAGAATTCTAAATATGACGTAGAATTTTTATTATATAATTTCCGTAGTATATTTCCAATTAGTCAAGGGATTAAATTACAGCTTAACAAAAATAGTTTGGATGACCATTGCAGAGAATTACTTCCCAGGTTAAAATAATTGAATCATCGCATATGTATAATCCATTCAGGATCTATGACACACGGTATATTCTCTAAAATGATTGGTTGTTTACAAAAATGAGCACTACAACAACCACCCGAGGGAAAATATTCATGTACCTCATGTATGATCTATCAATTTTACGTATGCAAGCTTCCTGTTGTGCGGCTTTCGGGTAGTAAATAAACATAAATACGTCGACTCATCTACGTATTGCAAGTATATTTAATATAGATACGGAATCATTCAACTCGCAAAAAATAAGATTGAACAGTAAACTTGATAGAAACTTTCGGTGGAGAACGACAAGGATACCCACTTTCAATTAACTTTTAAAATTAGTTTTACAAGTAGACACAATGCGAATGCTTTTATTATTATGTATTATTGGATGTGCAGTTGTACATGGACAGTTTCCTGGACAGGGTCAGAATTTTGGTCAGCAAGGAGGACCTAACTTCGGTCCAGGTGGTCCTCAAGGTGGTGGACCAAATTTTGGTGCTGGACCACAAGGAGGTCCACAGGGATTCGGTCCTGGAGGTCTTCAGGGCGGAGGAGGCATTCCAGGACAAGGTGGCTTTGGTCCTCAGGGTGGAGCAGGCATTCCAGGCCAAGGTGGCTTTGGTCCTCAAGGGAACGCTGGAATAGGTCAAGCTGGACAAACACGTATGCTATTTTTTTATGGAATATTTAGTATTTTGTCTTTTAAGCAATCACAATGCAGAGAAAAATGCAAACTGTGTCTGCTTTTCAATTGGAAAAACTTAATTTTAACAATAATTGATAATATTTCCAGAATTGACAGTAGTGAAAATATATAGTTTTTTTAATGTATTTTTATTTTAAGTTTATGTTCACTGTAATATAATATTAACCAAACGTTTGGATTCAATTTGTCATTTAGTGCTTTAGTTATAACATTTCTTGATTTTTCAAATCTTTTTTAAGAACAAGGACTTCCACCTCCACCGCAGTCAAATAGCGTTTGGACATATGCAACGTGCTATTTGAATGAAACGGGATCAAACGTGAGAGGTCGTGTAGATATGAGACAATCTGTAAGTCATTTTACAAAATATATTCTGGCTCGATTAGTTTGTTTAAAAATTATCTCATTACATTTGTTATTTGTGCCTTTTTTGATATCTTGGTCAACTTTTTGGATATATCTCTCCTAATTTCATGTTTACTTGACCTAATCCACGTCTCTTTTAAAATACAGTTATTTTTTTGTGTATTTACCACAATTTGAGCGTAAACCTTTAATTGGTGCTTTAAAACCAGTTTGAATAAAATTTGATTAGTTATGGGAATATTCTAATGCATTTCGTGTATGACTTTTTATCACTAGAAATTTCATATACCGTATCAAAGCAGTCGTCTGGGATCTTAACGTAAGCTGTTAGTTTGTAAATTAGTTGTTATTTAATTTCCTTTAATTTTGGAAATACGTTAATTATATATATATATATATTTTTACCTAAACATGCATGAAGTATTTGTCACTGGACGTTAAGCAACAATCAATCAATTAATATAATTTTTGAACGCAGTCATCGAGTCTGTAACATTGATGTAGTGGTACCAACGTAAATTTATTTGATCAGTTTTTTTTCCCCTTGAGATAGGGTTAAAATTTGCAGATATAACCTTTAAAATGTTTCCAGTATATGCATGTATTAAAGTCTTTTATTTTTTTGCAGACATTCGGTGGTCCAACACAAGCCAGAGTACAAGTGATTGGCTTACCACCAAGTTTAATGAGTGACACTGAACATGGTATGCATGTACACGAGTATGGTGACGTAGGCAGAGGATGCTATGCTGCTGGACCTCATTTTGATGTCAATGGCTTCTCTTTCCACGGATCACCAAACAATGTCAGATCGTACGTAATATTCATTTTAAAATTACTTCAATACTATCCTGTGGAAATAATAAAAAAAATCGTTGATGTAATTTATTCAATAAGGCACGGATTCAGACGAGGGCGCACCCGCCCCTCCATCAAATCTTGGATCCGCGCGAGTCAATATTGGACTATGATATTAAAAGAATATAATTTTACTACATAATGTAAATAGATTTTAAATACCCATTCCTACTTTGCGTGGCTGTAGATTCATACGACACACACAATCAAACGGACGCCTATTGATATGGGTCTATAAATTGGCAGTAATCATACTTCTATAAGCATATTACGACCACCCTTTGTAAATTTTAATTTTGTATTACATATAAAAAGTACCCATCTCTTTTTCCAGGAATACATTTCACGAGGGTGATATGGGTAATCTACGACAATCCAATGCTGGCGTAATAGATGCTGAATTAGTTCTACCTGCCATGACAATCGATGGAGACAATGGTATTATAGGACGTGCAGTAGTGGTGAGTGCTTCAATAAAGTTAATGACTATAGTTCTTGTTTAATAGATTAGCATAGAGGACTCTCTCTGGTATCAGTTAATGTTACTAAAGTATAAACTATCCTTTGGGGGAATTTATAAGACCGAACTTAAGCGAATCACAAATATATTAGATGATATTTTGTATTCAAACTGCCTTATATTTTTATTATTGTCCTTTTTTTAAAAATATTTCAAATATGAAAAAAGACACGCTAGGGTAATTATACATTTAAAAACTAAGTTACATTTATTTACATACAATGAATTACAGTGTCAGAAAACTTATATTATATACTTTAATATTGTGATGCTTCTGTTACAGTTACATGAAGGTAGAGATGATTTAGGAAGAGGAGGAACTTCAATGAGTCTACAAACAGGAAATGCAGGTGCTCCAATAGCTTGTTGTGTTTTGTCTCATGCAGATAGTACGAATTGGGATAACCGTTTTATTCAAACAGGAAGACCAACACAATTTTCGAACACTATTCCCACAAACCCTAACCAGTTTGGAGGACTTCAAGGACAACAAGGTGGTGGATTTAATGCGCTTAATCCATTTGGACAAGGTCCTGGACCTAACGGCTTTAATGGTGGTCCCGGCCCTCAAGGTGGTTTTGGTGGACCACAACCTGGTGGTCCTGGTGGTCCTGGTGGTCCTGGAGGTCCTGGTGGTCCTGGTGGTTTCAACTAGACTTCCACTGACATTGACTTATCAGACGTTCTATAAAATAAGCCATAATTATTTATTTCATCTCTGCATTTATCTTTCTCATTATATCAATCATCGTGTATATGTGCGTATACAATCCTAAGCTGCCAGTTTTTTGTATCATTTCCAGTTGTCTTTTGGATTACTAACTACGCTGGCGTAATAGTAAAAAAAGATGACTTGGAAATATTGACTGTTTTAAAAAGGATCGAGGAAGTGATGGAAAGTTATGAAACAACGTTACTAATCATGTTAACGCTATAGTTCCTAAGGCCACGGACACGAAGTCTGTCAAGAACTTGTACTGACTTCCTGGTTTAGACGGAGATATTTTGTACTTGTTTAATAAACAACATAAAACACAGTCATATTTTATATGTCGTACCCTACATGATTCAGTTAAATTTTGTTCGTATTTTGGTTTGCTTTTGAGCATACTTCTAATAATACCTTTTTGAAGGACAGCCCGGTCTGTGACTTTGTAAAGGTTATCGGATTCGGAACAAACATGATAAACATTTCATTTGATATATTCATAAAATCATGCATTGGTCATCAAAAATAAAACTGTCACTTGTACATTGTAATCTGTTTTCTATGTTGAGTATATACTTGTACGTAGATCACGTGCCACTAATCTACTATTTAACGGAATGTTTGGATCTATAGTGTCATTTGTCTTATCACAACCACCAAGGTAAAGTCCTTTCCATCCAGGTCAATCGTACAAATTATTTTAAAAGTACCTTTGTTAAGGCATACATTAAAAAGGGAATAAAGTTCAGTCTAATGTTGTAGCATATCGTTTACATATGTATAAGTTAGAAAACCTAGTCTACTACTCAATCTCAATCTAATCAAAATACAGATCTCTGAGGGTGGTGGGGGTAGGGGGCATGTGTTTTTCCCTCGGGACAAAAAAAAAAATCAACAAACTATTTTTTTTTACTTCCCTTCTTAAACAAAATTATTTTATTATAGAAATTTACAATTGGATAATTTATTGTATAAAAAAGCTATGCCCTCTCCCCAAAAATGAATGGTTGTTGACTAAATGAGAAAAAGCAAGGCAAATCATGCACTGTCATTACCAGTTGTGGTGTGGGTGGGTTACAAAAATACAACATAAATACAAAAATAAATAAACAGTCTCTGAGAAAAAATACAAAAATGAAGTAAGAGTCACGGAGAGAAAAAAATGTTTTTATTGTTACTGTTACATCTGGTCCATCCCAGACAACATTGGTACGTTGGCACAACATTGGCCCAACGTATCTACATGCATTGGCCCGACGTTGTTTTTAAACGTTGGCCCAATGTATAAGTGCAAAGTGGCCCTATGTTGGCCCAACGTGATGGCTAAACGTTGGCACAACGTTGTAAGGTTTTATACAATACATTGGCCCAACGTTGGTCCAATGATGGAATAATACTTGCCGATGTTGAACAAACGTTGGGCCAACGTAGTAATACAAACTGTTAACAAACGTTGGCACTCCGTTGGTTCAATCTGTAAACTTATCTATCCATATGAAGGATACTAAAATTCCTTCCAGACAACAACTGCAATAATTCCTGGTTCTTACATCAGTTCCACTACTACTTTTTTTAAATGTGGCAATTATTGCGTTTTACAGATCCACTTTACCATGTTGTGTCTTACATACTACCCGAACATTTTGTATTTTGCCACTTTCTCTCAATCTTCCTGAACATGCATAAAATATTTGCCAATGGACGTTTCAGTAACCAACAACCAATCAATCTCTCTCCAGGAATTGTACTTCTGAATTGTATACCCATATTTGTATGAACTCAATCAACTTATCCATGTTACCTATTTTTCTTAAATAATGTAAATACAAAGGTATGATTAAATATAATTTATTATTAGCTAGACAACCAGCAAATTTAAAAAAAAGTCTTTTTTGTATCTATACGTTGCTAAATCAGATCTATAGAATGAAAATTATAAAGTCTATTCATGATAATTCATTTATCTCATTTGTATAATATCATTACAGTTTATGTTGCAATATCCAAGCTCTGTATGATGGCCTTGATAATTCATTTTATAGAGCAATTTTTCTAGTTCTGTATTCCAACATGGTTTTTATTCACAAGAGAGTTCCTTTTGTTTTCTGCTACACTTTGTTTTGTCACTATTTCTGGCTCCGTCTTATGTTAAATCCTTTTAATATCCAGTTTAGCATATCTTCATAAAAGTTATTCCAGTACATGTACCTCTGTAATAAAGTAATGAATAAATGAGTACTCAATGTATGTATATTTAGAATATATTAAATCCTCCTAAAAAATAAACAAAGAGACAAAAAATGCATTGTTTCCGGTGTCCTGGCACATTACAATAGTTAGAAAAAAGACCTATAAATTTATATTAAAATGTAAAATTGTATATTAAAAAGAAAAGCTACTTCAAGTAATTCAGACAATAATCTTTGTAGTCTTTTTCTTTTATAAATATCCTTATGTGTGGTATAGTCTTTTTTTAAATCCCCCCTATTTTTTTTATATTTCAAGCGTCAGCTTTTTGTGACTGATATTTACTCCTACAAACTATTCATATATCGGGTTTCTTTTGCAAAAGTTTTGCCGAGGACAAAAAACTAAATTCAGTCGAGTCCGTATAATTATATATAAATTACAACATTCTTGCAATGATTTTAATAAATAACTACCCTATTTGATATCTAAAACACTGTTACACATGCAAGTGTGTATATGATCAGGTTTCACAAATATATCGTATATGTTTGCATGCGATTTAGAAATAATAAAACTAACAATTTCATTTATATTTCTATGAAGTAGAAATCATTATACCACATTTCTGAAACATTACGGAACAAGGTACATCTTAAGACAGATTTTTTCCATTAACTTCAGTAATGGTGATAAATGCAATCATTATAGATTTCAGAAATTGTTTGATGATACTAATGTTCAGTGGCAAATATTTCATGATTATTTAGGATTGAAATGGTTTAAACAAAATCTAGAAAATATTTCGCCAGAAACGTATAAACTTCAAGATCAACATTATAAAATGATAGAAATTATATGTTTTAATTTTGAACATTATCCCTGAGATTAACAAAAACATATTGTTGTCATTCACAATCGTATATATAACAGAATTTTTAAAGTTATAACTTACATGTCACTTTCTTTTTCTTTGAACCTCAGATGATATGATTTTCTCTTTTTGTTGTTCTTCGTTTCACTGCTTTCTTACAAAAACACAACAGGAAATAACCACAAAAGTGACCATCCTATTACATTCAGATTTCCTATAAACTTAATTACCATAGCAACTATCTTTGAAATTTGTCTAACATATGGTCAACCTTATCAGAATGTGCTTGATTAACAGACTGGCTGTATCAAATATCACTCTGTATATAATTGCTAAATAATTATGTTTCACAAAGTTTAATGAATAAAGTTATAATAAATAATGATTGCAATAAATTTAAACTTTTAACCAGGCAATCTATGTTTACGATATTTTTTTTTTTATTACAGTAATGATATTCCAGTATAAATTTTACCTGACTTATATATAGAGTATAATAGGATCAACGTTGGCCCAGCATTGGCCCAACATAGAGTTGTAAATGTAATTTCAGTTCATGAACACTTTCGGTATAACATTAACTTTTCATAAAGCATGCAGCAATCGCAATTATCCGCCTCCCAAGAGAAATAAAACGTAAAATATTTCATAATCAATTTTTATTTACAAAATTTCATATAGGCCCTATGTGGCTACTAACATAATGCCAACGTTGGCCCGATTATTTATAACCAACATGAGATAATAATATGGATTTACAACAGCAGGCCAACGTTGGGCCAATGTTGTGCAGCCAACACCAACGTACGACCAACGCACCGACAATTTGCCAACGTTGGGCCAATGTTGTGCAGCCAACACCAACGGTCGACCAACGGACCGACAATTTGCCAACGTTGGGCCAATGCTGTGCAGCCAACACCAACGGTCGACCAACGGACCGACAATTTGCCAACGTTGGCCCACTGTTAGTCTGTTGACTGGGATATTATCAAATAAAGCTTATTCACATTAGCACAATTTAGGTAAATATATATCTCGCCGGTTTACAGTAAGATGATTACAGCGAAGTTGTATTCAGTTTGTTTTTACTCTTTTAAATTGCTGTACAGTAAACGTACATAAACACTTCCATAAATATTATGATATGTATTTAAATGCGTATAAATATTTGTACAGGATACGTTAAGTCTCAGCATTATCAAATAATTATGTATTTTTGTTTAATCTCGGATTAACTCCCTTTGACACATCTGACATGTATTAAGTAAATTTGAAAATAAATACACTTCGAAAATCAAACCATATAAGGTAGCATATAATTTACTTTGAACAGCAGCACAATACTTACATTAGCAGTAAAGGTAAGCAGTAAGATTTCGTCATATTCTGGGCTAATATCATGATTGATGTTTTCTGAATGTTTGTCTCTTACTATTTCGAAAACACTGAGCTGAATAGTGACAGGGATAAGTTCCAGGATTTACTTCTTTTTTTCGGAAGAGGTTATTTTTATGTATATTATGTGTTTTCGTGCTGATCGCCGATTTTCTTGCATGTTCTCTTCCTTTACAGTTATACACCAGATTTGGCAACGAATATAAAAATAAGAAAATGTGGTGTGATTGCCAATGAGACAACTCTCCACAAGAGACCAAATGACACAGAAAATTACCAACTATAGGTCACCATACGACCTTCAACAATGAGTAAAACCCATACCGCATAATCAGCTATAAAAGGCCCAGAAAGGACAAATGTAAAACAATTCAAACGAGAAAAAGTATTTTTACCACCAGAGAAGTCACTTATTCTTTTCCTTTACATTTATACACCAGATTTGGCAACAAAGTACTTCTACAACCAAAGAAGTCAATGTAAATATTAAAATTTGTTTTCCGTCAAAATATTAATTTGTATGCCGTGTCCTCGATTTTGCCGAAGTCGTAACGACTAAATAATAGATAACTTACAACTGCTCTTTGAACAACCCATATGATATTTAAAAAATTATCGTTTTCATTAGAGGGAGACGTGTATTGATTTAAAAATGTCTGGTCCTTACCGACATTTAGAATGAACAGGTGAATAATGTTAACATTTAAATTAAAACGTAGCAAAATTGCGTCGTTTATATAGTGCTTTTTTTCGGGGGATTTCGAACGGAAAACCGAGCACACACATTGCCTTTGAAAAGACATTTTTTTTTCAACTGGAAAAACTGCACAGATGAACAAACAAGTGCCATCAACATGTTGTATTCCCGTCAGCTAGTTTAGATCAGCATTCAAAATAAATATATACATATTTTCATAGGTACATATTCTACTAAGTCAATCATAGAACTGTGTCCACACTCGTTTAAAAACTTTTTCCCAATCAACATGATGTACCACACAAAAGCCGCTCAAATAGTGATATATTCTGTAGATTTTTCTTTTTCTTTTCATCTATAGCTGATCAAAACTACAAAACAGGAAGAGTTTTTCTAAGTTTTTAACAGAAACAAAATACGATGACGTTGTGCATTCCACATATTTGTGCTCAAACATTGATCCTTTGTTGTGCGCTCTTTTCTGCGCATTTCGTGAATTCAGCAACTAACAAAAAAAGGGGAGAGGAATAAGTCTAAAAACTAGTTTATACCCACTACATGTATATAATCTTAGACTATTATACTAACACATATCAAGGACGTATATTAGTTATACGTCCTTGCACATATTATAATGAGCATAACGTCTGTATATTATATTATGTCAATTCAGGTTGCACTTTAATAAATTATTTATTCGTTCATTCATATTATGTTAATATATAATCGTTAGTATAATAGTACCAGATATAGTATACCAATAAGTAATTCAGATAATTGACATAAAATTAAAAAAAATGACTTAATTGTCTTGGAACTCATACATTGACAGCTAGTGTACCCAATATAAACTGCTAAATTTTACGGATATTTCATTTGTATGTTTTCTGAACACGAAAACGTTAAAAGTATGCCATATAAGAAACCATATTACTTAATCAGTCAGGCATTTTCATAATTAACTTTGAATTACGAAGGATTTTCTACCCCAGGAATAGATCACCTTTGGCAAAACCTTTCGGAAATTTGGGTCCTCATTGTTCTTCAACTTCGTATTTTTATCTAAACTTTTTAACTTCTTTGATTCGAGCGTCACTGACGAGTCTTTTGTAGACGAAAAGCGCGTCTGGCGTACAAAATTTGAATCCTGGTATCTATGATATGATTATTGACATGTTTTTGTCACATGGCAAGGACGTACGTTTTAAACTGAGCTTAGTTATACAAACAAAAGGTCTTCGCCAAATTTGCCAAAGGACTTTAACTTCAACAGTAATCACTAGCAACGTCCGTCACGTTTTCTTTCTATCGTTTAAGTTTTCCGCATGGTCCGGTTCATATTTTCTTTTTTATTGCCGTTTTACAAAAAAAAAGTCATGAATAATAAAAGTAGTAAAAAGCAACAAACAGACCCTAGTTACATTTGGCGGGAGCTATGCGCCTTGAAAACCCGATAAATAATGGACCAATTTGAACGCAATTATAATGATCTATAATGTCTAGTAACTAATCCTCAGTCACTTGTTTCTATCCATGGGAAGGTCGACTATCAATATTATATGGATAGTCGACCTTCCCATGGATAGAACAAGTGCATGTGAACTAATCCATTTAGAGGTGTGTCATTTATTGAATTTGCCATTGGACGAAATTTTCAAATTGAATAAAGGAAAGATTACGTTTTAAAACAAAATCAAAAAGTTAGTTTAGTTTTGGTCAAATAATTTGATATGAGGAAAATAAGTTACAATTTCAGTGGGGAAAATATGATACATTTTGATAAATTTGTATGACATTTATTGTTTGCCAATTTTATTTTGGCGAACATTCAGTCCTTCAAAGTAAGTCATCAGTGTAGCTAGGACTAATAGAACTCACATCCACTAAAGCCGCGGCAAATTAAACACCTGGAAAATTATTTGTTTCTTTCCACATATGAATTGATGTGATATGACCGTTCAAATAGAATTCATTTAAGGCGAAACTTTACATATCCTGGTTCTCGTTGAATTAAAAAAAAAATGTATTAGTATTGTTATCCTTAATGATGATTCGTTCAGCAATGGTCGATTCTCCAGTGTTTTTATCCCCCAATCTCAGAGAATAGGCCAGTTTCCAGGAAAGTTTCCACACCGTATAATTTAAGCTGTTTCAATATGCTTTCCTACCGTTTTTCTGTTTAATTGCTATGTCAAACTCAACAAAGCAAAGCCGGTGATACCTCCTTCATTTATTCTGTTAGACACATTGGCTAGAGGTAAAAGGGAGGGTTGATATCTCACAAAACATGTTTAACTCCTCCGCATTTATGCGTCTGTCCCAAGTCAGGAACCTTAAGCCTTTGTTAGTCTTTGTGGTTTTTTTTTCTATTTTAGTTCATTTTTATATGTTTCGGAGTTTAGTGTGGCGTCCATTTCGCAGAAATATAGTATATTATTATTGTTTATTAGCCAGCTGAAGTCCGCCTCCGGGTGTGGGATTTTCTCGCTGTGTTAAAGACCCATTAGTCGCCTTGGATTGTCTTCTGCTCTTTGGTCGGGTACTTTGGGTTACTTATTTAGCTACCAACTATGCATGTATTGCATAAACTATTTTCTTCTAAGAGCGGAATTGTCACGTTCCTTATTAAACAGTTATCGCACGTATTCTGGGACCAATAGATTATTAAAAGTCACGTCTCAATCACAGATATATCACAAATGTATCGCAAATAGTTACAGCATCTTAGTATTTCACTTCTCCAAATTTTTGTTTCATGATTCTATTCGCCAAAATTTTTGCTGAGGCGACAGTTAAAGGGGTAGGATGATTTTTCTTGCAAAGTACAGAACGGCTTTTCCGCTCAAAATGAATAAGTCGTCCTAGCAAAAAGTGAAAATGAATAATACATCCTCAAAGATTCTGCTTCACCCCTCCCCTACATCAGTTTGCGAAAAAATCAAATGTCATCCCCTCAACTTACATTATCAAAGTCACTTGTGTTCCAAATACAGAAAATCTTCAATATTTCTTAGTAAAAAAAATTGAAAACAACACGTTATAAATTTCATGCGTCCGAAGCGCTTTTTATGGATTTACCTTCATCAGAAACTCTCAAAGTCAAAGCCGAATATTTGAAAGCCAAGGATGTATAAGAACAGAGTACAAGTCAAATCGGGACCTGGTCAATACGGCACCTATTCCTGCATTTGGTTATTCAACTGGCACCTAATATTATTTTTACCGTTTTCTTTCCTTTTTATTTGAGGTATGGGGAGAATAGGCTTTCGGTTTTTTTTTTGACATACGGGTAAAAATCAGCCCTTATATCAATTAAAAAAAATAATTCGTTGTTTCAACAATTTTCAGGTAGTGTATGATCTTTTAAAAATTAAAATCAAATATTAAACAGTGAAGCCATTATCCAAGCTGTTATTTAATTTTGTAGCCCGTGTTTACTAGCAATGTGTAGTTGTCATAAAATAGAGGTTCCTTTTTAATATGAGTTCCTGGCAATAAGAACAGATATTATGGCTTGTTTAATTTATAACAGTTTCCATTGGAACTTCTGTTATGCGCAACAAATATACGTTGACACCTTGAGTGAAAATATTTAAAAAAAAAATCAAAGTGCTTGTGAGCACTGAAGGGTAAAGATTGATTTCTTTTTGCAATTTTGTGAATTTAAAATAAAACATTGAATTGTAATTAGATAGGCAAATTATAAATTTGAGTTGGAGTTATCTTCCTTTGTTCATGGTTGAGTCTTTTTTAATAACAGAATAATACACCATGAATTACTTGTGTAATTTTCAATAAAGAAAAGTTTGCTTGACAAATATGGTAATTCAAATACACATCATATTTCTACCTGAATATCTAAGTATAACATATTATTAATAAATTGCATGACATTAACTGGATAGGATCTAAAGATTACTTCACTGCACTATTTTGTTTGAACTATCAGAGTTAGTGATAAACCTTGGAAGATTTTGATATTAAGTCAGTACCATAGGGTTTTGATTGCATTTCATGCAATCTTTACCCCAAAAAATATGGGAAAAAACGGAGTCTTTAATAAGTTTACTTGCAAAACATAATGTTTATTTGGGTGCCAAATTGACTATAACGGTGCCGATATGACCAGGTGCCGATTTAACCAGGTGCCGAAATGACTAGAATTCTTAGAACCGAAACAGTGGTTTAATAGAGCTATATAACCAGATAACAAAAAGGACCTAAAAAAAAGCCAGATCCCTCTAAGGTAAACTTTGCCTGAGTGAGTAAGTAAAACATCATGCTTTGGTCGCTTATAAATATCCGAGACTATATATCTACAAGTCCTAGTAAATATTGAGTACCGCATTAACAATAGAAAAAAGCGGAAAGATCATTTTTCTGGGTACTCACTAATTTGCGACATGAAGCTGTCTTGTAAAAATAATTTTATTTGCATTTCCCGTCCGTTGTCCTTTGATCTTTCTTTTAATCATAATCATATTATTTGGAAACCTCGGGTTTTATCCAACGGATTTCTTTTTGTTTTTCAGGGATCCAGTCACTCGAACATTGTTTACATTCAGTTAAGAAACTTTTCAAGGCCACCAACTAAAACTGGCTTATACCGCTTTTACGTTTACAGCCGAGATAGGTTTACAGAGGATACAAAATGTACAGAACACATCACTTTGTTCGACTGTCCACGATTGTAAATGACAGAGGCAGAGGGAAAGTTTTTAGTCCTGCTCGAATCTGTCGGTCGCTTTCAACTCTTGATAAATTGTATCCTCGGCATGACTCTTTTAGTGAAAGACATATAGGTCCAGGGGAAGACGAAAAAAGAGAAATGCTAGATTTTCTAGGATTTAAGGTAAGCCACAGACTTTGCGAAGGACACTCCTCGGAGTGAGTCGGAGTCCTCCTGAAAATGCATGAAATATGGTATCGGGTCCGTTCGCGCCCAATACACGTTCGCACCCTACACGTTCGCACCCCACACGTTCGCCCCCTAGGTCCGTTCGCATCCTACAAGTTCGCACCCTTTTCTTATTAAAAAAAACCTGATAAATTTTTAGATGGTTTGTAGATGTTTATATCAAAATATTTTTATTCATGAATTTTTAAATGAAATATTGTTTTAAATTGATTTGATGATTAATTATTAAATGTTAATTATGTATGATTACTGCTAATTGGTATTTATACACAGCCTAATTCGGTGTTATTGTTGAGTGTTTAAAAACCATGATTGTTGTCATGGTTGTTTTAACTTGTTTTGATGTAAATACTGCATGTATTTAGCTTGGTACGAGTAAAACTTTGAAACTTTGAAGATTTTAAATAAAAAACATGAAAAATAATTGTTTTAACAGCTTGGCTCCTTTGATCTCATGTGTGTCAGAATCTCACTTTATTCATAAACAATGAAAAAAAATATTTATAGCAATACACTATCCAAAACATGATTACGAATTATTCAACACATAAAAAAAAAAACGTCGTCAGAATCCCAATTCCTTTTGAAACAATAAAAAAGATATATTTATAGCAATTCACTGACCAAAACATGATTAAAATTTTATCAACACATAAAAAAACGTTGTCAGAATCTCACTATATTTAGAAACAATGAAAAAAAATATATTTATAGCGATACACTTACCATGCTTACCATTTATTCAACATCAAAATAACGTTGTCAGATTTGCACTTTATTTACTAGAAACAATGAAAAAAAATATTTATAACAATACACTAACCAAAACATGATTAAAAATTATTCAACACAAAAATAAAATACTGGTCGTCAGAATCTCACTTATAAAAATAGGGCGCGAACGTGTAGGGTGCGAACGGACTTTGGGTGCGAACGTGTAGAGTGCAATATTGAAAAGGGGGCGAACGTGTATGGGGGCGAACGTGATTGGGCGCGAACGGACCCTGATTCATGAAATATTTGCCACTGGACATTAAGAAACCAACAATCAATCAATCTTAGTGAAGGATACAGATCTGATCGTCAAAATCAGCTATGCTTTTCAAATTTGAAAAATTATTAAACCTAATGACCCATATTTCAAATATCAGTTATATAATTTTTGATTGTCCAATGAAATTATGTAAGGATCGAGTTGTAAAAAAAGGATACACAACAATTCATACTCAACAAACTTGTACCCAGTTTTTGTCTAGTCTTGACTAAGTCATAAAATGAGAATACAGTATGCTGTTTCTGGGGTCGGTTTAAAGGGAACCATATATGATACGTCAATAATATTTAGTATGCAGTTCAGCCAGTTGCACATGTTGTATAAGAATTAGCAAATTTCATTTCCATCGAGAATATTTGGTCCTGTTCCCTCAGTCTATTGACTTGAAACTTGTTGCATAGTTTGCATGTTCAAGTTTGTGATGATGTCAGTTTAAGGGGAACCACTTATGATAAGTCGATGATATTTGGTATGCAGTTCAAGTCTGTTGTATTAGCAAAGGCATACATGTATCTCATTTGCATGGAGATTATTTGGCCCTGTCTCCTGTAAATTAGTATGAAATGAAGGCTTAAAAAAGAGCTGGGGATCACTGAAAAACCCTTGCTGCACCAGTGGAGGGAAGGGTCCAGGGCACATGTCAATTGTTTTTTTTTCTTTTTCTCCTTTTGTCTACATGGATATTTTAATGTGCATCTATCTGGAAAAAAAGACATTCATTTATCCATACAAGATCCTCATCCTATTATTGCCCTATTCATAAGAAAATATTTGAAATGAAACTTTAAAAAAAGATTTTAAATGGACATCTGTCCTATTTTTGAAGTTTGACATTTGTCACAAGCTCCTCTTCGGCAGGTTGAAATCTTGGAAACTAAGTTCATAGAATTTTAATATAAAACTTACTGCATTTCCAAACTCAACATTTAAATGAAAACGGCTTGTTGATTGACAAACTTTCACTGTAGATTTATTAAATTCAAGTCTACTTTCATGAGTGTTTTACTCCAAAAACTTTCAGTCATTATTAGATGGATGTATTTTACAGTAATGTACGATGCAGTCCGGTAAATCCGCCCACATAGGGCTTTGATCGTATGTATTTCTGCTTAATTATATACAAATTGTATAAAATTTAATATAAATAGATTCACCGACAAATCAATTTTGAGTAGTTTATCTCATTTCCCCAAAATTATCTGAAATAATACTTAAAATCAACAAAACAAGTGGGTCATCCGCGCTTTTATCGGAAATGTGTTTGTCCGGTAAATCCGCCTGTGCGCAGTAAATATGTATGGAGGGCCAGTTTATCACATATTTATGAAAGGCAAAGGTGATCTATTAGTAAACCACTTATTAAGAGATTCCAAATATTTCCCAAAAAAAATAATTTCAAGTCAGACATGAGTTTTGTACGCAAAAATATGATTATCGTTAGCTTTATCAACTGTATTATATATATCACTGGATATTTTCGTAATAAAGGATTTTTCTTTTAAATTTGACATGCAGTGATGATAAGTACAGTTCCTATGAATAAAATAGCAGACAAAATATTCACAGAAGTGACAACTACGAAAGTAAATGGGAGTATGCTGTTGTATTAGCTTTGGCACATCTCATTTCCTTGGAGATTACAATGCATATGGCATACTACCCCTCATCTTAGTTCATGGACTTTTACACTTTTGCATAGTTTACATGTCAAAGTTTGTTTTTGAGATCTGTTTAAAGGCAACCACTTTTGACAAGTCAATAATATTTGCAAAATATTGATTTATCAGATTATTTTAATGAATTTGATTATCTTGAAAAGAGAAATCAAACTAAACTCAAACAGAAATGAATATATTGGCATCCCCAGATAAATAAGACAATCTCATTTTAATTGCATCAAGTTAGGTTCTGGAACCTTATATAATTTTGCTTAGCCTATTTGACAGTTAAATAATTTGGTATTGTTTCAATAAAATACTTTTTTATAGAAAAAGAACAAAAAAATGTAAAAAAATTGATGGTGTATAATCTTTTGAAATGTTTAGGCTTTAAAGGTTTATTATTTAGATCAAGAATAGGACTATTAAACAGATTGGAATAAAATAACAACTATTTATTCAACTGCATCTATATGTTCATGCCAGATTGTGTAAATTTTTATAATTAAAATCTACTTAATAAAATTTGTTACGCTTAATTAAGAATTATTTTTTATCATTTCAATTGATATTGCAGAAAAAAATTTATTATGCTAAAAAGAAATATATGCTTTTTCCCTCCCAACTGGCAGAAAAAAAAAGAGTGAGTATTGGTAGGTTGGTAAAATAATTTTATTTTTGAAAATTTTTTACACAGACTGCATTATAGGGAAATATTCTGTACTAAAGTGGTGCTTAGTTTAATATCTTGACTTGAATGATGCCAGAGACATATATTTTTGATGATGCTTACCCTAAAAATGTTCAATTAATGTGTTCATGTAGACATGAAAATGTGTGGAATCTGATATGTTATTTGGTTACATGTACCGGTATATTATATTTAAAATTTGATAGCATATTGTTTGCTTGACATACCTGCACAGGTCAACAAACATACATTTCATATAAATTATGAATAATAATATAAGTGCAATAACAAAATTTTGAAGTTCTAGACAAAAACACTATATATTATATTTCAATTTAGACTTGTTTATATTTCTATATTATATACATTTAAAATTCAAAGTATGTATGCTTTTAGAATATTTGTGTTATCATTCATTAACAAGATCAAAGCCTGCTCACTGAAATAGAAAGATTTGTGCATAACTATCCTCAAATTCTAGATACTCGCTTGATTTAGTTTCGTTAAAAGGAACTATAATTTGGTTCAGTGATTTTCAATCTATCAAAAAAATACATAAAATTTATCTTCGGTCTTGATTCACCAATGTTTTATTCAAGTTTCATGAATTACCTATTCTAAAAGTAGCTAATTGTAAAAATTAGATATAAGGCTAAGGTACCATGGTCAAATCGTACAGAAGATTATTTGAAAGTTAAAATTAAATCAGTTTACTGTTCAGATGTTTTGGAAGGATAAATTATACCCTTGGCGGCCTCATTGTATCTAATGCATATATATATGACAGGGAAAGCCATAAAGGGGTAATGTGATCTTGTAAATTATTGTCTGTTCTGTAGCATAAGCTTCTAAGATTTTTGAAAGTAATCCAGGTCAGGATTATCATAAGAATGTCTAGTTCCAAATTCCAGAACAAAAGTGGGGGTAAAATTGTTTAAAAAGTTCAGAAAAATCCTGGAAGTCATATAGCTATCAGACTTTTGGTAGGTGATTCATGTATTTATGGACAGCAACCAAAAGACACACAAAAAAGCCACAAGACATCTAGAGGTTAAAATGTGGCCTTAAACAATAGACAGGTGTCTATACAATATATGTCAGCTCATAATTGCTAAGTCTAAATAAGATGTGAATACATATTGAATACTATAAAAGATTTGCTAGCTATCAACACTACATTCTTAACATCCTGTTGCAGATATAATTTTCTGCATACCGGTATTCAGAAAAAGAACAAATAAACATTAAATTTAATAGGTAAGTTCTGCAGAGTGGGTTGATATAGTTAATTCCTTGGAACAGACCACCTTCAGAATCCCCAAAAAGTTGTTGTAATGGTATTTAAATGCATAGCATGGAACTCTTAGTCTCCATTTAGAAGCACTCTGACATTTTATTTAAAGTACCATTTCCGTCTTGACATGGTTGTGTATTAAAGTTGTAAATACTGCTCTGCCAAATGGAAACCTCAGCATGGATTTACTGCCGGAGGAGAGAATACTAATTGGCCCTAGATTTCTGAATCCTTCAAAAATTCATTTATATTTTTTACTTGATCCTGTTTGGGGGTCCAGATTTTCAAACATCATTTTCATGCAGGAAAATCCGGTTTGCTGTCAATCTGACATCCTCTTGTTAGGAAATTGTCTCTTTTATTAAGCAGAAACAAAAATTTCTTGTCTGCAAGATTATAATTTCGTAACTGCTGGCTTCATTTCCTGTCAGAAAAACATTGTAAATATCCAATTGTGCATGGTTTTGACAGAATTTTCATGAATATTCCTATCCCATTTGCCTATATATTCTTATAACAGATATTTGTTTACCCGATGAAATTTTCATTAAACATGTTGGTGTTTTGAAATAATATAACAATAGCCGATATATTTGTAAAGCCAATATCAGATTAGGTGGAGTCTACTGTACTTTTGATAGATCAATAATATTTTCTATAAAATTTCATTGTGATCATGATCAGTTCAAATCAGTTTAATGACTATTTCAAGGCCCTGTTCCTAGGACATGGTCAAGCGACTTTAAATTGTTGCAATGCTGCTGTCCATCAGATTGTCTTTTTTCAAATTTTCTGCAGACATGCAAGACATATCTCTGTCAACAGTTTGTTGTTGGAAGACCCTGTTACATCAATTAAATTTTACACATACTTGAAATCTGTTACAGGACATGAAAGAGATGATAATCAAAACAGTTCCAGCAACTATTCTCATGGATAGAGAATTAAGGATGGAGGAACCTTTAGGTAAGTTGTGTATTTTGCACAGTTTTTACTAATATTTATATAGGAATCCTTATACTCAATTTGTATATGTCCATCTAGGAATGGACATATTATGGTATACTACTGTACTTTCTGTTTGCTGTCCACACATCCTACAAAATCTGAAGGTTGCTTTGATCAAATTAAGTAAATTGTTCACATGTCAAAGAATAACTTAGATATGATTTAAACTTTTCAATATTGTTGGAATTGAAGTAACTTACCTTTCGATATTAAAAGTTTTCCAATTTCTCATTTTGGACTTAAGCAAACAGATTGGAGGCGAACTATTCACATGTCTCACAGTAACGTGAGTATACGAGCACATACTTTGACCAATTTGATTCAAACTTTATACTCTTTTAAATATTGGTAAGAATAAGGTTCCTTTCAGGTTTGTCATTTCATAATTGATGTTACCTGAGATATCCTCCTGCTAGTTTTCTTGGTTTCTGATTTAGATATCTTCTACCGTATTCAATTTTATATTTGCCACAAACTTAATATGCTTATAAACGACAGGTATATCTCGTTCATCTGATAATTATTTTACCATATATATGTCATAATTTAGTGATTCCCATTTTAAATACAATGTATATTTTATCAACAGGTGAAACAGATTTGATAGAGAAATTATACTCCATGGCTTCAAAAAACCAAGTATGGCGAAGTTATATTGGAATTGGCTACTACAATACTTATACACCTACTACAATACTCAGAAATATATTTGAAAATCCAGGATGGTAAGTGAATCAAAAGGATTATTTTTATGCCCCCGACGTAGCGGTGGGGGCATTAAGTTTTACCCTTGTCCGTCTGTACGTACGTACGTACGTCCGTACGTCCCAAAATTGGTTTCCGTTCTCTAACTTGAGTTTGCTTCAACCAAATGTTATGAAACTTATACACAATGCTTGTTACCACAAAACACAGATCAAGTTTCAATTTTGGTGGCGTCACTTTAACTGTTCTAGAGTTATGCCCCTTTATAAATGGAAAAATTGCAAATTTTTTAGTTTCCATTCTCTAACTTAAGTTTGCCTCAACCAAATGTTATGAAACTTATACACAATGCTTATTACCACAAAACACAGATCAAATTTGAATTTTGGTGGCGTCACTTGAACCGTTCTAGAGTTATGCCCCTTTATAAATGGAAAAAATTGCAAAATTTTTATTTTCTTCTAAATATCAAGTTATTTTTAAAATTGGAGTTATCTTCCTTTGTCCATGATTATAGTTGAATCAACTACAATCAATGCTATATACAATGCAATGTTTAATTTTGACTTCCACTGATAAAACACAGATCAAGTTGAATTTGGGTAGTGTCACTTTAACCATTATTGAGTTATGCCCCTTTATAAATAGAAAAATTGCTGAATTTTTAGTTTCTGTTCTCTACTTAAGTTAGCCTCAACCAAATGTTATGAGACTTACACACAAAACTCAGATCAAGTTCAAATTTGGGTAGCCTCACTTTTACTGTTCTTCAGTTATGTCCCTTTATAACTATATGATATGCAAGCGGGGGCATCATCTGTGTCCACATGTGGAGACTATCCACATTTTTTATTATTATAAAAGAATAAGGAGATGGTAGGATGATGAAATTATTTCACATAGAATTATCGGTTATCATATAATCAAAGTAAATTTTTTGTTTATTTTGGAAATACATGTGTACTGGAATTGCAAAATTGATCGCAGTAAATAAAAATACCAAAAACAAAATTATAGGAAAGAATTCATTCATGATTAAGTTAAATAACAAAATAGCCTGCTCTTAGCCATATACCTGTATAAAAATAAGGAGATATGGTACGATTACCAATTAGACAACTATCCACCAGAGCCCAAATGATGTAGATGTAAGCAACAATAGTTTCACTGTACATGCTTCAACAATGAGCTAAACCCAAAATGTATATACTTCTTATATACATCTCAATTCATGCCTTTTTTATTATGGCAGGGGCATTAAGTGTTACCCTTGACCGTCCATCTTTCCGTCTTTCACGAAATATGTACATTGATAAGTATACATTTATGCACTATCAAGTATCATCAAAAGTTTTTAAAGAAAAAGAGAATGGAAACGTTGGGACCATAAATGATATACAGTGACCTATAGTTGTTATTTTCTGTGTCATTTGGTCTCTTGGGGAGAGTTGTCTCATTGGCAATCATGCCACATCTTCTTTTTTTTATTGCATTAGCTTTTGCAGTAATATACAATGATTTAACGAAAGGATTACTGAAACAACAGTTCAGAAAATTCCGCAAAAATTGTTGCATGACATCCTTTTGAAGATTATATCAATATAACAATAAGGAGATGTGGAATGATTGTGAAGAGAAAGCTATTCACCAGTGTTCAAATAGCGTGGATGTTAGAAACTAGCTGTTACTGTACAGCTTTCAAAGATGAGCAAAACCCATACTGATAGTCGGCAAAAAAAAGAACCTGACATAACAAAATGTGAAACAATTCAAAGAGAAATCAGAAGGCCTGATCTATGACAAAACAATAAATAAAAAACAAATATGATGAGACAGCAACCCACAACAACCACTGAATTATAGGCTCCTGACTTGGGATGGGCACATGAAGGTATTTCAGGGTTAAACATACAACCCTTCTTGCAGAAGACATATAACTCTTTTTGGTGAAAACTTTAATAAACTACTTGCATTTTCTTACTGTTTTATATGGTTGTAAAATAATATAGGGCTAATAAATTTTGAAGGACTACTCAGTATACACCATATCAGGCAGAATTAGCCCAAGGCAGACTAGAAAGTCTATGTAATTACCAAACAATGATATGTGATCTGACAGCTCTACCTATAGCTAATGCTTCACTCCTGGATGAGGCTACAGCAGGGGCAGAGGCCATGCAGTTATGTTATAGGTATGATTATTGTCAAATAATGTTACATACTGTGGATTCATTATCATTTGTGGGATACAAATTTTCGTTGATTTGGTGGGTGTAGGTCAACCACAAATTTAAATGGTCAAAACCAATTTTCTATAGGCTTTGTATGCTGACTTAGTAAAACAACAAAATCAAATATCCATGAAAATAGAATTTTTCCTCTATCCACGAAAATAAATGAATCAACAGTACCTAATGATTACTAAAAAATAGTGTATACTGAGGATAGAGATAGGTGGCTGTCTGTCTATTTTGTCAGTATCTACATGCATTCCTGATAAATCAGTGACTGGATTTTACACCTTGTATTTCGTTTCATGTCCGACTGATTTTAAGGTTATAATGGCAACTTATAAAATGCACCAGTTATGTACCAATTTAGGGAATACACAACAATTATAAATATAAAAAGTGAATTAGAAGGATTTATGATTAATGATCAGATATTTGATATAAAAGAAAATAAACTATTGACACAAAGATTTGTTTCCCTGGTATGTAATTTTGATATTATAAAAGAAATGTTGAAATTAAAATAGCAGTACTTTGACATGTAAACTATGCAAAACATTCCAGGTCAATGAACCATGTAGGGTCAAATTATCTCCCTGGAAAAGAGAACTGCCAATGCTAATATAACTGCTTACAAAAAAACCATTGACTTACATGTATCACAAGTGGTTCCCCTTAAGTTGAACTAAACACAAACATTAGCATGTACCGGTAAACTTAAAAAATGGGTGTGGCCATATACTCTCCATTGAAATGAGACTTGCAAATGCTAAAAATATACCTGCATACCAACTAGATCATTGAGTTACCATTTGAAGTTATCTTAAACTGACTTAATCACAAACTTTAACATGTAAACTATGCAAAAGTTTCAAAGTCAATAAACAATGACTGAGGGGGCCTGGCAAATAATCACCATGGATATGAGATGTGCAAATGCTTATACAACTGCATGATTGATTTTAAGAGCCATTTACATAATTGAGCTTATTATTTGTATTGATTTTTTTATACGCCCGTTTACGGGACGTATTATGGTAAACCGTTGTCCTTCCGTCCGTCTGTCCGTTGTCAACATGTCGGACATAAACTCAAAAATGCTTTAACCAATTTGCATAAAACTTTGGTGAATTGTTTATATCTATTGACGTGAGCTACCTTTTGTTTTTTATAAAATTTAGATTTACCGTTTCCGAGTTTTGGGGTTTTATTCATTAAACAAAGGGGGATTTTCCAGTTTTCAGACAATAAGTCAAGAATGCTTTCACCAGCTTGCAAGAAATTGTGGTGAATTGTTTATATCTATTGACATGAGCTCCCTTTTTCATTTTTATAAATATAAGATTTTACGTTTAAGAGTTACAGGGTTTTATTCATAAAAAAGGGGGGTTTTCCAGTTTAAGGACAAAAACTCAAAAATGTTTTCAGCAATTCTTATGAAACTTTGGTGAATTGTTTGTATGTATTGATGTAAGCTCCATTTAGAATTTTATAAATTTTACATATTACATTTCTGAGTTATGGGGTTTTATTCATTAAAAAAAGGGGTGATTTTCCAGTTTTCGTACAATAACTCAAAAATGGTGTCACCATTTCTCATGAAACTTTGGTGAATTGTTTATATCTATTGATGTAAGCTCCCTTTTTATTTTCATCAATTTCTAATATGACATTGAGAATTAATTGAACTTTATTTGTTAATAGTCTGACAACAGATTTACTAAGTATTGCACAACAGCAAGAAATCTTTAATTGAATATTAATTCAATTCATATAACCAATTTCAAGTTCTTTGACTACATTTATTCAGAAACCTATAATATGTCAAATATTTAATTACAATCCAAATTCAGACCTGAATCAAGCTTGAATATTGTGTCCATTTTTGCCCCAACTGTTCAGGGTTGGACCTCTGCGGGCGTATCTAGTTCTGAATTGGTTTGATTTTTTGTTTTTAGATACAACAAAAGAAGGAAGTTTTACATTGACCACAAATGTCATCCACAGACTATTGGAGTAATTGAAACAAGAGCAAGGTATGCACATGTATATAAACAAAGCAAATTTGTAAGCAACTCTTGCTAAAGTGAGGGAGGCCATTTTTTTGTTAATCTATGTATCTGTATCTAACATTCCAGATTGGATGTGAAGTGGATTGGATTTTCAAAATGTCCCTTCAAATGCATCAAAATATGAATTAGCAAAAAAATTTAAGCCCAAAGTATGATAGCAGGGTTTAAGTATTTCAAGCCAGGTCTTGAGCCCAAGCTTGCACCAAATGATTTAGTCAAGTAAATTGTAGGCCTTGATAAAAAAACAATCAAGCCCTATAATTTAAAAACAAAATTTATCTGATATATATAAAACCTGATTTAGAATTTCAACATTTTTTCTCCTTAGTTAAAGATAATTCAAAGGAGTAGGTCCGATAAGGGCCGATTTTGGCCTCAAAATTCAGGTTCATCTGAGGAAAAATTTTGAACACTTTTTAAACACTTTAGTGCCTTTTTCAGTCGATTCAATTAGATTATGTGAAAGATTTGAACTGATTTAGTCATTAAAGACGCTCAAATTCAAGCTTAAATATGAAAAATCTATCAAATATGCCATAATTTGTCACTTTTCAGATGGTTTTTGTCAAAAATGAAAGTGGCCGCATCCGTGTTCATTCTCAACCTTTATATATGTTATGTATTATCATCAAATACAACTTACATTTAAATATTAAGAATGAACACAAATGCGGGCACTTCCATTTCAGACGGAAACCGTCTAAAAATTAACCAAAATGCTAAAATTTTGAAGATTTCTGTAATTTAGCATGACTTAATGATGCTAGTACCCGATACATGTGCATTGTATTGTCAAAAACAGCCCATATTTATGTAACAGAAGTATTCTTCTTTCTAATAAATAGCTAAAAATTTACATTTTAACAATTTTGTGAAACTGCTATATTTTGGGGCCAAAAAGGGGTCTTACTGGGCCTACTCCTTTGCTTTAACCAATTCTCATGTAATTTTAACACAACATCAGGATTGAAGGAAGAAAGCTAACTTTTAAATTTTGACATTTTTTGGCTTTGTTATTCAAGAGTTCTGTGACTTAATTGTGAGATTGAGAAAAGTCAATTTGCACATATCGTGCACTCACTCCATTATGCCTGGACTGATTTCCTCAATACTTTACCTTATTGTTGGGATTGATATAAAAAGGAAGCTCCCTTTCAATTTTTATTATTTTCTGGTTTGTCATTCCAGATTTATAAGACTTTAATTGTCAGATTTAAGTAAATTTTAAATGTCATGCCCTAGCTCTTGTATGCTTGGATAAATTTAAAAACTACAAACTTAACACTGTTATTTGATTGGTGAATGTAGACTGGCTTTTTATTTTTATTATTATTTTTTTGTTAATTTTGTTGTTAGGTTGCTTTCTTTTTGACTTAGTAAAAGAAAGCTAACAAAATCCTTTATTTAATTTTCTGATACTGTGAATTCAGAAATTATTGGGAAGTTTTTATGATTGCAAATAATGCGACTGGGTGAGTCGCAATAATAAGAATTCACATTCCGAAATCTGACACATATATTTGTATGCGGCTTTTCCTGTAAACATACAAATTATTCACACATATTGGTCTGTCATGTCAAAATCGTAATAATAAATGCAGGCATTAATTTCTGAATTTACAGTAGTTTAGTTTTGGTAGTGATGATCGTTTGATGGATTGTTTTCTCATTACAGTGCTCTTGGTATAGAGGTGGAGAGAGTAGATTGGCAACAGATGGATTTGAATAACCGTGATGTGTCAGGTCTGATGATTCAGTATCCAGACACAGAAGGCAATGTTGTAGACTATGGTGAACTTATTGCTGCAGCTCATGCTAATGGGGTACATATAAAGCATGACATTTTATTTTTGTGTAAAGATTGCATGAAATGCCATCAAAACCCTATGGTACTGACTGGATTTATAAATCCTCCAAGGTTTATCACTACTTTTGAGATACAAAAAATATAGTGCATTGATCATAACATTCTAAACATCCTATCCATGAACATTTCCAGAAATTTATCAATGAAATATATGCTCAGATATTCAAGTTACAAAATGATGTTATACTTGTCAAGAAAATTAATAAACTTTTGCAAGGTGCAGGAATCAAATATCTGTTCTAAAAATATCAACGATTTCATTGTTAAAGTCATTTTTATACGCCCGTTTACGGGACGTATTATGGTATACAGTTGTCCGTCTGTCTGTCCGTCCATTGTCAACATGTCAGACATTAACTCAAAAACGCTTCAACCAATTTGCATAAAACTTTGGTGAATTGTTCATATCTATTGATGTGAGCTCCCTTTCGTTTTTTTTTTATAAAATTTAGATTTTACGCTTCTGAGTTGTGGGGTTTTATTCATTAAAAAAGGGGGGATTTTCCAGTTTTCGGACAATAACTCAAAAATGCTTTCACCAATTTGCAAGAAACTTTGATCAATTGTTTATATCTATTGTCATGAGCTCCCTTTTGATTTTTATAAATTTTAGATTTTATGTTTCCTAGTTATGGAGTTTTATTCATTTAAAAAAAGGGGGATTTTCCCGTTTTCGGACAATAACTCAAAAATGCTTTTAGCAGTTCTCATGAAACTTTGTAGAATTGTTTATATCTATTGATGTGAGCTCCCTTTCAATTTTTATAAATTTTAGATTTTACACTTCCGAGTTATGGGATTTTATTTATAAAAAAGGGGTGATTTTCTAGTTTTCGGACAATACCTTTAAAGTGCTTTGAGCAGTTTTCATTAAACTTTGGCGACTGGTTTATATCAATTAAGATAACCTCCCTTTAGTTTTTCACAAAATTCTGATAATTGACATTGAGAAGTTATTGAACTTTATTCGTAAAAAATGTGACGGGCGTATCATGCGCTCATGGCGCAGCTGTTTATTAAAAATTGGAGTTCTCTTCCTTTGTCCAGAATTGTAGTTGAATCAACTACAACCAATGCTTTATGCAATGCAATATTGAGTTTTTCCTCCCACTGATAAATCAAAGCAATCTTTACCCTTCAGTGCTTGCAAGCACTTTGATTAAATTTTTGATTGATCCCTATCCTGAATTGCGGTAAGGTCATTGAGTACTTTGTCTCGCCTGTAACAAAGTTGTGGAAGTATTAAATACCCCTGCTGTTAAATGTGTTGACGGCATGAACAATTGTTAAAGTTTGTGATTAGATCACTATAAAGGGAATTACTAATGGTAGGTCAATGATATTTGAGTGCAGTTGTATAAGCATTAAAACATCTCATTTTCATGGAGATTATTTAGTCCTGCCCCCTTCAGTTATATAATCTTTCAATAGAGACTCACCACCAGACACTGTTAATAAGGTGTTAAGGCATTACCTACTTTATTTGTCATGACTACAACTAAAAAAAGTTCCATAGGAGCTATTTTGTTAAGAGACCTCTCTATGTCAGTTTCTTTCTGTTACTCTATAAATCCTAATTTAGTTATGTCTGAAAAATTACTATAAACAAAATGACTACATTTGTCCCACAAAAGTAAATTTCAAAATAAGATGAGTTAGATACAGTAGTAATGCTAATGAAGCAACTATCGTATTGAGGACCAAAGAATCTATAAATCAATACGTTAACATACACCGATTCCATTGGGAATATTTTTCCATGTTCGACTTTATTTGAAGTATTATCAAATAATTATTTGTATGAGTTAGTTATATCAGACGATTTATGGAGTAAGAAAGTAAAATCAAGGTTCAAAGTTTATCTATCCAGTTAAAAGTTTCATTCTAATTGGTCTAACAAAACTTGTCTGTGGTACATGTAATTAGTACATTTTATTTTACAGACATTAGTTGTATGTGCAACAGATTTAATGGCCTTAACAGTCCTCCGTCCTCCTGGAGAGTTCCAGGCAGATATGGCAGTAGGGTCCAGTCAGAGATTTGGTATACCAATGGGCTATGGTGGACCTCATGCTGGCTTCTTTTCATGTAAACACCAATTTATGAGGTTAATGCCTGGAAGGATGATCGGGGTAACAAGGTAGTGTACATGAAAAATTACTTTTCAAAATCCATCAGTCATAATTGAAATTTGCTATCATCAATCATTTTTGAAGATTGATTGTTTTGATTCCTTTATGGAGGTATGATATGATTTTGACAGGAGAGGAATTGGAATTTAATCATTCAAAACGTAAATTCCTGAATGACTGCAGTGACTGTCAATCATCGATTACAAGTTTTAAAGATTAAAATTGCAAAAAAGGTTATCTTTTATATAAAAAATACTTTTTAAGATTAAAGACCATTTTAAAACCCAAATCTGTTTCAAATTGATAAGTGAACCTCTACTCTGAAGTGGGGCCTATATTGCAATCACCTTGTTCATCCGTCCGTTCTTCCAACACAATTTTTCCTCTCCTTTTTCTACGAAATTACAAATAAGAGTTACTTCATATTTGGTCAACAGCTTTGCAGTGATAAGTTATGATATCTAAGCACTTTTCGGATCTGTCAGATACTTCTTCATGTTTGCCGATACTTAGATTTTTTAAATATATTGGATAAACTTAAAAATTTTGTCATTATCACAAAAATCATCCTGAATATTCATGGAATAGTTGACGTTAAGAAAGCAACATTTCCATCAATCTCAGAAACTACTGAACAGAATGACTTCATATTTTGTCGGCAGCAGTAGTGAGTTTGTAACTGCTTGCTGCGCCTTTGTGAACTGTCAAACACCTACTTCCTGTTGTCTGCTACTTTGAATTAACAGTGAGGGTATGTTAAGCACGACAACATGAACATTGTTGTTTATTATATACATTTAACTTAAAGTTGAATAAAAAAATAATTTTGGCTATGGTAGAAATATAATAATGATGACCTGAAATATTTCACATTAAGATATGCCTTTGGTTTTGATTACTGTGGATTCATTTATTTTCGTGGGTACCAATTTTCATTGATTGAGGAAAACTTGCATTTTCGTGGATATTTGATTTCGTGGTTTTGCCAAAGTCTGCATAAATTCCTAAACAAAATTTGTAATTCGTTGGACATTGGAATTCGTGGTTCCCGGGTAACCACGAAATCCACGAAAATTGGTATCCAACGAATAATAATGAATCCACAGTATTAGATTTAGACTCCTATATAGTGAGTTTTCCATATGTACAAAAGATTGTAGTTGTTCTGTTTAAAAATATTACTCTGAAAGTAACAAAATGGTGAAAAGTTTTACGACATTGTTGTTTGATATTAAATAGAAAAAGTTCATAACATTGAATATTTTTACAGCCACTCCTAAATATATTTCTGATTTGCTATCAAAGATATTGCATTTAGGGCTGTTCCAGAATTAAATGCATTGGGGCATAGAAGGCACTTTTTTAAGACCCCGACTACCCATGAAATAAAAATTTCGTTTTACTTTTAGTTCTTACACATTGAGAAGAAAATACAACACCCATATTTAATTAATTTGAGTGCCTTCCACCCGATAAATTTTGGAACAGTCTTTACTAAAGCATAAATTATGTAGAATTTTGAAAAAATCTTTGAAATATTTATTTTAGAGATGCTCGAGGGAATGATGCCTACAGACTAGCATTACAGACCAGAGAACAACATATACGTAGAGACAAGGCTACCAGTAATATATGTACAGCACAGGTATTCTTTATCCTCACATTGTACAAAGCTTAAAAAAAAACTGAGGAAAAAAAACTTCAGATTCTTGGAAAGATGGTTTGCTTTTGACCTTAGGCTTTGTAAGATTTTAATGTGTTTCCTTCTATGGATTTCCTCACCAATAATTTTTTCTTACTATCATTAAAAAATGACTGAAAGATGTGATGACGAAATTATTATTAAGATCTAATTTCTTCTTTGTCAATAGCATTTATTCATCACAAACATAATATTATACACTGTTTTGGGCAAAATTATGTTGAATTTGAATTCATTGAAATTTAGGTCAAATTGCTCACTGCATTCATGCTCTTGATAAAAGTAATGTTTGGACTGCATTATTTAAAGTCACATGTACATGTATTATTTTTACAAATGAATGAATTTTACATGCAAACTTGTAGTATAATATGTACAGCTTAACAAATATTAACATTTTATTAATATAAATAATCTTGTATTTCTCATATTCAGCTTCAACTACTAATATTGAGCACAAATCATTTCATAGATGTTTTTTCATTTTGTTTGCTTTTAGAAATTGTGTATTTTACGTTCTATATAAAATATATAAATGAAGCACAAAAACCAGATAGATTAATCCATAAATTATTTTAAGGTTCCTATGAATTTACAATTGATATTTATCATGATGGTGTTTGATGTAAATGATCTAGAATTATTTATCATTCTATTCATTAGATTGTCACTTTTAGGTAAACTAACTGGTTATGAAACATTTTTCTCCAAAGACATTCCTATTTAGATACTCGGCTTCAATGTTCTCCAGTTATGTCTCTTTACAAATGGAAAAAAATTGCTGACTTTACCCTTTCTGCACTCTAACTTTACTTTGACACAACCAATGATCATTAGATAAGTTTAACTAAAAATTTCTGTATACTGCCATATCGTCTCAGTGAAGGTATCTTTGCATTACATACATACTAAAAATAGACATGTAAACAAGTACAAATTTAAGTAAATCAATAATAAGAATCCAGCCTTTTACTGAAGCATTTGTGTATTTCAGGTTTTTTATATGTACATGTAAGTAGTCGTATCCCTAAATGTTTACCATTCTTGTCAAAATTGAAAGTATGTAACTGAGGAAATCCTGGCAACCTGTAAAACCATGCAATGTTAATTGAATTTGATGAATTTTATATTGTAATTTTGTTGAATTAATGCACAAAAGTATTTGTTTATGTATGACTTAAATTAAGTTTTAATTTAAACTTCCACACCCTTTTTTAGCCACTTTGAAGAGACTTGCTCTGTTTGCACAAAAGCCTACTGAACACATTCTCCCTTTGTATAAGCTGTATTTTCTGAGAGAAAAAAAACACAGCAACTGGCTTTAGCATTGTATAGTATGCTTTGCAGAATACCTGAAATATGCGCTTGATTATTAGGTGACTGTTTATAAACTATAGTAAGGATATTCTTATCATCAGAAATGGGTTTGTGTAAGGTTCTAATCATAAAGCTAAGATTATTGTACTTCATGGAATATCATCTTTTCATTTCATCCCAAATAGGCTAATTTTAAAGCTAAAGATATGTTTTACTAGGCCAATTTTGAAGTTAAAGATATGTTTTACTAGGCTAATTTTGAAGCTAAAGATATGTTTCATTAGGCTAATTTTGAAGCTAAAGATATGTTTATTTTCCATCAATGTAAAATGTAACACTGCAAGGCTTGTCAAAAATTAAAAAGGAAAGAATTAACAGAATTTAAAGAATGTTTACAGTTTTTGTCTCGCCTTGACGGAGTCAAAAAGCGAGACATAGGTATGCTGTTTCCGGCGACGGTGACGGTGACAGCGTCAACAATGTATTAGTTTGTGATTAGGTCTAGTTCATGGTGAACCACTAGTGGTAGGTCAATGATATTTGGTATGCAGTTGTATTAGCATTGGCACATCTCATTACCCTGGAGATTATTTGGCCCCGCCCCCTCAGTCAAGGTCTATTGACTTTGAAACTTTTCATAGTTTACATGTATTAGTTTGTGATTAGGTCAATTTATGGGGATACCACTAGTGGTAGGTCAATAATATTTGGTATGCAGTTGTATAAGCATTGGCATATCTCATTTCCATGGAGATTATTTGGTTCTGCCCCCTTAGTCATGGTCTATAGACTTTGAAAATTTTGCTAAGTTACCATGTATTAGTTTGTGATTAGGTCAGTTCAAGGGGAACCATTAGTGGTAGGCCAATGTTAATTGGTGTTCAGTTGTATAAGCATTAGCACATCTCATTTCCATGGAGAATATTTGGCCCCGCCCCCTCAGTCATGGTCTATTTACTTTGAAACTTTTGCTTAGTTTACATGTATTAGTTTGTGATTAGATCCGTTTAAGATGAACTGCTAATGTTAAGTCAATGATATTTGGTATGCAAATTTATTGGCATTGGCAAGTATCGTTTCCATGGAGATTATATAGCCCCACCCCTGATCATGGTTCATTGACTTTTAAACTTTTACATAGTTTACAAGTTAATGTTTGTGTTTAGGTTTGTTTAAAGGGAACGACTTATAAAAAGTCAATGGTATTTGGTATGCAGTTGTATTAGCATTGGCACATCTCATTCCATGGAGATTGTTTAGCCATGTACCTTCAGTCATGGTTCATCGACTTTGAATATTTGCATAACTTACATGTTTAAGTATTGCTATTTTGATTTCAACATTTGCATTATCAAAATTACAAAAAGGCGAGACATATCTCTGTGATAACAGTTTATTTTTTTAATTTTAATTTTTTTTGTTTTCGAAATTTTGAATTTAAATTCAAGTAAGCCCCCACATTTAAAAAAAATAGTTGTACAAGTGTACAGACAAAAATTCCTCAATTTTTAGGACTGATGGTTGTCAAAATTCTTTACACTCCCTAACATGATCTTAGCAAGTGTTTACCTATTTGCAATTGACATGAATTATAATTTGGAAGATCTAAAAATAAGTTAAACAAGTGTAATAGAATGAATTGATAAAGATAACCAAAAGAGGTTGTTAAGAAAACCCCAAAGTTTTACAAGAAAAATTTTTAAAAATCCCACCTAGTATATTTTTGGGAAATAAATATAAAAATAAGAAGATGTGGTATGATTGCCAATGAGACAACTCTCCACAAGAGACCAAATGACATAGAATTTAACAACTATAGGTCAACATACGGCCTTCAATAATGAGCAAAACCCATACATAGCTATAGAAGGCCCCGAAATGACAAATGTAAAGCAATTCAAACGAGAAAATAAAAGTTAACAGTTAGGAATAGTATTTTAGTCAGTCCAGTTTTAAAATCAAGAAATCTGTTAATCTTATCATGAAAATAGCCATCAATATGATTTGACCATTTTTATGGCCCCACCACAAAGTGGTAGGGCCATATAGTTTTACCCTTATCTGTCATTCTGTCATTCAGTCATTCCGTCATTCCGTCATTCCGCAACGAACAGTTATACAGACTTTTTTTCTAAATGCCTTCACATATTGAGCTGATTTTTAGTATGTGAGTCTACTATGATGAGTTACAGATCAAGTTTAGGTTTGGTTCCACTCCACTGAATTTTGTTGAAATTAGGGACTTTGAAAATTTCTTGAAAATAACAGTTATACAGACTTTCATTTTCAAATTTCCACTCCAAAAAATAGCTTCAAGCTTTTTTTTGCGAGCAGGGCCATTTGTGTTGTTCCGACACATCTGGTTTTTAAATGAATTACTGGACTTATATCTGAAAAACAATCTTGAAATCAAAAAAATTATTGTTATCTTAAGTTCTTTTGGGATGGAGTGAATCTTATTCCTAATGATCAGAATTTTTAAAATAGAAAAATTGTTGTTTATGTTTTATTAACATTTATTTATATTTCAGGCACTGCTAGCTAATATGTCTGCTATGTTTGCTGTTTATCATGGTCCTGATGGCCTACGTCACATTGGTAACAGAGTTCATAATGCTACAGTTATCCTGGCTGAAGGTGATTTTTATATTCAAACTCAACAATTGCAAGTGGCCTTTTGAGGCTCAGAAACAAACAAATAATTCTGATGCAGACTAAGCTATACAAGCACTTACAATGTTTATGTTTTATGGCAGCCATCGTGGTCCCGAATATTGGCTGATGGATAATTTTTATACGACCGCAAAAAAATTTTGTGGTCGTATATTGGTATGACGTTGGCGTCGTCGTCGTCGTCGTCGTCGTCGTCGTCGTCGTCCGGCGTCGTCATCCGAATACACAATGGTTTTCGCACTCTAACTTTAGTTTAAGTGAATGGATCTCTATGAAATTTTACCATAAGGTTCAATACCACAATAGGAAGGTGGGGATTGATTTTGGGGGTTATGGTACCAACAGTTAAATAATTAGGGGCCAAAAAGGGGCCGAAAATAAGCATTTTTGTAACTTCCAGACATAACTTGTGTGTTATTGTATGGATCTCTTTGACATTGTACTACAAGATTCCATATCACAAAGGGTCGATGATGGGATTGATTTTGGGGTTAATTTCCTCGAAATTTTAGGAATAAGGGGCCAAAAGGGGGCAAAAAACAAGCATTTTTCTAGTTTCATGACAATAACTTGTGTGTAAGTGTATGGATCTTTCTGAAATTTTACTACAAGGTTCCATTTCGCAAAGGGAAAGCTGGAATTGAGTTTTGTGGTAATTGCCCAAAACGTTTAGTAATAAGGGGCCTAAAAAGGGGTGAAAAATAAGCATTTTTTAGTTTCTAGACAATAACTTGTGTTCAAGTGTATGGATCTCTCTAAAATTGTATTACAAGGTACCATACCACAAAGGCAAGGCTGTTATTGAGCTTGGTTTGGGGGGGCAGGGGGGGTGATGAATCATAGGGGGGGGGGGGGGGTCAAAAAAGGGGTAATTATTTTTTTTTTTTTTAAGGAATAAGGGGAAAAAAGGTTAAAAAACTAGGGTTTCCATTTTAATAGACAAATAATTGAGTAAAGAACATTATTTAAAAGCAGTGTAAGGTTGGTAATTCAAACTCATTTAAATATCTCACCTGCACTATGTTTGAATTATGTAAATTGGAAATTTGCCAATTATTTTAGTATAATAAACTTCATTGGAAATTTGCCAATATAAAATTTTGCTGATGAAGGTTTTTTGTTTACCTTTAGTCTGACTATGATGTCATTTTCTATTTTAATAGCCTTATGATGTAGTTAAATTTTTTTTAATACTTTTATGATGTATTTTAATGCGCTTTTATGGTTGCAAATTTATTGTTTTAATATAATAAACTCCATTGGAAATTTACAAATAGTTTGTTTATTTTTAGCTATGACGTCATTTTCTATTTAATTTTAAGGTTACAAATTAATTTCAGTTTTAAATATTATTGTAAAATGTTTGCCCAAAACATTTATTAATAAGTGGCCAAAAAAGGGGGCAAAAATAAGCATTTTTTTAGTTTCCAGACATTAACTTGTGTTCAAGTGTATGGATTTCTCTGAAACTGTACTTAAAGGTACCATACCACAAAGGGAAGTGGGTCAAAAAATTTTGGGGGGGGGGGGGATTTTTTTTCCTTTTTTTTTTCTTTAAAATTTTCCATTTTAAGTTGGTTAATTCTGATCACAAAGAGAAAGTTGGAATTGAGTTTGGGGGATAATTGCTCAAATGTTTAGGAATAAGGGGCTAAAAAAGGGGTTTAAAATAAGCATTTTTTTTTAGTTTCCAACAATTAATTGTGTTTAAGTAATTGGATCTCTGTGAAATTGTACTGCAAGGTACCATACCACAAACTGAAGGCTGGGATTGAGTTTGGGGGGGGGCGTGATGTGTGAAAATTTTCCACTTAAAGTTGGTTAATTATTTCTGATTTAGATATAAAAGCAAATAATAATGATGTGGTTTGATTTTATCAAAAACTTAAATTGAAGTTATGTATATTGTAAATTTAGGTTACATTGGAATTTAAGAATTGGCTTTGGGGTAGGGTTATGGCTCAAACCTTTAAATAATAAGGGAAAAAAAGGTGAAAAAACAAGGGTTTCCAGGTTAATAGACAAATAAGTACAAAACATTATTTAAAAGCAGTGTAAGGTTGGTAATTCAAACTCATTTAAATATCTCACTTACACTGCTTTTAAATTATGTAAATTGGAAATTTGCCAATAACTTTATTGTTAATAAATGCATTGGAAATTTGCCAACAATTTTAGTATAATAAACTTCATTGGAAATTTGCCAATATAAAATTTTGCTGATGAAGGTTTTTTGTTTACCTTTAGCCTTGACTATGAAGTCATTTTCTATTTTTATAGCCTTATGATGTAGTTGAATTATTTAATACTTTTATGATGTGTTTAAATGGGGTTTTATGGTTGCAAATTTATTGTTTTAGTTTAATAAACTCCATTTAAAATTTGGTAATAAAAAAAAATTTTGTTTATTTTTAGCTATGATTATGATGTCATTTTCTATTTTACTTTTATGGTTGCAAAGAAATTTTTATTTTTAGATATTACTGTTAAATGATGCTGATTAAGGTTTTTGCTATGTTTAGCCATGACTATGATGTCATTTTCTATTTTAATATCTGTCATGATGTATTTAAATGGGCTTTTATGGTTACAAAGGAATTTTATTTTTAGATATTACTGTAAAATGTTGCTGATTAAGGATTTTGTTTATTTTTAGCCATGACTATGATGTCATTTTCTATTTTAATACCTTTATTATGTAATTTCCATTTTTAGATATTACTGTTAAATGATGCTGATTGAGGGTTTGAATGCTGGGATTGATTTTGGGGGTAATTTCCTCCAAATTTTAGGAATTAGGGGGCAAAAAACAAGCATTTTTATACGACCGCAAAAAAATTTTGTGGTCGTATATTGGTATGACGTTGGCGTCGTCGTCGTCGTCGTCGTCGTCGTCGTCGTCCGGCGTCGTCGTCGTCCGGCGTCGTCGTCCGAATACATATTGGTTTTCGCACTCTAACTTTAGTTTAAGTGAATGGATCTTTTTGAAATTTGACCATAAGGTTAAATACCACAAAAGGAAGGTTGGGATTGATTTTGGGGGTTATGGTACCAACAGTTAAGGTATTAGGGGCCAAAAAGGGGCCAAAAATGAGCATTTTCTAGTTTCCAGACAATAACTGTGGAACGGTGTATGGATCTCTCTGAAATTATACTACAAGTTTCCATACCACAAAGGGATGGTTAGGATTTGCTTTGGGGGGTTATGGCTCAAACCGTTTAGGAATTAGGGGCAAAAAAGGGGGAAAAACAAGGTTGTCCTGGTTAATGGACAAATACTTTAGTACAAAACATAATTTAAAGCAGTGTAAGGGAGATAAATCAAATACATCATTGAAATTATCTCCCTTACACTGCTTTTAAATTATGTATAAAGTAATGGTTAATGAACAATAAAGATAATCTAAAACAGTGTAAGGGAGGTAATCCAAATACAACGTTTTGGTTACTTCCCTTACACTGCTTTTAAATTATGTTTAAAGAAATGCATATTTATAAAGGAAGACCAGTAAAAATATCTGCAAATGTTTTCATCTTTTTGTTTTTACAAAAAATCCATATGAAAGATTTGACACTATATTTTTATTAATTCTATTATAAAATAGATTAAGTTAGCACTATGGTAAATTTAAATGGGTAATTATGGTTGCCAACTCCATTGGAAATTTGAATTGAGATTATGACCATATCTTGAGGTAAAGAATTTTTTTGGGGGAAAAAGGGGGGGGGGGATAAAAAGAAATTGTGGGGGGCCAATTTTTTCTCATTTCAGATTTCAGAAATTAAAAAGAATTATTCTTCAAATATTATTTTTTTTTCAAATTTCAAATATTGAAAAATTTCAAGAAGTAATCTTTAATTGCACAGTATGGCGCATTAGATTTGTAAAATCTTTGATCACATTTATTTATTTGTTATGTCGAATCTAACAGTGTATTTAGATTTTTAATTTGGGGTCCAGTTTTCAAATTGGTCTACATTAATGTCCAAAGGGTCCAAAATTAAACTTTGTTTGATTTTAGCAAAAATTGAATATATGAGGTTCTTTGATATGCTGAATCTAAACATTTATTTAGATTTTTGATTTTTGGCCCAGTTTTCAAGTTGGTCCAAATTGGGGTCCAAAATTAAACTTTGTTTGATTTCAACAAAAATTGAATATATGGGGTTCTTTGATATGCTGAATCTAACCATGTATTTAGATTTTTTATTTGTGGACCCCGTTATCTAATTGGTTCATATTGAGGTCAAAAGGGTCCAAAATTAAACTTTGTTTGATTTCATCTAAAATTGAATTATTGGGGTTCTTTGATATTCCAAATCTAACCGTGTATTTAGGTTTTTAATTTTGGGTCCTGTTTTTTAAATTGGTCTACATTGAGGTCCAAAGGGTCCAAAATTAAACTTAGTTTGATTTTAACAAAAATTGAATTCTTGGGGTTCTTTGATTTGCTGAATCTAAACATGTGTTTAGATTTTTGATTATGGGCCCAGTTTTCAAGTTGGTCCAAGATAGGGTCCAGTATTTAAACTTTGTTTGATTTCAACAAAAATTGAATATATATGGGGTTCTTTGATATGCTGAATCTAAACATGTATTTAGATTTTTGATTATGGGCCCAGTTTTCAAGTTGGTCCAAATTGGGGTCCAAAATTAAACTTTGTTTGATTTCAACAAAAATTGAATATATGAGGTTCTTTGATATGCTGAATCTAACCATGTATTTAGATTTTTTATTTGTAGGCCCCGCTATCAAATTGGTTTATATTGAGGTCAAAAGGGTCCAAAATTAAACTTTGTTTGATTTCATCAAAAATTGAATTATTGGGGTTCTTTGATATGCCAAATCTAACCGTGTTTTTAGATTTTTAATTTGGGTCCCGTTTTTTAAATTGGTCTTCATTGAGGTCCAAAGGGTCCAAAATTAAACTTAGTTTGATTTTAACAAAAATTGAATTCTTGGGGTTCTTTGATATGCTGAATCTAAACATGTGTTTAGATTTTTGATTATGGGCCCAGTTTTCAAGTTGGTCCAAGTTGGGGTCCAAAATTAAACTTTTTTGATTTCAACAAAAATTGAATATATGGGGTTCTTTGATATGCTGAATCTAACCATGAATTTAGAATTTTTATTTGTGGGCCCCGCTATCAAATTGGTTCATATTGAGGTCAAAAGGGTCCAAAATTAAACTTTGTTTGATTTCATCAAAAATTGAATTATTGGGGTTCTTTGATATTCCAAATCTAACCGTGTATTTAGATTTTTAATTTTAAGTCCCGTTTTTTAAATTGGTCTACATTAAGGTCCAAAGGGTCCAAAATTAAACTTAGTTTGATTTTAGCAAAAATTGAATTCTTGGGGTTCTTTGATATGCTGAATCTAAACATGTGTTTAGATTTTTGATTATGGGCCCAGTTTTCAAGTTTGTCCAAGTTGGGGTCCAAAATTAAACTTTGTTTGATTTTAACAAAAATTGAATATATGGGGTTCTTTGATATGCTGAATCTAACCATGTATTTTGATTTTAAACATTGGACCATAATAGGTAAATTAAAAAAATTCAAGTTCTTAGACCACATTCTTTCTGTGTCAGAAACCTATGCTGTGTCAAATATTTAATAACAATCCAAATTCAGAGCTGTATCAAGCTTGAATGTTGTGTCCATACTTGCCCCAACTGTTCAGGGTTCGACCTCTGCGGTCGTATCAAGCTGCGCCCCAGCGAAGCATTTTATTCTAGTTTCATGACAATAACTTGTGTGTAAGTGTATGGATATTTATGAAATTGTACTACAAGGTTCCATATCACAAAGGGAAAGCTGGAATTGAGTTTGGGGGTACTTGCCCAAAACGTTTAGGAATAAGGGGCCAAAAATAAGCATTTTTCTAGTTTCCAGACAATAACTTGTGTTCAAGTGTATTGATCTCTCTGAAATTGTACTGCAAGGTACCATACCACAAAGGGAAGGCTGGGATGGTTTTTGGGGGTAATTGTCTCAAAATGTTAGGAATTAGGGGCCATAAAGGGGCAAAAAAACAAGCATTTTTCTAGTTTCATGACAATAACTTGTGTGTAAGTGTATGGATCTTTATGACATTGTACTGCAAGGTTCCATATCACAAAGGGAAAGCTGGGTTTGAGTTTGGGGGTAATTGCCCTAAACTTTTAGGAATTTAGGGCCAAAAAGGTGCAAAAAACCCAAGCATTTTTCTAGTTTCCAGACAATAATTTGTGTTCAAGTGTATGGATTTCTCTGAAATTGTACTGCAAGGTACCATACCACAAAGGGAAGGCTGGGATTGAGTTTGGGGGTGATGAATCATAAGGGGGTTTCAAAAAATTTGGGGGGGGGATTTTTTTTTCCTTTTTATTCTTTAAAATTTTCCATTTTAAATTGGTTATTTCTGATTTATATATAAAAGCAAATAATAATGATATGGTTTGAATAGGTAAATTAAAAAATTTTAAGTTCTTAGACTACTTTCATTCTGTGTGAGAAACCTATGCTGTGTCAAATATTTAATTACAATCCAAATTCAGTGCTGTATCAAGCTTGAATGTTGTGTCCATACTTGCCCCAACTGTTCAGGGTTCGACCTCTGCGGTCGTATCAAGCTGCGCCCCAGCGGAGCATTTTATTAACAACAGGAATCAATTTGGAATAGCATATTATACTCATATATCAAGTTTAAATTTTTGCACTTAAAGATGTTTCTAAAAAAAAAAATTAGAGTTTTTTCCACATTTTTTTTCTCTGCAATTTTCACAAAAATATAATATGCACATACAAATACTGTTCACAATGTGTTACAGCTGTACTCATAATTTTGAAGATTTTGCATTTACCAAAATTATTTCACAAGTTTTTTTCCAAAATTAATCTTCCCATTTTCATATATTAAATAATATGCATATCTACATATAATGCACAACAACTGTACAAAATATAAGGGTCCAGCCTGCATGATGTGAATGTGCAAGCGGAACCCTTAATGTCATATCAGTTTTATAGTTATATGATCTAAACATGTCTTCTCTTTCTTTTCTTTTTAGGAAGAGGGTAGTGATGTCTTAGTAATTATATTTCAATGTCAGCAAGTATTTCACAAATAATTATAACATATTTATATCTTTGTTTTCAGGTTTAAAAAAGGCAGGACACAGAATGGATATGAAACATTTTTATGATACTTTGTTTTTTTGGCCCAAGAATGGACAGGCAGAAATTGTAAACAAAGCAATGAAAAAGAAAATTAACTTCAGATACTATTCTGATGGTCATGTATGTATTAATAACTACAAAAGTATGGGTAGGAGGCCAATGAAATTTTGCACAGTAAATGGGCATATTATTTTTTGGTGAAAAGTGGCCCATCAATTTTGGAAAAACTTAGCTTTTTGTTTAAAAGTCACAAATTTTGAGAAATGTTTATTTGGGTTTCAATGAAAACGGATTTGTTAGTATAACCAGGAACATATATATTGACGGGACTTGACACTACCTGATTGTAGTCGATTTTATCGTCGTGCCATAGTTAATAAAGATACGATACAGAAACGGACATGTGTTAAAAACGGACTCGCTATTATCCTAATAATTTCTGATATTATCAATAAAATGTCATTCAAACTAGTTTTATAGTGATGCTAGTGTATCAAACTTGTATTCTGTCACTTCAAATTTGTTAAAATCGCAAGCATTTCATCACAGAATTGTGCAGAATGCAAACCAGGTAATAAACAAATGGCGGCCATTGCCGCGATGATTTACAAATTCCCAAACTATTATAAAACACTTCACATCAAATAAATCAAACTTATTTTGGTAATTTTATATGACAAAATATATCTACTAAATGATAAAACTTGTATTTATTTACAATTAGAGTTATGTGGTTTATTTGTTGAGCAGTTATGATAGTTTTTCAGTCAGACGCTACCAAAATCCGTAAATCTTGGGAAGTCTCTGGGAGTCCGAGATTTTATCAATTTTATACTGAAAAGCGTATCAGATTCATTTCCCGTTAGATATACTGTTCCCAGGTATAACATTCTACTTCAGATTGATTCTTGGCGCCAAAAATTGATTTCTGTGAAACAATTTAGTTCACAAATGTAGAGAAACATCTCTCTCTGCTAGGATTGCAATAATATTTGATGTTTAAGTATTATATGCTATTCAAAATTAATTCCCAGTGATAAGTTTGCAGTAAAAACGTATTATTTATTAAAAAAAAATCTATAGGTTTGAGAAACTTGATCTTTTACCTATATTTCAACAAAACCATATCCTGAATTTTTTCCTGGTGTCAAAAAAAGTTATGAAACTTTAAACCCTATTAAATGTTTTGCTATGTTTGTATCAGAATTTATTTTTTGTTTATGTACCTCACACTAAGATTTGCAAGCATTCCCAAGTTTTGAGAGATAAACACTTTAGTAAATACTAGTTTAAAATGATCTTTTGTCCTTGTAATTATGTTAACTCTTCATTTCAGATTGGTATTGCATTGGATGAAACAGTAGAAAGAGAAGATATGAGAGATTTATTGCAAGTTATAGGATCACCAGCAACATTGGTAGGTTGGATTGATTTTTACAAAACTTAGATTTGTTTTTTTACATTCATCTCCAATTGTGAAAGCAGGTCTAGTAATCACTCGCCTCTATCCATCTTTCCATCGGACAATCAATTTTGTTTGGTGTTTAGTTAGATGTTTTCATTATCGTCTTGAATCCTTGATTTTTGTATTGGTATAGTCATCTGACAAAATCATGCAATTATAAGGTCCACATTTTGCTCTGCTTTCAAAATATTTCTTTTTGAACCCGTCCTGGTTTTCTTACTACAACCGGAAACTACATGTGGCAAATACTATTGGAATCGATATCGGATTTAACCAGGAACTTGTTAATTGTTGGTAATATTTATTATGTGGAAAACAAAAGGGCCTGGAATGGTGTAATTTTTAATCAACACCATTGTCTTATATTAGTTATATATAAAGTTGAATTCTTTGATTCATTGTTTTTATACGACCGCAAAAATTGAAAATTTTTTGGTCGTATATTGGTATGACGTTGGCGGCGTCGTCGTCGTCGTCGTCGTCGTCCGGCGTCGTCTGGCGTCGTCCGAAGACACATTGGTTTTCGCACTCTAACTTTAGTTTAAGTGAATGGATCTCCATGAAATTTTACCATAAGGTTCAATACCACGAAAGGAAGGTTGGGATTGATTTTGGGGGTTATGGTACCAACAGTTAAGGAATTAGGGGCCAAAAAGGGGCCAACAATAAGCATTTTTGTAACTTCCAGACAATAACTTGTGTGTAAGTGTATGGATCTCTCTGACATTGTACCACAAGGTTCCATATCACAAAGGGAAGGCTGTAATTGATTTTGGGGGTAATTGCCTCAAAATGTTAGGAATTAGGGGCCAAAAAAGGGGCAAAAAACAAGCATTTTTCTAGTTTCATGACAATAACTTGTGTGTAAGTGTTTGGATATTTCTGAAATTGTACTACAAGGTTCCATATCACAAAGGGAAAGCTGGAATTGAGTTTGGGGGTAATTGCCCGAAACGTTTAGGAATTGGGGGCCAAAAAGGGGCCAAAAATAAGCATTTTTCTAGTTTCCAGACAATAACTTGTGTTCAAGTGTATGGATCTCTCTGAAATTGTACTGCAAGGTACCATACCACAAAGGGAAGGCTGAGATTGAGTTTGGGGGTGATGAATCATAAGGGGGTTCAAAAAATTTTGGGGGGGGGATTTTTTTTTTTCTTTTTTTCCTTTTTTTTTTCTTTTAAAATTTTCCATTTTAAGTTGGTTATTTCTGATTTATATTTAAAAGCAAATAATAATGATATGGTAGGAGATACACACCAAACAGGATGTGTAAATTATTATATAATAAGTATTGTGCAATAGCAAGAAATTTTCAATTGCACAGTATTGCACAATAGCAAGAAATCTTCAATTGCACAGTATTGCGCAATAGCAAGAAATCTTCAATTGCACAGTATTGCGCAATAGCAAGAAATATCCAATAGCACAATATTGCGCAATAGCAAGAAATTGTCAATTGTACAGTATTGTGCAATAGCAAGAAATAATCAATTGCACAGTATTGTGCAAAAGAAGATACTTCGTATAAATTGCTTATTTCTTGATCAATTTCAATGGGGTTTTATTCTTGAATTCTTGGGGTTCTTTAATATGCTGAATCTAACCGTGTATTAAGTTTTTGGATTTTGGGCCCCGTTTTTAAATTGGTCCACATTGAGGTCCAAAGGGTCCAAAATTTTACTTTGTTTGATTTCATCAAAAATTGAATTATTGGGGTTCTTTGATATGCCGAATCTAACCGTGTATTTAGATTCTTAATTTTTGGTTCTGTTTTCAAATTGGTCTACATAAAGGTCCAAAGGGTCCAAAATTAAACTTAGTTTGATTTCAACAAAAATTGAATATATGGGGTTCTTTGATATGCTGAATCTAACCATGTATTTAGATTTTTGATTATGGGCCCAGTTTTCGAAATGGTCCAAATCGGGGTCCAAAATTAAACTTTGTTTGATTTCAACAAAAATTGAATATATGGGGTTCTTTGATATGCTGAATCTAACCATGTATTTAGATTTTTGATTATGGGCCCAGTTTTCAAGTTGGTCCAAATCGGGGTCCAAAATTAAACTTTGTTTGATTTCAACAAAAATTGAATATATGGGGTTCTTTGATATGCTGAATCTAACCGTGTATTTAGATTTTTGATTGTTGGGCCCCGTTATCAACTTTGTCCACATTGAGATCAAAAGGGTCCAAAATTAAACTTTGTTTGATTTCATCAAAAATTGAATATATGGGGTTCTTTGATATGCTGAATCTAACCATGTATTTAGATTTTTGATTATGGGCCCAGTTTTCAAGTTGGTCCAAATCGGGGTCCAAAATTAAACTTTGTTTGATTTCAACAAAAATTGAATATATGGGGTTCTTTGATATGCTGAATCTAACCATGTATTTAGATTTTTGATTATGGGCCCAGTTTTCAAGTTGGTCCAAATCGGGGTCCAAAATTAAACTTTGTTTGATTTCAACAAAAATTGAATATATGGGGTTCTGTAATATGCTGAATCTAACCGTGTATTAAGTTTTTGGATTTTGGGCCCCGTTTTTAAATTGGTCCACATTGAAGTCCAAAGGGTCCAAAATTTAACTTTGTTTGATTTCATCAAAAATTGAATTATTGGGGTTCTTTGATATGCCGAATCTAACCGTGTATTTAGATTCTTAATTTTTGGTTCCGTTTTCAAATTGGTCTACATAAAGGTCCAAAGGGTCCAAAATTAAACTTAGTTTGATTTTAACAAAAATTGAATTTTTAGGGTTCTTTGATATGCTGAATCTAAACATGTATTTAGATTTTTGATTATGGGCCCAGTTTTCAAGTTGGTCCAAATCGGGGTCCAAAATTAAACTTTGTTTGATTTCAACAAAAATTGAATATATGGGGTTCTTTGATATGCTGAATCTAACCATGTATTTAGATTTTTGATTTTTGGGCCCTGTTATCATTTTTGTCCACATTGAGATCAAAAGGGTCCAAAATTAAACTTTGTTTGATTTCATCAAAAATTGAATTCTTGGGGTTCTTTGATATGCTGAATCTAACCATGTATTTAGATTTTGGATATTGGACCATAATAGGTGAATGTCCAATTTAAAATTTTTAAGTTCTTAGACCACATTCATTCTGTGTCAGAAACCTATGCTGTGTCAAATATTTAATCACAATCCAAATTCAGAGCTGTATCAAGCTTGAATGTTGTGTCCATACTTGCCCCAACTGTTCAGGGTTCGACCTCTGCGGTCGTATCAAGCTGCGCCCTGCGGAGCATTTTATTACCTCATGCTGGCTAACAAATTGGACCTCGTTATTTTAGTAGTATAGATGTATGAAAGAGAGTACAACAACATAAGAATGGAGTTAAATATACAACATCAGGCCCAGGAACACAGTTATTTCGTAGTGCATTTCTTTAAGACAATAAATTCAAATTAAAAAAATTGCATCTGATCTTATCTCAAAAAGATTTTTACCGTGTCGTGTACTACTTTTGGGACAAATAATTTCAAAATTATAGAAAAGTCTACCAGCTCTAACTCAAAATATTGACAATTTTATGTCAAGGTGGTCTATGATGCAGTTTGACTGCTTCAGACATACTAATTTTTGACCTTTTTTAACTGGACCAAATCACTACTTTACATTAAAATTCATCACACCAATTTGTTTAACATGTAATTTCGTCCCCCTTCTTAATATTTCATGCACAAAATATAAAGAAAGAAATTTGGAAAGTGTATGAAAAAAATTTGCAAGTTATACACTGTCCACACTAGGGAAACCAAAATCAAAGGACAATAACTGTGTCCTCGGATCATCAAAAACAAATTTAAGAATTCTTCGATTTAAAAATTAAGTTTATAGTTTGTATCAAGGGGCTGCAAACGATAATTTTTACCAGTCATGACCTATTATAAGACGTCTTTGACCAAAATGTATTTTTGGATTTAGGCTAATGAAAACTTGCAAAGATCGGACAAATTTATTAATGCCCTTTTTTTCAAATATTGCATTTTTTGTTACAAGTTACAAAATACTGATTGCAATTCTTTTCCATTAATAAAACTGCCACTTAGTATTGTATGATATTCCATATGGCCCTAATGCCCCCTGGGATATCAGGTAAATGCTTACTTATCATGTATACCTGTGTTGACAGTTGACAGCAGAACAAGTACAGACAATTTATTTTATTATGAAATAACTTTTTAGTTAAGTCTATGGATAATTAAGATTTTAAAATTAACACTTTCTATACAATATAAGGCCAACCTTAAAAATATGTTTGTTTGCAGTTTTCCGACTGTACCTTCAGACTGCAGGGTCGGTAGGTAGGAAAAATATTTTATTTTATCAGCCAGAATAAAGTTTAAACTAGCAGTTTAACACAAACCAAGTTTCTTGTCAAGAAAAAAACATTTCAAAACAACAAACACTGAAAACCAACATGAAATGAACAGGCATTTTCAGGTAAACACCTTTTTAACCAAAACTGAAACTTAACATGGTGTCATTATACAATTTATGACATAAATTTATGGTATTATGAAATACTGGAACACTTATAAACAAGGAATGACTAGAATTGTTGTAAAGAAACATATTCACTGACATATATGCATCTTTACTAGAATGTTTTCATGAGTAGAGTATTTGCATCAGAAAAATGTAGATATTAAAGATTCAAAAGACAATTTAGGAGCGTGTTAAAAAAAATCAACAATTGAATCTTCCTCAATTGAAAAAAAAGACAACTTAAAAAAAATATATTAGACATCTGACTGTTATAAAGGTTATATTTGGAAAGATATGTTGATGCCAGGCTTTAATTAAAACAACCAAAAATTTACAGACAAACTTTGGGGTGAAATCAATAGCACCTCATTAAAAGTAAATGGTCTGTACTGAAATGTTTTGACTGCATAAAAATATTGGCAGCATAGCTCCTAGCTAAGGACATATTTCAATTCAATTCACAGTTTGGGTATAATTAATATTGTAAGAGAGAGAATAATTGCAATGAGTGGGACAGCCCCCCTTATCCTAAAGGAGCATACTCATTGCAATCGAAGATAGATTTGATACAGAGAGAATATATTTATTTCTCAAGCCAACCATTCATTTTCTCTACATCTTTGTGTAGTTTGTGTGGCTTCAAACATTTCAAATGCGTCCTTCCACCGTACAGGCGTGTTTACAGGTATCCATGAAGTCACGGAGGAGTGGTTTCATCTTTGTCGTCTTCACGACGATTTAAAGAAAATATGGCATACTTCAGGCTGCTGTCGAATTGTTGAACCACTGAAATTTGTTCCATAAAGTCAGTCTCAAAAGATTCTGTATCCGATTTGTTTGAGACAGAAACGGTTATCGTGTCGTTTTTTATGAATATCCGCTGCATCATCGTCAATGGTATCATCGAAGACATCATTCCGTGTGCAATTCTTCCTGAATCAGTATAAACAGTTTACTATGAAACTTTTCTGTGTATTATTTGTCTTAAAATTGACAGAAGACGACAGAATAAGGTACTCCTCTATGACTTCGTGGATACCTGTAGACAATCTCCATGTGCTTTTCCATTAAAGGGTCCGATGAACACTTGACAGGAAGTGAAGAAAAACCGGTCTTCAAACATGTAATTGACCTAGATTCGAAATCAATACTGGAAACGACCCGAAATTCCGGATCGGGTCAATAGAAGTATTAAAAATAATTTCTTCAAATTAAAAGCAATAAAATGTTCACAGTCGGGCGGATTTTCGAAGGTCGGTCGGTAAACTGCAAACAAACAATATTTTAATTTAAGCCTAATTTAAAAAAATTTAAGTTAACAAATTTTGAGAACTATGTTTTCAATTAAGTTCACAATCGTATAATTGAATTACAACCCTTATTCATTCCTGTGTTGCTTAAGTAAGGCTATTCATTTCATACTGTCACAACTTGCCTTCTTTTCTGGATAATCTCAAATAACTGTTTCATTATTTTTAGGAACAAATCTGTGAAGAAATTGGACCACATCCTAATGCTGCTATTGAAAGCACACCTTTTAGGAGAACTAGTGATTTTCTTACACATCCTGTTTTTAATAGGTAAACTATTGTTTATTTGAAATTAGCAAGGAATATTGTGTTATGCTCATGTACTATTCATATCTTTAAAATATTTTTTTTATAAATCTTCATTTCTTCATACAATAATCATATGCATTTTTTTCAAGTGTAAGATACAATACATGTGTTTTTAAATAAGACCAACATATGATTTTGAAGGGTAAATTAACTGAACAAAATTGGACGAAGAAAGTTATCCAGCAAGTCATGATTTTCCTGACATTTTCATTTGAGTTACAAGGTAAAAAACAAGCTCAGGGCACTATTAGAGTAGTCACAAGAACCTTGATAGACTAGAATTTGTTTGAAAGTAATGCATAAAATGAGTTGTATTCTTAACTTTGCCAAATCTAGTCTGATAAGTTGAATCTCGAGATAAAAAAAAAACATCAAAATTCAGACAAAAGGTTCTATGTGTAGTTTTCAAGCCATGTCAGAAATTCATTTTAATCATATTACAGTGAGGTAAACATGTGCATTCTCAATATAAAGAAAATTTTTGATGTATATTTTAGATTCCAGTCAGAAACCAATATTGTAAGATACATGAAACAGTTAGAAAATAAAGATTTATCCTTAGTACATTCCATGATTCCTCTCGGCTCCTGTACAATGAAGTTAAACAGTACGACAGAAATGATGGTAAATTTTGTTGGTTTATTTTTTGTCTTTCCTCGTCAAAGTTGTGAGTTGATATTTAGGCGTACTGTTTCTTGTGGTGACAGCATTAATAATTTGTGAAAGTGTGTGATTATGGTAGTTTAAGAGGAACCAATAATGGTTTGTCAATGATATTTGGTATGCAGTTGAAGTAGCATTGAAGATTATCATAGACTTATCATGGCATTAGTCCCTAAATGGCAAATAAACATTGAAAAATGACATAACTGAAAACAACCTCTGAGAATAACCTTATCAGGCAAAATATGATTAGTCAGTCAATTTAATAGGAAAAACAACTGACAATACTCAATTAACCATGGAAAGAGAGAAATTAGGACATTTTGATATTCACAAGGGGAGATTGAATCTCTTTGTAAAACTAGTCTAATAACCATGGAAACAGAGAAATTAGGAGATTTTGATATTTACAACAGGAGATTGAATCTCCTTGTGAAACTGGTTTTGAGGCCGACAATTTGAAAAATACTGTAAGACTTCCACTGAGTCTAAATCAAATTATCACAAAGCTAAAGGAGTTTTCTTTCTCTAAGTATCTGATGAGCAGAATGTTATTTGATCTTGCACACTTCTGTTTCTTCAGACAATTTAGTATTTAAATAATGAGTGGTAGTTTCTTAAAGAAAGTTGTGTTTTAATCAATAAATATTGCATGTTTAGCCATGTTCCTGGCCAGAGTTTGCCAATATACATCCATTTGTGCCACTAGAACAAACAGAGGGATATGCTGAAATGTTTACAGAATTAGAACAGGATCTGTGTGAGATTACAGGATATGACAAAATATCATTCCAACCAAACAGGTCAGTACTATCTAATTGTAACGCTAGTATTTTATCTTTATGTAGCGAAGGCGTTGTGAGGAAGATATAAAGTTGTAGTATCTGGTAGGTGAAAAGTTATGGTATCTGGTAGGTGAAAAGTTATGGTATCTGGTAGGTGACAGTAACTGGCACTTATCAGGTAAAAAACAAACAAATAAAAACATTTCTTTCGATATTGAATTTGTTGCTTTGAGATATTTACCAAATTTGATCTCTATGAAATCAGAACATTTTAGTTAAATGAATCTTTGTGTTAAAACAAGCTTAAGGACTTGAACAAGACTTGTTTTTTCCTCCACTAAACACTTTTTGGAAAATGACGCTTTCAGCGGCATGTTTCCGATACCATTGACCAGAACTTACGGAAGTCGATTATTGCCTCCACCTACCGCACTCGGTTTCATATTTACTATTTTACATACTAACTGGAATCTGCTTGTATTACGCTACACTCGAACAAAGTGTTGTAGTCGGACGGGAACCAGTTTACATACTTTATTTTAATTTACCAAAAAGATATCTTGACCTGTCCATATGTTTTTTGTTATTAAATGGTATTTGGAGCTATCCCTTTGTTATATTTTTCATATTTATTCGAGCTTTCACTTTTATGCACATGTCTTACAATCGTAAACAATCGGTATGTATACATGATAAATAGATCCGTTTTGTTATGGTGTTGGACTTTTTACCCTCCAATGATCAGCAATCGCTAGACAAAATAGTTCTCCTAAATAATGTCAGCCTTTCATGCCATTTCAACTTTACAATCATTAAAAAAAGTGAAAATCGGAATTATTTTGATATCCATTGGATAGAAACTGGTCTTTATCCAGATTTACGAAGATTTTAAAAATCGGAAATTAGTAATACGGTAATACCCACGCGGTGCGTATGAATCTTTGTTTACAAAACAGGATTTCGGAACGTCTCTAGTTTTTAGATCGTAAGTCACGATAAACTCAAACTGAAAGTAAACAGTTGTTTGTAAGACGCAGGTTTACTCACCATAAACAAGCTGAAACGTTCAGTATGGCATATATTTTAGGTTAAAGACGGTCCCATTCATTTAAAAAGCATTTTGAAAGTAGACGATGGGATTATTTCGGGTTTGGGGAACGAGTAAATTATCACAAAGTTCATTTCTTGACGACCTCATAATTTCATCATGTCGATGGTACAAATCGATTTTTACTGTTTACTGTCGCTTCTCATGTTTTGTATTTAAACGGTCGTTTATTTTTAAACCCGAACCAGGCATATGCATTCTGTAATTGTGCAAATCTTCGTTCTTTGGTCAATTGGCTTATGGATAGTTGTATCAATTTCAACTCTTACATTATTTTTTAAAAAAATATGTTTGCATTACACATGCAATGGCAGTACCTTTCTAATTACTATTTATGTGTTGTGTCTAAATTAAAGTTGTAACACTTTATAGTGACTGGAAAGGGAAGAAAAATTCATCAGATGAGAAAAGGCTGAAGATACTTCAAACGGCACCGAATCGTTATATATTGCATCTTATAAAAAGAAACTGAGATTTGGATAGTTCCACTTCAAGGTTAAAATGTTTATCTCTTGTGAAATGAAATAAAATAAATATTGTAACACTGTAGTTAATTAATAAAGATACTATTACGTGTATTTCTGTATTGGCCTTATTATTGGTCCTCGGCCAGCAGTATTGGCCTTCCGCTTCGCCTCAGACCAATACACCCAAGACATGGACCAATAACAAGGCCAATACAGAAATACTTACGCAATGATATTATAGAATGACAGTATGGTTCAATAGCGGGAATCAGCCCCTCAACTACTTTTTACATAAATATTAACTTCTGGCTTCAACGCTTTGTTCGTCTTGTCTGGAGATCTTGCTGTAGTTCCAGTTCAGCAAGCATTTTAGAGACGTATCCCGTCCATCCTCTTTTGACTTGTAATCTCTGGTGATAGATTTTGCCGCTTGACATTGTATCCTTTCAAGCTTGTTTTTTTTGTTACCGTGTAGGGGTCCCATACTATGGCTCCATATTAAATTATAAGATCCATTCCTAAAGATCTAGATCATTGTTCTAATCTGACACAAATTTCAATAACTGGAATGCTACCCAAGTTGAATATATGGTGACCCACTGGAACAGCATTATCACTATTGAAATTGTGTTTAATACCATGATTGTTCAATGTCATTAACTTAAATGGAGACAGACATTTGACCTGAAAGACATGAAAGGTGGTGTGGGAGTGCAAAATCAAAAACTAACTGACTATGATGTATGGTTAAAGAATGAATATCAATTACATGGGTCAACATGGTCAAGGGCAGAGTTGTTATAAAATAACAATATGGCAGAGAAGTGGTTTCAAGTTTCATATAAAGCGACCTGACTGACATGAATTAAAAAATCGAAGGAGTATCCCTATTTGTCTAATCTTCAAGGTGAAATAAAACTAGTAAAACAATATTATACTATTGTCTAAATATACAGAAATATAATTTGCTTCAAGTAACAGAAATAACTAGGTCACTAGTAACTTATTTAATGAGTATGTGCGGTATAAGAGCTTGCTACCAACAGGCTCTTCATAATCATTTGGTTTGAAAAGGATACTAGTAGTCAATATTCTTGATTTAGAAAAATGCAATTGCAAGAAAAAAAATCACATTACTTAGAATACTTTAGATCATTCAGGTAGTCTTTATTTATATGTACAAAAGAACAGCCAGTAGTCAATGGATATTGTAGATCATTCAAATAGTCTTGACCTTTTTATTAGTACAAAAGAACAGCCAGTAGTCATTGGATATTGTAGATCATTCCGGTAGTCTTGACCTATTTATTTATACAAAAAAAACAGCCAGTAGTAGTTGGATACTGTAGATCATTCAGGTAATCTTGACCTATTCATTTGTACTGAAAAAACAGACACATATACGAATATCAATTATATGCTTACGAGACATGTTGCAATAACTTATTACGGTATGTGAAAATCAAGACTTGCACAAAAAATATCACAATATTAGAGACAGTGGCGTCATTTTTCCTCAAAGCTTTCAGCTCTTTGATTTTCATATTTTTCCTGATTTAAAGAACATTTAATACTGTGAGCTTGATCGCCTTAAGTTAAAAAAAGGAGCATTTTCAATGCACACAAACACCATGGATTTCACAGTTATTTGGTACTGCCTAAAAAATTTATAATTTTGATATAACAACATCAATTGTTTTTGTACGACCGCAAAAACATTTTGCGGTCGTATATTGGTATGATGTTGGCGGCGTCGTCGTTGTCGTCGTCGTCCTAAGACACATTGGTTTTCGTTCATTTGATTAGTTTAAGTGAATGGATCTCTATGAAATTTTACCATAAGGTTCAATACCACAAAAGAAAGGTTGGGATTGATTTTGGGGGTTATGGTACCAACAGTTAAGGAATTAGGGGCCAAAAATAAGCATTTTTGTAACTTCCAGACATAACTTGTGTGTTAGTGTATGGATCTCTCTGACGTTGTACCACAAGGTTCCATATCACAGAGGGAATGTTGGGATTGATTTTGGGGGTAATTGCCTCAAAATTTTAGGAATTAGGGGCCAAAAAAAGGGCAAAAAACAAGCATTTTTCTAGTTTCATGATAATAACTTGTGTTGAAGTGTATGGATCTTTCTGAAATTGTACTACAAGGTTCCATATCACAAAGGGAAAGCTGGAATTGAGTTTGGGGGTTATTGCCCAAAACGTTTAGGAAAAAGGGGCCAAAAAATAAGCATTTTTCTAGTTTCCAGACAATAACTTGTGTTCAAGTGTATGGATCTCTCTGAAATTGTACTGCAAGGTACCATACCACAAAGGGAAGGCTGGGATTGATTTTGGGGGTAATTGCCTCAAAATTTTAGGAATTTAGGGCCAAAAAGGGGCAAAAAAAAAGCATTTTTCTAGTTTCAGGACAATAAGTTGTGTGTAAGTGTATGGATCTTTATGAAATTGTACTACAAGGTTCCATATCACAAAGGGAAAGCTGGGTTTGAGTTTGGGGGTAATTGCCTTAAACGTTTAGGAATTTGGGGCCAAAAAGGGGCCTAAAAACAAGCATTTTTCTAGTTTCCAGACAATAACTTGTGTTCAAGTGTATGGATCTCTCTGAAATTGTACTGCAAGGTACCATACCACAAAGGGAAGGCTGGGATTGAGTTTGGGGGTGATGAATCATAAGGGGGTTCTAAAAATTTGGGTTATTTCTGATTTATTTATAAAAGCAAATAATAATGATATGATTTGAATAGGTAAATTAAAAATTTTTAAGTTCTTAGACCACATTCATTCTGTGTCAGAAACCTATGCTGTGTCAAATATTTAATCACAATCCAAATTCAGTGCTGTATCAAGCTTGAATGTTGTGTCCATACTTGCCCCAACTGTTCAGGGTTTGACCTCTGGGGTCGTATCAAGCTGCACCCAGCGGAGCATTTTATTATTTATTCTAACTGGAAACTTTTTTCTCAAGGAAATGTTATAAATTCACTTTTTGTAGGTCTATTTTTTTCCATTTTAAAAAATCTTAAGAAAAATGATACAGTACACAAAACTTGATCAAACATATGTCTAAAAAGTGAATTACAACAAAAATAGGTAGAAAGAGGGTATTTAATAATGAATATAGCAATCAGTAAATATTTGTAATATCAAATATTCTTCATCTGTATCAGTTACCTGTAGAATTGCAATAAAAGAATATTGGTCTTTATTAGAAATCCTGAACATCATACAAACTTTTATTAGTGTTTTGCAAAGAAATACAGACTTTTCTATTCTATAATCTTCAAAACCATACAAATTTATTTTAGTATCACCAACAGAATAAAGGGAGATTTTAGGACTTACAAGATCTGTAAAAGTCTGTATCTTTTTGAAAAAAGATGTTTAACTTTTAGGATGTTTAGGATTTCAAGAGAAGAATAATACTTATTCTTGGTGTTGTATATTTTATTATTAATTATATAAATACTTTTACAGCGGTGCCCAAGGTGAATATGCTGGATTGAGAGCTATCATGGCTTACCAAAATGCAATAGATCAAAAACAGAGGACCGTAAGTTTTTAAATAACCACTATAAGTAACTCATAATGGTGATTGCAAAAATACTTCAAAAGGAATGATTAATGCCTCTGCATATAATATTTGGTATATGATAATAGTTGAATGCAACTTTTTTACTATTTTGAACAATTGAATTAGACAGACCATTAAACATTACTTGAGGTTACATAACAGTGAAGTGAATAAGATAACTTCATATTATATTATGACAGGTTTTTGATAAAAGATGATTATGTTTTATGTATTTTTTTTTAATCATAGGTGTGTTTCCCACATATTTTCTTGGTACAAATTCTGCCATTGCTGACGATTTTGTCATTTTAAGGTATGTTTGATTCCTACATCTGCTCATGGTACAAATCCGGCCAGTGCCCAGATGGCAGGTATGAAGATACAGCCTATTAACGTGGACAGAAATGGTGCTATTGATATGAAGCATCTTAGAGTCATGGTAGGTCTGATTATCAAACAAATAGTCAGTAGTATCATCCATTTTTGTTTGTGACAGTTAGCATAATTCAAGAAAAATCTGTTGTTTTTGATATGGATAACTTTTTTATGCCTCCGCCGTAGCGGTGGGAGCATTAAGTTTTACCCTTGTCCGTCTGTACGTACGTACGTCCGTCCATACGTCCCAAAATTGGTTTCTGTTCTCTAACTTGAGTTTGCCTCAACCAAATGTTATGAAACTTATACACAATGCTTATTACCACAAAACACAGATCAAGTTTGAATTTTGGTGGCATCACTTTAACTGTTCCAGAGTTATGCCCCTTTATAAATGGAAAAATTGCAAAATATTTAGTTTCCGTTCTCTAACTTAAGTTTGCCTCAACCAAATGTTATGAAACTTATACACAATGCTTATTACAACAAAACACTGATCAAGTTTGAATTTTGGTGGCGTCACTTTAACCGTTCTAGAGTTATGCCCCTTTATAAATGGAAAATTTGCAAAATTTTTATTTTCTTCTAAATATCAAGTGATTTTTATACGACCGCAATATTGCGGTCGTATATTGTTATGATGTTGGCGTCGTCGTCGTCCGAAGACACATTGGTTTTCACACTCTAACTTTAGTTTAAGTGAATGGATCTCTATGAAATTTTACCATAAGGTTCAATACCACAAAAAGAAGGTTGGGATTGATTTTTGGGGTTATGGTACCAACAGTTAAGGAATTAGGGGCCAAAAATAAGCATTTTTGTAACTTCCAGACATAACTTGTGTGTTAGTGTATGGATCTCTCTGATGTTGTACCACAAGGGAAAGCTGGAATTGAGTTTGGGGATAATTGCCCAAAATGTTTAGGAATAATGGGCCAAAAATAAGCATTTTTCTAGTTTCCAGACAATAACTTGTGTTCAAGTGTATGGATCTCTCTGAAATTGTACTCCAAGGTACCATACCAGAAAGGGAAGGCTGGGATTGATTTTGGGGAAAAATTGCCTCAAAATTTTAGGAATTAGGGGCAAAAAAAGGGGCAAAAAACAAGCATTTTTCTAGTTTCATGACAATAACTTGTGTGTAAGTGTATGGATCTTTATGAAATTGTACTACAAGGTTCCATATTACAAAGGGAAAGCTGGGTTTAAGTTTTGGGGGTAATAGCCCTAAACATTTAGGAATTAGGGGCCAAAAAAGGGGCAAAAAACAAGCATTTTTCTAGTTTCCAGACAATAACTTGTGTTCAAGTGTATGGATCATTCTGAAATTGTACTGCAAGGTACCATACCACAAAGGGAAGGCTGGGATTGAGTTTGGGGGAGATGAATCATAAAGGGGTTCAAAAAATTTGGAGGAGGGATTTTTTTTCCCTTTTTTCCTTTTTTTTACTTTAAAGTTTTCCATTTTAAATTGGTTATTTCTGATTTATATATAAAAGCAAATAATAATGATATGGTTTAAATAGGTTAATTGAAAAATTTTAAGTTCTTAGACCACATTCATTCTGTGTCAAATATTTAATCACAATCCGAATTCAGTGCTGTATCAAGCTTGAATGATGTGTCCATACTTGCCCCAACTGTTCAGGCTTCGACCTCTGTGGTCGTATCAAGCTGCGCCCAGCAGAGCATTTTATTAAAATTGGAGTTATCTTCCTTTGTCCATGATTATAGTTGAATCAACTACAATCAATGCTTTATACAATGCAATGTTTAATTTTGACTTCCACTGATAAAACACAGATCAAGTTGAATTTGTGTAGTGTCACTTTAACCATTATTAAGTTACGCCCCTTTATAAATTGAAATATTGCAAAATTTTTAGTTTCCATTCTGTAACTGAAGTTTGCCCCAACCAAACATTATGAAACCTATACACAATATTCATTACCACAAAACTAAGATCAAGTACAAATTTTTTGTTTCCATTTTCTAACTTTAGTTTGCCTCAACCAAATGTTATGAAACCTATACACAATGCTTATTACTACATAATACAGATTAAGTACAAAACTTGGTGGCGACACCCTTACCGTTCTTGAGTTATGACTTTTGGAAAATCTATATTTTCAATCTGAAATATGCGAATTTAAATAAACTAGACACTTTTGTTGTCTGCTGTTCGCTGAAGCTTCAAAAGTTTGAGTATCAAAATTAATTGTTTGTTTATGTGCCTCACACAAAAATGTGCACACAAGGTTCAACCTGACATCCTCAGTTTTCTAGTTTTGTTTTATGGTAATTCATTCATGTTTAATTTAATTTTATGTTTATATATTTATGTTTAATTTTGTTTTATGTTAATTCATTTGTGTTTAATTTTGTTGTATGTTCATTCATTGGTGTTTAATTTTGTTTTATGCTCATTTATTTGTGTTTAAATTTTATTTTTATTATTATTTATCTGTATGTCCATTTTCTGAATTCATGAGATTTTTTTAAAACAAAATCAGAAGAATTAGTTATTTGTGGCATGAAGTTACAGGTTAGATATGCTATTTGTGCAATTAAGTTCAAGTATTGAAGATCAACACATTTAGGGATATTTTTTGTCAGTTGTTTAACTGATTTTGGCTATTTTGCTTTCTTATTTTTTTGAATAGTTGCTGATCTTTGTGAGAACTGCTAGAAAGTGACCTTTTTGAAAAGGGTTATAGGTCTGTTCAGATATAATTCAATGAATTTCATCCTGAATATGCATGAAATTTTTGCAAGTAGTTTCAAGCAAACAACAATCAATCAGCCAATCAATTATGATTTTCATTAAAACACTTTTGAATTTAAAAAATAATCAAAATATTTAAACCACTTTTATTCATTTTGCATACAATATTAAATTGATGCAAGCAAAATGATATTGAGTAAAATTAAACCGAGATATTGGGGTTTAAAAAAGACAGCAATCCCAACAACACAATACATGTATAACAATAGCAAGTGTATGTTCATATGTTAGGAAATTATCCCAAGTGTAAACAAAGCTCAAGAATTAGTCTCCATTTGTAAATTCTGTAACAACTGCCTGAAGGAAGTTGCACTTCAAAATTTGTAATGAGGATCCAAAGAATTTTTATACATCCAAAATTAGATTTAGAAAATATAGATCACATGTTGGAATCATGTTTGGTAAATTCAATACTAATGGATAGTTAATTCCTTTCTTGAGATGATCATTTTGATTTCATTTTTAGCTCACCTGACCATCAGGGCTAAGTGAGCTTTTCTCATCACTTGGCATTCATCGTCTGTTGTTTTGGGGTATCTAGTTCAAAGAAAGTGTTTCATGAACCCGCCTGCCAACCAAGATGGCTTACATGGCTAAAAATAGAACATAGGGGTAAAGTCTAGTTTTGCCTATTATTTTGAAAACTGCTGATTTTAGAGAAAATCTGAAGGGGGGGCAAAAATGTTCAGAATATTGAGCTCTACCTCAATTAAATCGAACTGTCAGACGACTTCTTATGGGAATTATTTTACTTTTTTTTCTTTTTTTTTTTTGGCCTTTTATCTCGAAAAAGATAATAGATAGTTAGATCCTTAAAAATCAAAAATGATCAGCAAGATAAGATCTACAAATAATTCAACATGACCGAAATTGTCAGACATCTCCTTATTAGAGTTATTGCCCTTTAATGATGATTTTTACCATTTTTGCATTATTGACTAATATCTTAAAAACTATAATAGATAGATGGAAACTTTAAAAAGCAAAAATGATCAGCAAGACAAGATCTACAAATAAGTCAAACACAACATGAATAGTTAGTCGACTCCTTATTGAATTTATTACCCTTTAATGACGATTTTTACCATTTTTGCCTATTATCTTGAAACTATAATAGATAAATAGAAACTTTAAAAAGGAAAATTATCAGCAGGATAAAATCTACAAATATGTCAACATGACTGAAATCGTCAGTTAATACTTAATAGAGTTATTCCCCTTTAATGATGATTATTTTTTTACTAAAAAGTCGCCATTGTTGAAGATGCAGGTGAGCGGTAAAAAAAAGAGCCTCTAGTTAGGATTTAAAAAATGTATATGGATATTATTTCAAAAAAATTATAATTGGTTGATCATCAGCAATATCAAGATTAGTTATCATCCCTTGAATTAGACATATACTTGCTGACATTATACCCACTGGCCAACTCACAGATTCTTTTAATTCATAGAATAAGTCTTTTTTTTCTAGTGTATTTCTGAAACATATTTATTAGTTTGGAATTATAATTGTTATGATGTTGGGTTTCCTACCCCCTCACCCCCTCCCAAAAAAAAAAAGAAATCAGTTTTGTTTTTGTAAAGAACCACTAATTTGGGCCCAGTCAGAAAGAACATACAAGATAGTAGTACATATTTTAAACAAAATAGTTCCTAGGCATAGCTGTAACTTTGTCAACAAGTAAAATTTTTGGGTAACTTTAGTATCAAATGAGATAGGAGGGCACATTTGTCCTGTTGTTCAGATCAAAAGCTCTGATATGCAATTAAAGGTATGTTAAATTTTTCAGCACAAGTCAGGATAAGGTATAGTTTTGACATGAAATGACTGCTTCTTTATTTAAACTCAAGACAAAGTAGCTATCAATGCTTGAAATTGCAGAATTAAACATGGAAAGCAATGGGGCTGTGAATTTAGTGGTTTTATTCCTTTTGATGTTAATAATTTAACCAAAGAACTGAGGTAAGCATTATATCTGCTTACCCTTCCGGAGCACCTGAGATCACCCCCAGTTTTTGGTGGGGTTCGTGTTGCTTAGTCTCTAGTTATACGACCGCAAAAAATTTTTGCGGTCGTATATTGGTATGACGTTGGCGTCGTCGTCCGGCGTCGTTGTCCGAAGACACATTGGTTTTCGTACTCTAACTTTAGTTTAAGTGAATGGATCTCTTTGAAATTTTACCATAAGGTTCAATACCACAAAAGGAAGGTGGGGATGGATTTTGGGGGTTATGGTACCAACAGTTAAGGAATTAGGGGCCAAAAAGGGGCCAAAAATAAGCATTTTCTAGTTTCCAGACAATAACTGTGGAACGGTGTATGGATCTCTCTGAAATTATACTACAAGTTTCCATACCACAAAGGGATGGTTAGGATTTGCTTTGGGGGGTTATGGCTCAAACCATTCAGGAATTAGGGGCAAAAAAGGGGGAAAAACAAGGTTGTCCTGGTTAATGGACAAATACTTTAGTACAAAACATAATTTAAAGCAGTGTAAGGGAGATAAATCAAATACATCATTGAAATTATCTCCCTTACACTGCTTTTAAATTATGTATAAAGTAATGGTTAATGAACAATTAAGATAATTTAAAACAGTGTAAGGGAGGTAATCCAAATACAACGTTTTGGTTACTTCCCTTACACTGCTTTTAAATTATGTTTAAAGAAATGCATATTTATAAAGGAAGACCAGTAAAAATATCTGCAAATGTTGCATCTTTTTTTTTACAAATATGAAAGATTTGACACTATATTTTAAATTCTATTATAAAATAGATTAAGTTAGCACTATGGTAAATTTAAATGGGTAATTATGGTTGCAAACTCCATTGGAAATTTTAATTGAGATTATGACCATATCTTGAGGGAAAGAATTTTTTGGGGGAAAAAAGGGGGGGGGGGGGGTAAAAAGAATTTGTGGGGGTCAATTTTTTCTCATTTCAGATTTCAAAAATTAAAAAGAATTATTCTTCAAATATTTTTTTTTCAAATTTCAAATATTGAAATATTTCAAGAAGTAATCTTTAGTTGCACAGTATGGCGCATTAGATTTGTAAAATCTTTGACCACATTTATTTATTTGTTATGCCGGATCTAACTGTGTATTTAGATTTTTAATTTTGGGTCCAGTTTTCAAATTGGTCTACATTAAGGTCCAAAGGGTCAAAAATTAAACTTTGTTTGATTTTAACAAAAATTGAATATATGGGGTTCTTTGATATGCTGAATCTAAACATGTATTTAGATTTTAGATTTTTGGTCCAGTTTTCAAGTTGGTCCAAATTGGGGTCCAAAATTAAACTTTGTTTGATTTCAACAAAAATTGAATATATGGGGTTCTTTAATATGCTGAATCTAACCATGTATTTAGATTTTTTATTTGTGGGCCCCCCTATCAAATTGGTTCATATTGAGGTCAAAAGGGTCCAAAATTAAACTTTGTTTGATTTCATCAAAAATTGAATTAATGGGGTTCTTTGATATGCCAAATCTAACCGTGTATTTAGATTTTTAATTTTGGGTCCTGTTTTTTAAATTGGTCTACATTAAGGTCCAAAGGGTCCAAAATTAAACTTAGTTTGATTTTAACAAAAATTGAATTCTTGGGGTTCTTTGATATGCTGAATCTAAACATGTGTTTAGATTTTTGATTATGGGCCCAGTTTTCAAGTTGGTCCAAGTTGGGGTCCAAAATTAAACTTTTTTTGATTTCAACAAAAATTGAATATATGGGGTTCTTTAATATGCTGAATCTAACCATGTATTTAGATTTTTTATTTGTGGGCCCCCCTATCAAATTGGTTCATATTGAGGTCAAAAGGGTCCAAAATTAAACTTTGTTTGATTTCATCTAAAATTGATTTATTGGGGTTCTTTGATATTCCAAATCTAACCGTGTATTTAGATTTTTAATTTTGGGTCCCGTTTTTTAAATTGGTCTACATTAAGGTCCAAAGGGTCCAAAATTAAACTTAGTTTGATTTTAACAAAAATTGAATTCTTGGGGTTCTTTGATATGCTGAATCTAAACATGTGTTTAAATTTTTTATTATGGGCCCAGTTTTCAAGTTGGTCCAAGTTGGGGTCCAAAATTAAAGTTTGTTTGATTTCAACAAAAATTGAATATATGGGGTTCTTTGATATGCTAAATCTAACCATGTATTTTGATTTTGGACATTGGACCATAATAAGTAAATTAAAAAAATTCAAGTTCTTAGACCACATTCTTTCTGTGTCAGAAACCTATGCTGTGTCAAATATTTAATCACAATCCAAATTCAGAGCTGTATCAAGCTTGAATGTTGTGTCCATACTTGCCCCAAATGTTCAGGGTTCGACCTCTGCGGTTGTATCAAGCTGCGCCCAGCGAAGCATTTTATTTTCTATGTTGTGTCATCTATACTATTATTTGTCTGTTTGTCTTTTTATTTTTGGCCATGGCGTTGTCAGTTTGTTTTCGATCTGTGAGTTTGACTGTCCCTCTGGTATCTTTCGTCCCTCTTTTATATCAAAGATGCCTACATATATCCCCAGTTTAACTATGTCAATATACTGTAAATTCTATTGCTGCTTTTTTTTTTAACAATTTGTACTTTTGTACTTTTATTTGTTATATTTAAAAAAATTCAAATATTGAGAAACAGTTTAGATAGACATATTCTTGGATTCTATGAATTTGCTTACAGGTAGAGAAACACAAAGACACTTTGGCTTGTATGATGATTACATATCCCTCTACAAATGGTGTGTTTGATAAAGATATCAGGTACCATTTTCTACATATCAATTGTGAAAGAAAATGAATTATGTTGTAGGAATAGATATTAATGTAACACATTTCAAAATGAAGTTATACTAGATTATGTGTCTGTTGACATAAATGCCTAATTTCAGAAAAGATATATATGTTTCAAACACTTAAATACAAAAGAGAATATAAAGATATAAGTGTAAGATGTAGATTATAAAGACCCGAATGGAACATTATAGTTGTTGAACATTTTAAATAAAAACACATTTCTCATTGTTGACGGCCGTACGGTTGCCGTACGGTTGCCTATAATTGATTACATACACTCCATTTGAACTTTGGTGGATAGTTGTCTCATTGGCAATCATACCACATATCCTTATTTTTATATATAACCAACATACACATTTCCTACTCAACAAGGTATAATTGTTCAAAAAGCAGTTTTGCCAGGGATTTTTTTTTCAATTTTCTATCAAGAGGTTGAAATTTATTGAAAAGTAAACATTAATATCCCAAATATTGGTGGACGGGAGGCACTCATTTTATATGAATAATAAGTAAAATTAGAATTCTATATAATGGGTGGTTGTGGTTTAAAAAAAAAAAGTGTGCCCCCTCCCCGTCCTTGCCTTAAAATCTGCTCTTAGCTAAATCCATTATTTTTTTCAATTATTTATATGATCTTTCTTTTTATTGTAGAGAAATCTGTGATCTGATACATGAATATGGGGGCCAGGTATACTTGGATGGTGCCAATATGAATGCTCAGGTAATTTTTTTAAAGATTTGGTAAAGATAGTTATTAGGACTTATTAAGACTTCCAGTAAGAGAATTAGACATCTGATGAATTGTTTCTGACTGCAAAAGTTAGGCAGTTGTAATTTTATAGGTTGTTGTGATTATGGGGAAAGTAATATTGAAAATACTCCATATTTTCCTTATACATGTATTCTCTATATGCCCCTTAATTGGTAATAAAAATATATCTCATCTATTGTATTATAATAAATTGTTGTTGTATAAGAAGTTGTCTGTGAATAAGTTTTCCCAAGTACTTTTTCTCCTGTAAACAAGGTAAGTAATTAAGTTTTGGCACTCAGTTAATGGAATTTTAGTTCATGTACATTTTTACATTAATGAAATAAAATCAGGTGATTTTACTTTAGTACAGCTTGCATGTATGTAGTTTAAAGTTGCTTGTTGCATTTTGAAGGTTGGTATATGTAGACCTGCTGATTATGGATCTGATGTATCTCATCTTAATTTACATAAAACATTCTGTATACCACATGGTGGAGGTGGGCCTGGAATGGGACCTATTGGTGTGTAAGTAGAATCATTATAAAAGTTCTCTGTAGATTTGTTTTTTTTATGTTAATGATTCAAAAGTTAATTGTCAACATATATTATTACACTAATGTCTGGGGGATAGCTATACACAACAATGTAGAGATGTAATATGATTACCAATGAGACAGTTGTCCTCCAGAGACCAAAGGACGAAGATGTAAACAACTATAGGTCACATGTAGATTAGAATATATTATTCTATGCATAGTAATACAAGGGATAAGATTTGAGAAGCACACATTTGATTATGATCGTGTTATCAGGAGCTATTTTATAATAACAAAAGAGGACATCCATATTTAGTCTGTTAGTGGTATGTTGCATTGGTGATAGTATTTGTAGTTTGACATAATGTATGTTGATAGTATCTAAAAGGAAAGGATTTTATAATTGACGTTATTACTAAGCGTTTTTTCTGATGAAAATGTTCCCATTACTGTGAATAAACATTCTAAACCAAATACCTATATGACTGAAAAAAATTTCGTGATAGATGTATTTTTCTGTTCCTACACATGGATTTCTGAGTTAAGTTTATAAATAATTGATAGATTAATTGTTGCTGTTGAACACCACTTTCAGCATATTTGGCTATATTGTAGTGGCCAGTTTTTATAGTTGGAGGAAGCCAGAGTACCTGGAGAGAACCGCCTACCTTCCGCTGGAAAACTGGCAATTTTAGTCAATTAAGATCAGAGTCAATTGCACCTGCCATGAGCAGGGTCTGAAACTCAAAACCTCAAGTGTTGATAAAAAAAGGTTTATAGATAATTTACTTTAAAATGTGTATGCAGTGTTAATATTAACTAATGATATTTCAGACGAAGACATCTGGCACCATACTTACCAACACATCCAGTCATTCCTCCATATGGCACCACAGGTCCAGAAGCCAAGTCATTTGGTGTAGTTTCTGCAGCACCCTTTGGTTCTAGTGCCATTTTACCGATCTCTTGGGCCTATATCAGAATGATGGGAGCAGAGGGTTTACGCCAGGCATCAGAAGCTGCTATTCTTAATGCTAATTATATGAGTAGAAGACTTGATGGCTATTATAAAACTCTGTACAAAAATGACGAAGGTCAGTTTTTCATTTAAAAAAGAATTGAAGACATGCATGTGTTAAATAGTGAGTTGTTTCTGTCCATTCTTTTGATATTTCCGATAATATTTACAAGATCTGTCTTATTTAATGTTTCAAATTATTACACATATTAAATTGCTTTACATGTGAATGATATAGGAAATTGACATTGCAAATGCTCTTATGTCAACATTTTTATTAAACTTTACTAAAACTTATTTCAAAGGTTTACAATAGCATTATCACCAATGAGTTTAAAAAGCAGCTCTGATTATATATTTTGGGGAGTTATGTCCCTTTGAAATGTAAATTATAAGGAAAATCTATAATATAAGTGTCTGATGTCTATATTTCTAATCAGAGTTTAATAAAAGGTATACCAAAAGTTTACTACAATGTTTTCAGAGAGTTAAGAAATCTGAGGTATTCCAGTATATAATGTATTCTTGAAGTTGTGCCCCTTTTGAAACATAAATTATATGGAAAAACTTTAATATTCAATATTGTTCGTGTTCCAGCTCTTACATTTGATATCTTTTTAGTTTTATAGTATCTATGTCAAAGTTTTACAATAGCATTATTTTGGCGAATTTAAAAATCAATGCTGATAGATTATTTTCACAGAAGTTATGTCCCTTGGAAATGTAAATGATATAGGAAAATTGCAGTATATCAGTAGAGAACATCGGCTACCATATAGAAATGTTGTTTTTTTGGTCAGGGTGTTACTTGTGACTTTGACTTATTTCCCATCGGTATCATCTTCCTTTTTTTAGACATTGAAAAAAATGGAAATCATAAGGTGTTTAATAGGTATGGTGGCCTTGGGCTGTTTTCTGCTCTTTGGTTGGGTTGTTGTCTCTTTGACACATTCCCCGTTTCCATTCTCAATTGTTTGGCCTTTTATGTTATAAATTTTTATTAAAGATAAAGAGAAACAAAAGCAACTGTGATATAAGTGAACTGTTTTTTTTGCCACTCGAATACTGGACAGTGCATTGGATTTTTGACTGATTTTTTGAAGTATTTATTATTTCTTAAAAACACATAAATATTATCAATGAAACATAATAACAGCTATAAGAATTTTAATATCAATTGATGAATTAATATTCAGTGTAAAAAGAAAGAGAAAAAAACGTTTTGATTTTAGGCATGAAAGAAGTCCCCACCTCCCAAAAAAAATAACAAAATCCCCTTATTAAAAGTCGCAGTTGAGGATCCTTTTCCTATGTCGCTAAATATTTTTTTATTTTTTTTTATATTTTATAGGTATGGTTGCTCATGAATTTATACTTGACTGCAGAGACTTTAAGAAAAGTGCAAATGTAGAAGTGATGGATATTGCAAAGAGACTCCAAGATTATGGTATGAACAACTTTTAAGTAACTTCTTACTAAATGACAGCAAGGTGATAGAATTAATACAGAGGTTTGATGGTTAATAAATGTCAAAGTTGTATTCAAAATAAAACAAAAATGTGTGATTTGGCTCACTTACTGTTAATTTGCCTTGAATTGCATTTCATGACATCATAACAGCTATGGTATAGACACTAATGATTGTAGTACCTAATACTTATAAGGATAACCAGGATAATTGGAATTACCGAACAAATTGGTAATTACAACAGAAAACACCATCCACACCAACAAATGGATAGACAAAAACAACAAACAACACATGGCCCAGAGAGTCTGACTTGGTACAGGCATACAATGTGCTGGGTTTAAACCAGTTTTATGTAAGCTTAGACCTCCTTTCTTTGCCTATCTAATAGAAAAACAAAGGAGATGGGGTATCCATCCATGACACAAAATCAGTACATATTTCATTAAATAACAAAAGTAAAGAATTGTGATTGTATTCTTAGTTTTGATTTGATCTTTAAGGATTCCATTCTCCAACAACATCATGGCCTGTGGTAGGAACCTTGATGATTGAACCAACAGAATCAGAAGACAAAGATGAATTAGACAGATTCTGTGATGCTCTCATTGGTAGGTAAACTATACCAATTCATTGGTGGTCTCATTGGTAGGTAAACTAAACCAATTATGTGACGCTCTCATTGGTAGGTAACTATACCTATCATGTGATGCTCTCGTTGGTAGGTAAACTATATCAATTCTGTGATGCTCTCATTGGTAGGTAAACTATATCAATTCTGTGATGCTCTCATTGGTGGGTAAACTATACCAGTTATGTGATGCTCTCATTGGTGGGTAAACTATACCTATCATGTGATGCTCTCGTTGGTAGGTAAACTATACCAATTCTGTGATGCTCTCATTGGTAGGTAAACTATACCTATCATGTGATGCTCTCATTGGTAGGTAAACTATACCAATTCTGTGATGCTCTCGTTGGTAGTTAGACTATACCAATTCTGTGATGCTCTCATTTGTAGGTAAACTATACCAATTCTATGATGCTCTCATTGGTAGGTAAACTATACCAATTCTGTAATGCTCTCTTTGGTAGGTAAACTATACCTATCATGTGATGCTCTCATTGGTAGGTAAACTATACCTATTCTGTGATGCTCTCATTTGTAGGTAAACTATACCAATTCTGTGATGCTCTCATTGGTAGGTAAACTATACCAATTCTGTGATGCTCTCTTTGGTAGGTAAACTATACCTATCATGTGATGCTCTCATTGGTAGGTAAACTATACCTATTCTGTGATGCTCTCATTGGTTGGTAAACTATACCAATTCTGTGATGCTCTCATTGGTAGGTAAACTATACCAATTATGTGATGCTCTCATTGGTAGTTAGACTATTCCAATTATGTGATGCTCTCATTGGTAGTTAGACTATACCAATTCTGTGATGCTCTCATTGGTAGGTAAACTATACCAATTCTGTGATGCTTTCATTGGTAGGTAAACTATACCAATTATGTGATGCTCTTATTGGTAGGTAAACTATACCAATTATGTGAATGCTCTCATTGGTAGTTAGACTATACCAATTATGTGATGCTCTCATTGGTAGGTAAACTATACCTATTCTGTGATGCTCTCATTGGTAGGTAAACTATACCAATTATGTGATGCTCTCATTGGTAGTTAAACTATACCAATTCTTTGGTGCTCTCATTGGTAGGTAAACTATACTAATTCTGTGAAGCTCTCATTGGTAGGTAAACTATACCAAATAATGTGATGCTCTTATTGGTTGTTAATTGATAAACTACCAAGTCTGTGATGCTCTCGTTGGTTGGTAAACTTTTTTGAATTGTGATGCTCTCATTGGTTGGTAAACTTTTCCAAACTGTGATGCTCTCATTGGTTGGTAAACTACCAATTCTGTGATGCTCTCATTTTGGTTGGTAAACTATACCAATTCTGTGATGCTCTCATTGGTTGGTAACATATACCAATTCTGCAATGCTCTCATTGGTTGGTAAACTACCAGTTTTGTGAAGCTCTCATTGTACAAATCGTTTTTCATTCGCATTTAAAGCTTTAAAGGAATAGTTTTGATGACAGAAGAGTGAATATTCAGTCCTTTTCTTTTTATTCCTATTATCAGCCCAATAGTTTGAAAATACGGATATTGTTTCATTGAAATTTGCTGTTATAACATTTTGGAAATTATTTTAAAGTAAGGAATGTATCTCCATCATGCCAAGCTCGGATTCCTTGTGCAGGTTTGGCTTCACTTTTTGTTTTATCAAATCTTCCAAATTTGTATTACCTTATTTTTGGATTTTTAAATATTTTGACCGAGCATCACTGAAGAGAAATTAATAAAATGCACATCTAGTGAAGTAAAATTGGTGGCGTAAATGTTATGATATGTTAACAAAATATTGTGCTTTCTTTTCTTTTCTTTTTTTTTCACCAAAACAAGGTACCAAATTCAGGCTTGTATAGTCTGCGCTTTTATTCTCCAAAACTGAACCTGTCAGACAGGGGTGCGGACTATAGAGCGATAAGCAAGAAATAAGAGAAAGAATTTGATTTCGCGAGGTTTGTTTTACGTTCCGCCATGTCATTTTCAAAACTAATCATTTTACCTAATCCATATTATTATGTAATTTTTAATCAATATCAAATATTCACTGTTAAATTTCAAAATTAAATGCTTCACTACAAATTTTCTCGTTTCTTTTCACTGCATTACCTAAAATAAACTGGAATCTGATTGAATTTAACAGAACGAAAAAAGTGTAGAAGTCAACCGGGAACCAGCTTATGCATAACGATGTATAAATTACAAAACATAATCGTATTCTAGTGATATCTATTAAATACCGGGCCTCGGTGGCCGAGTGGTCTAAGTAGTAACTACTGTAATCACTAGCCAGTCAACACTGAGGTTGTGAGTTCGAACCCCGCTCGTGCAGGTGCACTCTACTCCAATCTTAATTAACTAGGATTGTCAGTTTTCCTATCGAAGGTCGTGGTTTTCTCCGGGCACTCAGGCTTCCTCCACCAATAAAAACTGGCCACCTTGAAATAGCCCAAAAGCGGTGCTTAAAAGTGGCGTTAAAACACCAAAAATCAAATCAAATCTATTAAATACCAATTTCCTGTACACTCACCATATTTATTTTCATTTACACATGCTATTGTAACTTCCGGTTTAAACATACACAAGTTTCTAAATTTTTTTTTTTTTGTGATTTTGACTTATATTAACACTTGTGAAGTGTTCTAGAATCATTTACAAGCATATTCAACTTCTATATGATGACGGAAAACAGGTTTTCCATGAAAATACCCCAAACGATCACACACGATTTGAAATTACCAGAGTTTCAATAGACGTTTTCAAACAGTTACAAAAACAAATTTTTCCTCAATTCTCGTTACGAGAAGGGGGTGCGGACAATTTACCAGTGCGAAATATACAAGGCCAATAACAGTAGTATGATCAACCAAATCTTTGAAGAAACTTTTTTTTGGAATACGCATTTTATTGTGGCACTGCTTCATAATTATGTCTATGCGTAAATGAATATGAAAATGTATTGTTTAAACCTGTTTCAGTAAATGTAATCTTTTTTACAGCAATAAGAAAAGAAATAAATGATATTGAAGAAGGAAGATCTGACTCAAAAATTAATCCATTAAAGGTAAATGAATAACATTCTTATGCATATTTCATACAGCTCATTAGATAGGTTCAAATGGTTACCATTTAGGGGAATTCTTATACTTTCAATTAAGTTGATAGCTTGATGTAACTTGCTTTATGTTAGTAATCTGAGTTCAGTTATCCACTGTATATCAGGTTATTTTCACATTACGTTTATTTTACATTTTGGGCATTAGAAGGGACAGTTAAATCATCTCTGTTTTCATTTTTCACGTATTATGGCCTTGTACAATGCATTTAAGTGGAAACTGAAATAGTTTTGTGGAAAAATGCATTCTGTGAAAAATTAGACAAGAAAATATTCTGATATACAGTATTTGTCAAACTTTTTAAGTCGTCCAATTTGTATTCATTATCTTCTTGTCAGATAAGCTTTGGACTTATCTTACTACATACTTATATTTATATAAATTGCTATGATATATTATAGATGTCACCACATTGTCAAAAAACAGTAATATCTTCTAACTGGGATCTACCATACTCGCGAGAAGTAGCAGCCTTCCCATTAGTAAGTATTATTTAATTCAATGTTGTTTATCATTTCTTTCATAGTTTTTCATCCAATTGTGTGTATTTTAAAGACATATTTTTTATAAGTTATCCTGGTTCATTATAATAAACATGAAAGCCAGCAACTGTAAAGCTAACTCGTATTTAGATCTTAAAATTTGGTTCAAATTCATGGCAAGCTATATATCAGTTCACTCTATAAATCAAAACATTTTTCTAAAGCTCGTTTGGTCTTGTAATGTAATCATGCATCTCCAATCCCTTTCTGTCACATTTCAATAGAAATTTTGTGATAAGTGAATCAATATTTCTGGAAGGTTCTTTGGATTATTCTTTCATATTTTTTACGTGAAATTAGCATAAATGTCAGGGCTATCCTAAGCTTAATTTCTGGCATCAAAGATCTCTTTAGAAACTGCAGAGTCAATTGTGATGTTTAATGATATGATTGAGATGCTCAACTAGAGCCTCACATAGTGTCATTTACAAAGGACTTTGTTTTACATGGGAACCATCAACCTTGTGTCATTCAAATCTTTAAAGAATATTTGAACACATGAAAGAAACCCAATGACCAGAATACCGTGATTTTTGTTACAAGAGGATCTATATACTGCTGTGGATTCATTTATTTTTCGTGGATATTCAATTTCTTGGATATTTAATTTTCGTGGATTTTTAATTTCATGGATATTTAATTTCATGGATATTTAATTTCATGGATATTTAATTTAGTGGATATTTAATTTCGTGGATATTTAGTTTCATGGATATTTAATTTAGTGGATATTTAACTTCGTGGATATTTAATTTAGTGGTCATGTCAAAGTCTGCATACAAGTATTTAGAAAATGTGTACTTCGTTAAATATTTAAATTTGTGGGACACCTTTACCCCCGAAATCCACGAGAATTTGTATCCCACGAATAATAATGAATCCACAGTACATTACAATTATGTAATGATTTATTACAAAATCATAAAACAGTCAATCAAAATCAAACTTTTTAAGTTTTGTAAATATTTCATTTGTTGAAAGCATGTAATTATTTGTTTTTTAGCCCTACCTGAAAGCGTCCACCAAATTTTGGCCTTCAGTATCGAGGATTGATGACATATATGGAGATCAGAACATTGTTTGTACCTGTCCACCAATGTCGTTATATGAATCACCATTTATTGAAGTTTTAAATGAAAAAGAGAAGGTCAGCCACTAAATATGGCTTAAAATTGAATCATTTTAAATTGTGCAAAGTTTTATGATCTTATATATATGCTGGACAAGTTTTTAGGACAATTTGATGGCATATAACAATTAAAAAAAAATTAATGAATACTGTAAATTCACATTTTGATGCATGTGTTTATTTTTGTGAATCTTCAACAACTGACCCAGTGATCTGGAAGGATTTTTTCTCTATGGGCCCAGGGCCCCCCAAAAATAAATTCAATGAGCCATTTTTAGAATTAATGGGCCATGTTGTCAAATGAGTGGGCCATTCGTTTACAATAAAAAAAAATAAAAAAGTGTATATTTCACTGTACTTACAAGTATGATTCTAATTAATATCATGGATATTGTTCCTGTGATTTTGTAATTTCAATTTCAATGAATATACAATAACTTCTTCCAAACCGGGCAATATTTACGATAACCTTTATTTACAATGTTAAAACTGGTACTGTTCCCTTGTTCATGTTCATGTTTTTTTTTACATTAAATTTGGGTCTTCGTCGATACCATACTTATTCCAGACGTTCCGTATTAGAGGACATTTCTGACATTTCCTCTGCACTTGTATTATTATTACTTCATCACGATGACAAGAATAACAGTAGAGAGCAACGTTAATTGATAAGACACAACAACAATTCGCTGAAGGCATGTTTACAAGATGTCAAAACGAGCCAAAGACCAAAAAAATTGACAAGGACAGTTATGCCCCTTTTATGGAGACAAAACCTATACTATTCATAAAAAGGCTTTTGGGTTTTTCAATCGAAATAATAGCAAGCTTACTTACATGACTTAAAAGATTATAATAAGGGAAGAATTCTCGCCTGTACTAGCCAATTTTCACAAATATAAAGTTGTTTATAAAAAATTATATCATGAATGATGGTTAATTACGTTTTTTGGGTAATCAGTCATACCGCATATTGCTACTATTACCATAGGAAAACACCCGAGACATCCCAAAAATATATAGGTGCTCCTATCATTGGAGTAAACACTACACAGTTGTGTACTCACACATGGCGGCATGAAATACGATCGGAAATCCATTTGACGATATCTCAACGTTTCAAAACGAAGTGAAATATATCATTTGTCACTTTATGCGCCATTTCTGGTCAATAAGCGCAATTGGCGCAAGGCGCACGTCCTTCCCGATCACTGTGACCACAATGTGCCACTAATTATAACAATTCCTTCATATTTTTTGTAATCCTGAACATGCATGAAAAATTTGCCGATCGATGTTAAGCAACCAACAATCAATCAATCAATCAATCATATGTTTTGTAAATAATTATAGGTTATAATTGGAATTTTAATTAATATTGAAATATTCATTATGGCATATTTTTTGTAAAAAACATGACATTCATTTCTGATTATTACTGTATATTCTGTTATTGCTTTGTGGCTGTGATATTTAACCACAGAACTGAAAAATTAATGTTTAAGAATATCATATAACTTCATGTGTTGTTTTATTTCTGTGTTTGAAAATCAAATTAGTGAAAACACAATTGAAAATATGTCTTTCATGGTATGGTAAATATGATTATGTTAACTGGAAAATTCTAACAACTTTTTGTTGGGATATAGTTAAGGTTATTGACTACAATTTTAATACTGATATTTTGTTTGTGTATTGAGTAAAATGTTTGTTTATTCTTCTTCTGTTTAAAGTATATTGATTATTTTTTTTATATTTTTCTACATCTTTAAATTTTCTATTGATACAATTCAATGACTGTCAACAGTTTAACGTGACATGATTGGGTATTAGAATTCAGAATTAACTCCTTAAAGAGAGGCAGCAGTTACCAAAGTGATATTCAAACTCATAAGTCGTTAACAAACTGACAATGTCATGGCAAAAAAACATAAATGACCAAAAGACAAGCAACAGTATACAGAACATAGCATAGAAAACTAGAGATGAACTATAACAAAAACCAGTTTTGATCTCAGGTGCTTCGGAATGGTAGACATATCATGTTGCCCCCACAACTTTCAAGAAAAGATAGACATTTCTAGATGTAAAAAACATTATATTGATACAATTATTTCACTTACAATGTCAGATCAAGGTTTTGCCTGGAAGGCGAAAGCTTTCAGCTATTTTGAAGAAAAAAAAATAGAGAGATGGTCAAAAAATGCATAGATCAATCACTTATGTTTGAGACTGTGATGTTTTTAAATTTTATATTATTAAATATTTAGTTTTCTGAGTAATGTTTTGTTGACCACTGTTTGTACTTCTATCATTTTTCTGTTATCTATGATATTATTGTGTAAATAATGTAAAGGGAATATGTGAAAATAAAATGTCTAGTTTTATGATATATATCACACAACATTATTGTCAAGACAGATCTTAAGGTGATTAAAGTTTACATAAGTTGAAAAGTGCTACTCGGTTGTTTTTTTTTAAATATTGTAAACTGCAGCTGACCTTATGTATATTACAAATAATAATATGAAATAAAATCTAGATTTCCCATACATTACATATACAATATAAATACACATAATAAAAATTTGATTCAGAAACAAGCAACTAGCTATTTTTTTTCTTCTTTGCTTTATATCAAAGGATGATAAAGGATAAGGCCACTCATATGTACCAGTAAATTAAAGTTACACAGAATACCAAACAACATTGTACTGATATTCAAAACATCAACCTGTCCTATTTCAGTAATAATACATTTCATATTGCCTCGAAGTTCATTTGTGAATGAGTTTATTGGTCTTCCTGAATCTCAGGTATACATTTGCAGAAAATTGTTCATATATGACTTGTTTAAGTGACCACCTATTAAGACTTACTAGAGAAATTTGATTATGATATTTATTTATTTGAAGTGGTTTGGTAGGGATTTATTTCAATTTTGCCCCAAAGACATTATTGTTAGTTCTAATGCATGGTAAACCATCTATACTGTAATTTTGATCATTATGGTTTGTTAATTAATGTTAACAAAAATTGTACACTCAGCATGGAATATGCTACAGTTCTAATTTGTCCGTCAGCAATTTGTGAACAGTGTATGATAGAAGTCATTGAATGTGTAATTTGTTGTGTGCCATTCAGGAGGGTTAAGCAGTTTATACGTTTTAGTTTTAAAGAATTATCTGGTATAGTCTTAAAGATAACGGATAGTTCTCATTAACCAATGAAAATAAATATTGTTATTTGTCTTTCAACTTCTCGTTATTCTTGGAGGTCCACGAGTACATCCAAAGCAATTTTTTTTCTTGTTTTTGTTAATCATTATTGATATTGTTCATCTGGTGAACTTTACCAATGTTTGGGATCCAAAGAAACTTGTTATTTTGTGATATATTTGATTTTGCCATTTTTCTTCCAGTTGATAAATCTTTATAAGTTTTACTTTGACTTGACTAAGTGTTTCTCTCAACTTATTGCAGTACATTAAAACTTCTGACCAAATTTATTTTATCAAATCTAACTTTGAACGGTCAGAAATTTTAATAAACTGAGCCACAGTCATGTTAAACGGTTCAATTTGATAGAAGAAAATGCAATTTGGTCAGAAGTTATAAAGAGTCAAGTCCTAGTTAGACAAATAAAAGTAATAGAAACCTTTAAATTTTGTACATGTTGTAATAACAGACTATTATAAGTTAACAATGTAGAAGGAATACTGTTTTAGTTGTGTTTTTTTACCGTTAAACTGTATTTTTTCATCATGTTTGAAAATTTTGTACATGTTGTAATGGCAGATTATAATAGCTTAACTGTATAGAAGGAATATTTTTTTTATTTTTTTTTCAACTTTGCTTCTTCATCATGTTCAGAAATCAGCTAAAACCTAACTATTGAAGCTTTAAACAGGAGTACTTTGTAATACAGCTTTATGCATTTTGTTAAATTCCATCCGTGTTTCAACATTTTTTTCCACACTAGTTGTTCAGTTTACTGTGCAACTGATCAATAAATTTTTACACCAATGAATGAAGTTTTGAATTTAAAATTGGCCCATGAAAGTAATTTTGAAAGAATAGTTTGTCATCTGAGGAAATTTCAACCATCTGTCTGGTCCAACCTGTCTGATCTCTGTCTGTCTGTTCCTTTATGTTGGGTCCTATCTGTTATTTTTCTAGTCCCTTCTGTCTGGTCCTATCTGTCTAGTTTTTATATATATATATCTGGTCCTATTTGTCTAGTCCTATATGTCTGGTCCTATCTTTCTGTCCTATCTGTGTCTGATCATATATGTCTGATCTAATCTGTCTGATCCAATCTGTCTGGTCCAATATGTCTGATCCTATCTGTCTGATCCAATCTGTCAGATCCAATCTGTCTGGTCTGCTATGATTGATCTTATTTGTCTAGTCATATGTGTCTTATCCTATCTGTCTGGTCCAATAACTCTGATCAAATCTGTCTGATCCTATCTGTCTGATCCAAACTGCCTGGCCCAATGATGAATCTGTCTGATGTTATCTGTCTGGTCCTATATGTCTTATCCTATATGTCTGATCCAATCTGTCTGGTCCAATATGTGTGATCTTGTCTGTCTGATCATATGTGTCTGAATCAATCTGTCTGATCCTATTGGTCTGATCCTATGTGTTTTATCCAATCTGTCTGATCAACTCTGTCTGATCCTATCTTTCTGGTCCAATCTGTCTGGTCCAATATGTCTGATCCTATCTGGTCCTATCTGTCTGATCTAATCTGTCTGATCCTATCTATCTGATCCTATCTTTCTGATCATATCTGTCTGGTCCTATGTGTCTTATCCTATGTGTCTGATCCAATCTATCTGGTCCAATCTGTCTGATCCTATCTGGTCCTATCTGTCTGGTCCTATCTGTCTGATCCAATCTGTCTGATCCTATCTTTCTGATCCAATCTAGCTCATCCTATGTGTCTTATCCTATGTGTCTGATCCAATCTATCTGGTCCAATATGTCTGATCTTGTCTATCTGATCCTAGCTATCTGTCAGATCCTATTGGTCTGATCCTATGTGTCTTATCCAATCTGTCTGGTCCATTCTGTCTGATCCAATATGTCTGGTCCAATATGTCTGATCTTATCTGCCTGATCCTATCTATCAGTCCTTTATGTGTGGTCTTGTCTGTCTGGTCCTATCTGTCTTGTCCTATTGGTTTGGCACTA